TCATAGATGGTTAACATGCTTACATTCTTTTAACATGCTCTATTCCACTTTTCCATTACATCTTTTAAAAATTTAAAACAGAAAAAACAACAACAAATTTAAACATAAAATTCTAACACTTTCATCTAAACAAATCTAATATATCAATACAGTTTAAGCTTCAAATTAAATTTTAACTCGTTATCTCTGTATCTATATCTCATCAATATCCAAACAGTTATTAACAATATTCTAGTCTCTTATTCTAATTATATACCTTACAATTTTATCACCAGAATTATCAAGTTCAATTTCAATACAACTCCATTTTGTTAAAATTTATAAAACACAATTTTATCAACATCTTAATTATTTGACCCTTTTTATCAAATCAAAATATCTTGAACTTTCCAATTTGATATCCCACATATTACACAGTTTTATCACAAGAACATATTACTTATTCTTCTCCAAATTATCAACTCTTTTGAGATTATTCCCAATATTATCTCCTCCCGATCTCTCAACGTTATTGGCTGATTTCCAGCATATTGTATTTGGCTAATTTCTAGTATAATCTCCAGAACTCCTTCCATTGTTTGGCTGATTTCCAGCATATTTTCCTCCAACTCTCCTATTGCTTGGCTGATTTCCAGCATTTTATTGGCTGATTTCTAGCATTTTATGTTTGGCTGATTTACAGCATAATCTCCTCCAACTCTCCTGCCATTGTTTGGCTGATTTCCAGCATTTTAATTATTTTCCCACTTACTTCCTCCGAGTCTCTAACTCTTATCTAGTTAGTATCCTTCACCTCATTATTTTAGTTTTCCCTTACAGCATAGTTATCTATTTGATCTCTATGTATCAGCATATTCATCAAAATTAATTCTCATTATATTTCATAGTAATCATCATTTCCAGTATTTGTTGAATTACATCACAATTTATCTCTATCATCTGTGTATTTCATAGTTTCATTCAAAAAATATGTTAATCAATCATAGTCACCAGTCTAACTTTGTTTGCAGAATATAGTTGAAGCATATTACAACAAATAGTAAGTTTTCTTAAAGTTATCTCACATTAGTATACACTTCTCATTGTAATTTTTAACCACTTGTATATAAATCCCTATTTTGATTGCCATTTGTTATTTTCTTTCTTTATTATTCCAAAAAACCTTCCTGTTTTAATCCAAAAAAACCCAACCTTTTATTCCTTTAGGCTTTTAAGCATTACATTTCAATTTAATTACATTTAGTTTAAATCTATTTTGTTTCTTCTTTTTCCTGTCTGTCCACATGTTCCACTTCAAAGTTCATCTATTCAAATGAAAAGTTCTATGTATCACTTTAATGCTCTTATAATGTCTGCTCCAAGCGTGATGTATCCACTTCCTGTCTTGTGTTCGTGTGCCACACCTTCTTTTTGCTAAGTCTGTAAATTTCCATTATAGAAAAGGTCCAAGATCTTTCTTCTTTCTTCTTAAAATCACCCAGAACAGGATAAAAATTTCCAAAATCCATTAGTCTAATGTTAATTCCAAAGTAATCATAATAATCCAAAGTAGAAAGTCATTTAGGATGTTTCTTTTCCAAACAGAAAGTAAAATCTCTTCAATCCACTCTCCTGCTTAGTCACCGCAGACTTCATGGCAATTTTGTAGCCATCCGTCTGTCAATCTTCATTAACTTCATTAACTTTCACAGGTTTAGATTCCCAAAGAAACATTTCTTCAATCCACTCCAAAAAAAAAAAAAAAGAGTCCAATTTTCCAAATTATTAAAAACAAATTTTCTAAGCCAAATTAATTAATGCAAAGTTTGTCTTGGGTCTCCATTTCCCCCCCCTCCTTTCTTTTAAATCTTCAAGCCCCACGGATCTGTAGCCGCTGTTTAAGGTTGGGGTCTTATTTTAAAAAATACTCCAAGTAATCCCATTGTTTGCCTGGGTTGGTGTCACTCACCTGGCTTCAAAACGCTCGTTCTTTCTTCTTCCTCTTGCATGATCTTGCGTCCCAGTCTGCTGCAGCTTTGTGGCAGCCGCCATGGCTGCCTATCCCCGCCACCGACTTTGAGGATTCCCTCTGGCCTCCGAACAACTTGCCTGTTCCTCTTGGCCCTCCAAGGCGCTCCTCTTCACCCCCCATCCCTGCAAGATGGGGGTCGGTCCGAAGACCGGTCGGACAGCATTTGTCAGTCAGGGTTTCTACGGGCTTGTTAGAGCCTGCTAATTCCCCGACTGTGGCTCCGCGTCTCCAGACTGGAAGCCCCTTATTTTCATTATTTTTATTTTTAACCACCTATACATCAATCCTCTATTTTAGTTACCATCTCTTATTTTCCATCTTTGTTACTCCAAGAGCCTTCCTGTTTTTATCCAAAAGTCATTTATACATTTAAGCTTTTAAACATTACATTTTAATTTTATCTGCTTTGTTTCTTCCTTTCCCTATCTGTCCATGAATGTTCCACTTCAAAATCCATATGTCCAAATTGAAAACCCTGTATGTCACTTTAATGCTTTTGTAACATCTGTTCCATGTATAATGCATCAACTTCCTCTCTTTTGTTCCTGCGCCACGCCTTTTATTGCTAAGCCAGTTAGTTTCAATTGTAATAAATTCAGAGTATTTCTTCTTTCTTCATAAAATCACCCCAAAACAGAATAGGACTCCAAAATCCATAAGTGTAAAGTTAATTTTGAAGTAATCCAAAGTAAAAAGCCATTCAAAATATTTCTTTTCCAAACCGGTGGGGAATCTCTACAATCCACATTCCCACTTAGTCATCGCGGTCTCCATACCTATTATGTAACCATCCGTTTGTCTTTCATCATTAACTTTCCAAAGGTGTTAACTCCCAAAGAAACATTTCTCCAATCCATTCCAATTGAAAGAGAAACCCAATTTTCTAATTCATTAAAAGCCAATTCTTTCAAATCAATTTTACTAAAGCAAAATCTATCATGGGACTATATTTCCAATTATTGTTTTTTACCAAATCTTCAAGCCCCAAAGATCTGCAGCCGCTTTTTAAATTTGGGGTCTTATTTATAAAAATCCATGCTATTACATTGTTTCTTGCCTGGGTTGGCCCGGCTTCAAAAAAACTCATTCTTTCTTCTTCCTTCCTGCACGATCTTTTCACGGTCTGCCACGGCTTTGTAGCAGCTGCCATGGCTGCCTACCCCCACCGCCGACTCCAAGGATTCCCTCTGGCCTCCGAGGAACTTGCCTGTTCCTCTTGGCCTTCCAAGGTGCTCTTCTCCTTCCCCCTGTCTCTTCCGGACAGGATCAGTCCGAAGACCCATTGATCGGTGGTTTGTCAGTCAGGGTTTTTGCGGGCTCATTAGAGCCCACTATTTCCCCGACTAGCACCGTGGTGCCAGACCGGAAGTCCAGAAAAAGCCTTTTTTTCTGAAGCTCTGTTTCGGAGGCTTTCAGAGGCAGAAAAAAAAAGCAGGGCACATTGCTCACAACCAACAAACCTGTTGCTAAAATTCACCTCTGAGAACAGCTGTTTCGGGGTATTCCGGAAGGCTGATCCACCCACCAATCACCTTTTTTCTTATTTTCCTTCCCCAAAACTAAGGTGCATCTTATACTCTGGTGCGTCTCATACTCCGAAAAATACGGTATTTAACACATGTCAAGAATATTACTCACAGTGACCTAACAAGAACTTTCCAGTCTCTTCTTAATCCAGAAGAGACCTGGTCATCTTATTAGGGCTGCTCGCTATTTATCTGCAGATGCAATGAGAGTCAAGAAATAAGCAGAGTACATCACTCTTATTGCCACAAGGTAAATCTTAATGAAGACTCCCACATACGCTTAGTTGGCTTTACCCCTTTGCGTTTTGCCAGTGGTGTTCTAGGCTTAATTTAATTTAATTTAATAATTTAATTTAATTTAATTTAATAATTTAATTTAATTTAATTTAATTTAATTTAATTTAATAATTTAATTTAATTTAATTTAATTTAATTATTAATTTAATTTAATTTAACAATTTAATTTAATTTAATTTAATTTTTTAATTTAATAATTTAATTTAATTTAATTTAATTTAATTTTTAATTAATTTAATTTAATTTAATTTAATTTAATTTAATTTAATTTAATTTAATTATTTAATTTAATTATTTAATTATTTAATTTAATTTAATTTAATTTAATTTAATTTAATTTAAATCATATTTCTATGCCGCCCAACTCCCAAGGGACTCTGGGTGGCTTACAACAAAAATAATACAAACAATGAACATAATTTTTTTTTAAAAAAAAATTATAAAAACATAATATGTTTTTTGAAAAACATATTAAAAACACATGCACACCATCCATGGCCAGATCTTGCAAGATTGAACAGCGAGATCAACGGCCCCAGGCCTGCCGGAAAAGACAGGTCTTCACCGCTTTCCAGAAGGCCAATAAGGTGGGGGTAGTCCAGACCTCAGGAGGTAATTGATTCCAGAGAGCTGGGGCAGCCACAGAGAAGGCTTTCCCCCACGGGCCTGCCAGCCAGCATTGTTTAGCTGACAGGACCCGGAGGAGACCAACTCTGTGGGGATTTTACTGGTCGCTGGGAGCTATGCAGTAGAAGGCGGTCTCGAAGATAGCCTGGCCCTGAGCCATGTAGGGCTTTAAAGGTAATAACCAACACCTTGAATTGTGCCCGGAGACCAATAGGGAGCCAGTGCAGCTCGCGGAGAATTGGTGTAATGTGGGTGTTTTTAGGTGTACAGGATCCACATTCACAGAGGATCTACATAGGCACAATCCAGTTTGGACCCCGTATTATATGTTCATTCCAAGCTGCTCCAAAACCCAGAGCTTTGAGGGACAAAAAACATGCACCAGGTGGCTGCACCTCCTGCAATGCAGCTTTGGCCCAGAGAATTCTAGGACCAGCAGAAAATTACTTAATAAGCTTCTTTCATGCATCATCTGATGAGGAAGGGGGAAATACCCTATTTTGTAATAATTGTATCTCAATTTTTTTCAATGCATATAGGTGAAAAAGAGGAAGATGAAAAAAAAAGAACTTTGCTTGCAAATATAGTATCGGTTATTAGACTTTTATTGCAAGAGCAGACTCCAAAAGCTGATCTCTCAGGTAGAAACTAAGATAAATATTAAAATGAGATCCTTAATATAGAATACCCTATTGTTATAATAGTGTACAAAAAGCAAAGTGATGGAATGAATGAATCGTTACTCAAGCCAAAAACTATAAAGAAATAGAATTGTAACTTTATGTTTAGTTCCTTAGCATCATTGGCTAGATTTAAAAAGTCTTCCTTTTTTTAATAGAGAAAGAAAGAAATGATCTGGCAGAGGAAAGAACAGTTTTGCTTTCAATCCTAGACTCACACTTAAAAGATTATCATCAAGTTAGAAAACTTGAAAATATTGGTGGGTATCAAATCATGTAGAAATAATTATGTAGTATTTAAGTCATTATTAATATAAATGCTATTTATATTTAATTTCAAGATTTATAGGAGTGCTCAATTTGACTCTGGCAGTGTACAGCATAAACACAATATGTTTTAACAAGAATAAACAAGAATTAAAAGTAAGGAAAATGTTTATAGTGATCAAAAATGTGTATAAAAAAGAAAAATTAGAGTAAACAAGATACTATATATATATATGGTACATAGCTATACAGAATAAAATACAAACATTAATATCACAAACCATAGTGCTTCAGAAGTTAAGAGAGTTCTAATTCATCAGAAGAGCATGTATTTTGCATAGAAAATCATTGGCATCTTTGGCAGGATAGGGAATTTTATAGGCAGTTTTATTTTATGTTTATTTTTAGAAACAGAAATTAGAAAGCTTTCAGAAGAAAGAATCCAACTACGTGCAAATGTGGAATTAAATATGAAAGATTTGGAACAAGCTCGGGTGCGTGCATCTTCCCAGCCATCAGAAATTAATGGTAAGTGCCAAAAGGGGTTTTTGTATAAATGGGAAATGGTCCAAATTATTTTTCACAGAAACTTACAGGATATATCTTGACTAGTTTCCTAATCCTAATCATGCTTTGTTTTCTAGGTCGTCTGTCAGCTTAGACTAAATTTGAAACAACATTGAGTATGATATTTAGGGAAGTCAAAAGTTTCTAGTTAAAATCTTAAGGAAATGTTTTATTATTAAGATGGGGCTGTTTGATCCTGGATAGATTTCAGAGACAAAAGATTGGTGATAATGATTTCTGGGAAGTCTTTGGAAAAAATGCTCTTTAACTTATAATTTTTAGTAGAAAACTTTAATAAAAAATGGGTCTGCAATGGCTTTGAATAAATCCCAGGATGGCAATTAAAGGCAGAGAATAAGAGTTGGACTCGATTTGCACACTGAAGATTTGATACTGCCAGAGTATAAAAACCAAAAAGCTTGGTTTGAGAATTGAAGGCTTGGTGGAAAAAGTTGAAAGAGGCACAAACACAAGAAACTAAGAGATGATGAAATTGATGGGTGACGGACTGAACATTGTTTATAGAAATATAGTACTCAATTTAATGTTTTTTTGGCTTAATTTTCATATTAAAAGCTTCAACACTTTGAATTATTTAACGTATGTTTTTTCTTTTTATAGAGAACAGAGTAAAAGAACTGGAAAAACAAAGGGCACTGTTAGTTGATAATCTGGAAGCAAATCAAAAAGAACTTGAAAGTGCTAGATTCCTTGAAGGTACTTAACACAAGAAAATAAGTGATATATATGCAAAACATAAATTGTGATAGGTTCTTACAGGCAAAGTTTTAACAGGAATCTGATGTGATCTAGTACGTCAGCTCTTTTTGCAAACAAAGCAGTGTGGAAAAAAAATGAACTAGAAAAGAGTTAATGTGGTTCCCATCTTCAAAAAAAAAGGGAATAAAAAAAGGAAATGATAATCAGCCTAATAACAAAATCTGGATAGATCTAGGAAAAGACAGTGTCTCTTTGTCTGTCCTCAATAATAATATTATTTTTAAAACAGAAGATTAGTAGCCTAGAATTAAACAGTAATATATGTACATTTCCCTCCTCAGACTTTTAAAGTATTTCTCATTTTGCAGAGAAGAAGATTGATAAACTGGCAAAACAGAGCCTATCTTTGCTTGCAATTTTGAAATCAAATGTAAAGGAGCTAGAAGAAGTTGAGGCTCTTGCAGCTACCGAACCAAGCATTATTACTGGTAAGTACAGACTCTATATAAGAATAATTATAAATGTAAGACCAGTAGAAATGAAAACCAGGATATGAAGTGCAAATGAAAGATGAACCAATGTCCGCATGGTTGCCTTTATTCTCATTGTTCCCCTGTCCCCCCTGCTGATACCAGTCTTTTAGGGCAACCTGGTTCACCCAAATATGGGATGGAGCAAACTGCTTCCACTTTCGCCTTCCAGTCCCAATCCAGGAGCTTTCTCAGGCAGTCACTTTCACTACAAACTATTTTTTTGTTGAATTTATATTTATTGACAAAGAAACAAAGCGGAAGCAGTATTCTGTTCCATATTTGGGTGGACCAGGTTGCCCTGATAGACTGGTTTCACTGAGGAAAAAAATACTTAATCTCTCCCCTGGCATAGCTGACAAAGCAAGGTGAGCACGTGGTTTAGAGGTTAATATATCTACCTAATATGTAAGTATCCCAGGTTCAAGTTCCAGAAGGGTATGGCTAGCTGATGAGAGCTAAATAGATCTATATTAGTCTCCCTTTATTTCTTTGTTGGTAAATATAAATTCAACACTTTATTCTCAGTGTTTTCCATTAATTCCATAGCAAGCATTCAAGTATAAACAGAAGTGCTAAAGGTGGTTGCCCCCCAACCCCCCACATAGATCGTTTTGTTTCCAGCATGCCAAACAATTATTTGAGAAGTTTGGAGGAGACCAGTGAAAGTTTGTTTTGCCATCACAGATTCAAGCAGTGAAAGTATAATCAGCTGTACTGAAGAGAAAAGGGAGCGAATACTCAGACATTATGAATAGTGGCCAATGATTATAAGTGACAAATGAGATGCAGGCATATCCATTCTAATACTGAGAGGATTAGGATTGCATAATATGCAAAATTCAAATACTATGTTGTTTCTGCTTCATGTTCTCTCACAGAACTCCTAGTGATTAAAAAGCACTCTTGGATGTAGGAATAAGCAATAAGATGATATCACTAAAATAGTTGAGAAGATACAAAAATTTATTTTCAAGGCTCCAAGTGTTTGTGACACTGTAACTTGCTTAACGCATTGTAAGCCGCCCTGAGTCTCCGGAGAAGGGGGGCATATAAATCAAATTAAAAAAAAAAAAAACTATCATAAATATGAACCAGTTGCCATTAATCTGAATTTTTATCAAATGACCATGGAGATTCTGAAATAGTGGTGTGAAAAACAGTCATAAGTCACTTTTTTCAGTGTCATTGTAACTTTGAACGGTTACTATATGAACTGTTGAAAATCGAGGACTACCTGTACCATCTCTAGAAGTAAGATGAAAAAAGGCCGTTCTTCAAGAATACCTGAAGATTATTGATAATTCCCAGATGTAAATATGGTTTATGGTTTATGGTTTATTAAATTTGTATACCGCCCTTCTCTCAAAGGACTCAGGGCGGTGAACAGCCAAGGTTAAAATACATACAGTATAAAAATTAAAATAAATTAAAACAGAATTAAATCAATTTGGTTCCCCTAAATTGTAAAAACCCTTTACCCGTAAAATAGCCCATTAAAATTTTAAGCCAGCCCGGTTTGCTGAAATAAGAAGGTCTTCAAAGCTCGGTGGAAAATACGGAGGTCTGGGATCAGTCGTATTCCTGGGGGTAGCTCGTTCCAGAGGGCGGGTGCCCCCACAGAGAAGACTCCCCCTCTGGGGGTCGTCAGTCGACATTGCTTGACTGATGGCACCCTGAGGAGACGCCCTCTGTGGGAGCGTATTGGCCGGTGGGAGGTTATCGGTGGCAGAAGGTGGTCTTGTAAATACCCGGATCCTAAGCCATGGAGCGCTTTAAAGATGAGAACCAATACCTTGAAGCAGACCCGGAAGACCACCGGGAGCCAGTGCAGCTTGCGCAGGAGAGGTGTTATATGGGAGCGTCATGTCGCCCCTATAATTACCCGCACGGCTGCATTCTGGACCAGCTGGAGCCTCCAGGTGCTCCTCAAGGGGAGCCCCATGTAGAGAGCATTGCAATAGTCCAGGCGAGAAGTGACGAGGGCGTGAGTGACCGTGCATAAGGAGTCCCGATCCAGAAAGGGACGCAACTGGCATATCAGGCGAACCTGATAGAAAGCCCCCCTGGCCACAGGCATCATATGCTCTTCTAAAGACAGCTGTGCATCCAGGAGGACGCCCAAGTTACGAGCCCTCTCCGTGGGGGCCAATGACTCGCTCCCAATAGCCAGCGATGGCATCAGCTGGCTATATCGGGACGCCGGCAGCCACAGCCACTCGGTCTTGGAAGGGTTGAGTCGGAGCCTGTTCCTCCCCATCCAGACCTGCACGGCCTCCAGGCACCGGGACATCACTTCAAGGGCATTGTTGGGGTGGTCTGGGATGGAGATGTACAACTGAGTATCATCAGGGTACAGATGGCACCGTACCCAAATCCACGAATGATCTCACCCAGCGGCTTCACATAAATGTTGAACAGGAGAGGCGAGAGGACCGACCCTTGCGGCACCCCACAAAGAAGGTGCCTCGAGGTCAACCTCTGCCCCCCAGCCAACACGGACTGCGACCGGTCGGAGAGATAAGAGGAGAACCACCGTAGGACGGTGCCTCCCACTCCCAAACCCTCCAGCCGGCGCAGCATGATACCATGGTCGATGGTATCAAAAGCCAATAGGACCAGAACAGAGGAACATCCTCTGTCCCGAGCCCTCCAGAGATCATCGACCAACGCGACCAATGCCGTTTCCGTGCTGTACCCAGGCCTGAAGCCGGACTGGAATGGATCCAGATAGACAGTTTCATCCAGGTACTGTGGGAGCTGTCGCGCAACCACACTCTCAACAACCTTCATCACAAAGCGAAGGTTGGAGACAGGACGGTAATTTGCCAAACAGCCGATCCAGAGAAGGCTTCTTGAGGAGGGGCCTCACCACCGCTTCTTTCAAGGCGGGAGATAAGAAACCCTCACTCAAAGAAGCATTTATAATCCCCTGGAGCCAGTCTCGTGTAACCTTCCGGGTAGCCAGCACCAGCCAGGAGGGACACGGGTCCAATAAACATGTGGTTGCGTTCAACCTCCCCAGCATCCTGTCCACGTCCTCAGGATCAAACTCCTCACAGATAACATTCTCAAGACCCGCCTCAGACACCTCGCCTGAACCCACCCAGTCAGAGTCCAAGCCGTCCTGAATTTGAGCGATTTTATCATGCAGATAATACGCAAAATCCTCAGCACACCCTTGCAAGGGGTCTTCCCGCGCTCCCAGGTGGAGGAGGGAGCGGGTCACCCTAAACAGGGCGGCTGGGCGATTATCTGCCGACGCGATAAGAGCGGAAAAGTAGTTACACTTCGCTGCTTTTATTGCCACTAAGTAGGTCTTGATATAAGATCTCACTAGTGCTCGGTCAGATCCAGAACGATTAGCCCTCCATCTACTCTCTAGGCATCTTTTCCGGCGCTTCATCTCCCTCAGCTCCTCGGAGAACCAAGGAGCTGGGCTGATTTGGCATCGGGTCAGAGGCCGCAAAGGCACGACTCGATCTAAAGCACCAGCGGCCGCCCTATCCCAGGCGGCCACCAGGTCTTCCGGCGAGTCGTGAGCCAGAGTCTCAGGGAATGGCCAAGCTCCATTTGGAACCTATCAGGATCCATCAGGCGCCTGGGGCGGAACCACCTAGTTGGTTCCGCCTCCCTGTGGTGGAGTGTAGCAGTCAGGAAGTCAAGTCTAAGGAGAGAATGGTCTGACCATGACAAGGGTTCAGTGACTGTATCCCCTGTATCTAGGCCATTCAACCACTGACCAGAGAAAAAACCAAGTCCAGAGTGTGTCCTCCTTTGTGAATAGGGCCATGAATTAACTGGGTCAGGTCCATGGCTGTCATGAAAGCCATGAACTCCCGAGCCACCTCCGACGTTTCATCGATGGACGGCAGGTTGAAATCCCCCATGACCAGAAGCCTGGGGGTATCAACCGCCACCTCGGCTATAACGTTGAGGAGCTCAGGCAGGGCCTACTTGCATCTCATGGCCCCACTTTACAAGGAGAGACTCGCATCCGGCTATCTGAGGTACAGTGGCCTCCCTAGGATCGAGACCTTCCTTTACAATAACCACCACACCCCCATCCCTACCCTGGGCCCTCAGCTGATGAAATGCGTGGAAACCCGGTGGGCACATCTCAACGAGGGGGACCCCCCTCCTGGCCCAACCAGGTCTCTGTAATACCTGACAGGTCCGTTCCCCCCTCCTGAATCAGCTCAAAATGAGGGGGGCTTTATTGACCATGGACCTGGCGTTGCACAGCATCAGCCTAAGGCCGGGGCTCTGAGACTCTGGACAACCCAGGGAACGAGGTGAGCATTGGGGGCCGGAGCACGTCACCGCTTGAAGACAGCGGGCACGTGCCCCCACAACACGATGTGGCCCATCAATGAACTCAACAATAGTCTGCTTGGTTGAGATCTAGACATCGAGCTATTTCTACTGCTAAAGAACTTGTAAAAGACGATTTTGACGTTCACAGCACTGGATAGAAACAACATTGGATAAAAAAAAAAATTCCCCATAATGTCGAAGCTTTCCCTGCATCTTGAAAAAAAAACCTGGGCTTGATTAGCCTCGTGTGATATGGAGAAATTGAATCAAGTTTACAGTGGTCATGGTATATGCACAGATGTCCTTAATAAGTGGTGTAAAATACCATCACCGAATTGTGACTAAGGGGCTGAAAAATGAGGTATTCAATACATAGTGAGTAATAGAGACTTTGTTGATTTTCTTTCTGCAACAAATTAAGTAAAATTATATTTGCAATTTAGATATATGTTGGTGTATCATTTTTACTGAAATATGATGTGAGTATGTCATACAATAAACAAATATAGGAGAGATTGCTTATAGAAGTCAGTTACTTTTTTCTGGCAGAGAGATTGGAGGGAAAGTGATTTCAAGAGAGTACCGGAAGCTTTTTGTGTAACATACCTATAGTTCCTAGCTCTGGACTGCAGCTGCAGCATGATTGTATTGCTTTTTATGTGTACAAAACAGTTATGGGTTTCAAAACTCATCGCTACTGGTTCACTCGCGGGTGCTTGCAATGCTTCTGTGCATGTGCAGAAGCTTCTGCACATGCGCAGAAGTGTCCGGGTGGGTGGGCGGAGCCTCCCACCACTGCCGCTACTGGTTCGCCCGATCCGGGGCAAACCAGTAGCAACCCACCACTGGTACAAAACAAGAAGCTGTCACTTAAGCATTCTAAAGGGTGAGGAATGGTTAGGATGCAAAGAAAAACTGAAGCTGTGGAACTGAGGTAGCTTTGTCTCTTTCCAGCCAGAGAGCACAGTTGTGATCATGTGATTTCCCACATAGCAACTGCTTCACTTAGTGGCAAAGTTGCCAGTGCCAATTAGAGTTGTTAATTAAGGACTACCTGTATCTTTATTACATAGTATTCAGGTAATGTATTTTTTAAATAAATTATTGAGTACATAACAATTCTATTTAGTTAAAAATTAATATTTTCCAACACAATGAACACAAAATGTAGAAGAAAGTATCTGTTTTCACAGATTTAAAAATAAAAGAATTAACTGAATTAAGAAATGAAGTGGCTGAACATTTAGAACAAAATCTGCAGAATATCGAAAGGGGATGGTCTCATGCTCCAGGACTTACAATTGAAAGCAGACTTCAAGGTGAGTATATCAGATATACAGAAAGACTCTATTGCCATCAGATCTCTTGCTGAGAACAATGAAAAATTCAGAAATTTTTAAAAGTGTATAATCAAAAAGTCATATATTCAGGGAAATAAATATATGCAACTAATTTACCATTTTCTTATTAAATTAAGAAAATAACAGCCAGAGGTGTTATTTGCCGGTTCTTCGAACTACTCAAAATTTTCTGACAGAACCTGTCAGAATCTGCTGGATTTCACTCCTGCTCCCTTGGCTAAGAAATAGAAATGAGCACCACGTCCTAGAGTCAGACTGGACAGGGAAACACTTATCTTTTTCTTTTGTTTTCCTTTGCCCTACAATATTTCTCTTTTAACTTTTCATTTCAGTCTTGCCTAGTTCCAGCAAAATACTTTAATTTACATTTCCGCTTCAGTTCAATGAGAAGAAAGCTGGAAAAAAACTTGTGTGACCAGTTTTGCAAAATATAAATCTGAGAAGAAAGTAAAAAATTTCTTTCCTACTTGTTTGGAGGGAAAGAAGGGGTAGGGAGAAACAATTACAGTAAGTCTGAAGATCATTGCAGTCAGGTCAGAATCTTAAAATAAATGTCCTAGTACTTCTTATTAAGGCCAGCTCTGCTGTTTGCAGAAGAGGAATTACAGGAATTGCATGAACTATCTGAATTGAAGCAACAGTTACTGGAATCACTGGAATCTAATCAGAAAGCGCTACAAGAAATTCAAGAACTTGCAGCTGCCCAGACTTGCAATGTCAATGGTATGTGTGCTGTGGTTTCTAAATATTTAAATACAAATATATGTTTGGAATCAATTATGCTGGTGTTCTTAGCACACCAGTATTAAAATCCTGTAATAAAGTGAGTTACATTCCTGAGAACATAGGCAGAAACCCCATCCTGCCAAAACCATTTAATAATGTTAATATCCATTCTGTAGTATAGGAAATGCTCTCTTTAATCTTGTGAATGGGGGAGGTGTGAATTTATTCCAGTTGGAAGTGACATCAGAAATTCTAGACACATACTAATCATGGAGGCAATATTAAGATGAATATGTGCAACATATTGTAACTATTTGTATGTTAAGTAATATTTTATTATGGATTTTTTATAGAGCATATGTTACAGGAATTAACTGAGCAAAGAAGCCATTTGACCATAGAACTAGAAGCAACACTAGATGGCATACAAGATATATGTCATCGACCTGCAGAAAGAACTACATTTATACAACCTTCTGGTAAGTAGAGAGGTAAAAGTGTTAGAAATAGTCAAGCCATTTCTGCACCCTAAGTGCCTTAGATACTCAAGCATGTTCATCTTAAAATGGACTTTTCATATTCATAGTAAGCATATTCAAGGAGTTTTCTTTGTTTTTGCAAGCAGTTTAAGTGAGAAATAAAATAATATTCAAAAATATATTAAGAAAATTTCTCTTTGCAGAAAAAGAATTGTATGATTTACATAAACTATCTGAAAAGAAGGGACAGTTACTTGAAACATTGGAGTCTAACTGGAGAGAGCTAGAAGAAGTTCAGGAATTTGCAGCTATTCAACCCAGCGATATCACTGGTATTTGAGCTAGGGAATCTTATATTTAATCAAAGCTGAGTTTAATGCTTTATCAGGAAACCTTTTCAACTGCAAAATAGTGATTATATTGGCATTATAGAAATCGGAGTTTGGATCAGGGAATTTTTCATATGAATTCAAATCTGAATTTTGCAGCTTTATTTCTGGTGTATGTATTATTTTAAGGTAAGGGGAAAGATGCATAGGAACATATCCTCAGTTCTGTTGGCATTCTCAGCATAAAAGCATTATGATCCCATAATCAAGTTGGATTATAATCCTGAGGTTATGGGAAGAAGCAATATCCTTCAAAAACCTTTTAAAATTTTAATACTCAATTTGAGATGTATGAAATGTTGCATAATTTAATCATTTGTGAGTGGATGGAGGTTTGGGGGAGAAAGGATTCATTCCACTTGGGAAGTGATAGAAATATTAGATACAAGCTAATAATAATAACTTTATTGTCATTGTACATGTATACACAGTATACCCATACAACGAAATTAATTTAACACCCAAAGACTAGGTCCAACACACATAATCCCCAAACACCCCACCATCCACCACAAATTCCCCATCCCTGAACCACCAAAACATCCACATAACAGACCAAGTAATGTTGTCCAACAGCTCACTGATAGTGGCCCTTTAGTTCATTGTTAAGTGCAATTATAGCTGGGATAAAAAATATTGAGAAAATGTGTGGTCCGAGTTTTAATTGTTCTGTATCTTCTGCCAGAAGGCAGCAGTCCAAAAAGATTGTAAGCAGGATGGAAAGAGTCTCTAAGAATGTTTTCCAACTTTAAATCTCAAACAGCAAGATTCGAAGATGTCGTCCAGGGCTGGTAGCTGGAGCCCGATGATATTCTGGGCAATTTTAATGATTGATTCTCTGTAGAGCTTTTCTGCCCACTACAGAGTTGCTCCCATACCATGCAAGAATGCCATATGTCAGGACACTCTCGATGGTGCTGCAATAGTAGGATAGAAGTAGATGCTGAGATAGATTTATCTTCCTGAGCATTCTCAGGAAGTACAGCCTCTTCTGTGCCTTCTTCACAAGCATGTTAACATTCATAGTCCATGAGAGGTCCTTAGAGATATAAATGCCCAGAAATTTAAAACTACCAGCCTAATTATGTTTTTGAAATCTAGATAATACTAATGATCTTAATTATTTTTATATATTTACATAATTACTGATTTTTTTAGCACATAAACTGCAGGAGTTAACTGAGCAAAGAAAACAGGTGACCACAGAACTGGAAGCAACTCTAGATGGTATTCAAAATATATGTCATCAGACTACAGAAATCAGTACATTTATACCACCTTCTGGTAAATAAAATATATTACTAAGAATTTTAGAAAAAGTAGCAATGATTATATATGTATTGCTTTCATACTTTAAATCTAGTAATCAATAGAATAAGTGAACTATAAGAGTGAGGACAGTTGGAGTTCTTTCCATTCCATCTTTCTATTCAAATACATTTGACAATTCCAGGGTACATGCATCATTATTTTTTTAATTATTAAATTTTAATTTTTTAAAAAAATCATTGTCATTTATATTTATGAATATTTTAAGCAGAACTTGTGTCAGTACTGGACCCTATGGAATCCCTTTTTTAGTTTTTAATATAATAAGCTATTTAATTTGACAGACCCTTTATTTCATAACCGTTATTCTTTTTGATACCATTTAGCTCTGGTGAAACGCTGTGCAAAAAATTATGAATAATTTAGATATGGTTTTATTCATATTTTGTATTCAAAATTCACCTTAAAATATTTGAATTTTCTGTGCTTCTCAAGGAAGCATAAATGTTCAGCTTTCTTTCTGGATCAGTTTATTTGCATTATCCAATATAAAAAAAATCCATCTCTGCCGATTTTTATATTTATACTTTCAGTTTCTAATTCTGAAATAAATTAAATTTTGCTTCTATTGATTGGTGTTCCATTCCATAGTCTCCAATAATCAAGGAGAAAATGTTCTGTATATTGTGCGTCTTCTGGTGACTATGTGAAGAAATACTTATCAACTTGTCTTCTGAAATATTCAGATTAAGTATCTGTACCCTAAATGTCTTTTAGATATTCACTTTTGGCACTATCAAAGATTGTTTATATATATATATATGTAATCAAAGCAAAAGTGAGCATCTTAAAAATATTACTGAAGGGGTTGTTTATAAAGTTTCTAATTTCAGAAAAGGAGGTACATGAGTTGCATGAACTGTCTGAGAGGAAGCAGCAGTTACTGGAAGCACTAGAATCTAATCAGAAAGAGCTACACGAAATTCACGAGCTTGAGGCCACCCAACTAGAAAGCATCAATGGTATGTTTGTTGTGGTCATGTGAAGCTTGAATTAAAAAGTAATGCTTCCAATTTTAGAAACCACCACTGGATGGCAGTATTAGATGTTTTGATGTATTCTTTAGGGTCTGCTCTTTCTATTGCTGAGATGGCTGCCAGAAAGAGTTGTATTGCTAATTACAAACAAAAGTCTACAGTGCTGCCACTGAATTTTTGACTTCTGAAGAAGTCATCATTATGACCCAGAAATAATGAATCTATTAATCCATGGAATATTGTCACAAAGTTTCACTGCTTTTTTTTTTTTTTTTTTTAAAGAAAACCAGGTTTTAGCAAAAAAACTCAGTTATGTTTTTTTGGAGATACCATGTTGAGGAGAAAATCCTTTTGGGTCTTTCTTTCAAGCTGGAAGAAAATGTGGACTTTAGGAAAGGAGGTCCATTTACTTCCCAACAGCCAACAACAGAGTTTGTTCTTGGGGACAGCTAGCAAATGAATGGTGATCTGGTCAAATTTTTATTTGAATTTTGAGTCATAATTTAATTTAATTTAATTTAATTAATTTAATTATTTAATTTAATTTAATTTTTTAATTTAATTTAATTAATTTAATTTATCGCATTTCTATGCCGCCCAACTCCCAAGGGACTGTGGGTGGCTTACAGCAAAAATAATGCGAACAATGAACATAGAAAAATTATTAAAAAACATTATAAAACATTTTAAAAACATTAAAAGTCCATGCACACCATTCATGGCCGGATCTTGCAAGATTGCAACAGCAAGATCAATGGCCCCAGGCCTGCTGGAAAAGCCAGGTCTTCACCGTTTTCCGGAAGGCCAATAGGGTGGGGGCAGTCCGGTTCTCAGGAGGTAACTGGTTCCAGAGAGCTGGGGCAGCCACAGAGAAGCCCACGGGTCCGCCAGCTGGCATTGTTTAGCTGACGGGACCCGGAGGAGACCAACTGTATGGGATCTTACCGGTTGCTGGGAGTTATGTGGTAGAAGGCGGCCTTGAAGATAGCCTGGCCCTGAGCCATGTAGGGCTTTAAAGGTAATAACCAACACCTTGAATTGTGCCTGGAGACCAATAGGGAGCCAGTGCAGCTTGTGGAGAATTGGTGTAATGTGGGTGTATCTAGGTGCACCCACGACAGCTCGTGCAGCTGCATTCTGGACCAACTGTAGTCTCCAAACACTCTTCAAGGGTAGCCCCATGCAGAGCGTGTTGCAGTAATCTAACCGTGAGGTGACAAGGGCTTGAGTGACTGTGAGGAGAGCCTCCTGATCCAAGTAGGGTCGCAATTGGTGCACCAGGCAAACCTGTACAAAGGTCCCCCAGCTACAGCTGCCAGATGTTGCTCTAATCTTAGCTGTGAGTCTAGAAGGACACTCAAATTGCGAGCCCTTTCTGAGGGGGACAGTTTCTCCCCCCCCCCAGAACCAAGGATGGATAGTCGACATAGTCTTTAGGAGGCAATACCCACAGTCACTCGGTCTTGTCTGGGTTAAGTCTGAGCCTGTTGACTCCCATCCAGACCCTCACAGCCTCCAGGCACCAGCACATCACATCCACCGCTTCACTGAACTGACGCGGGGTGGAGATATACAGCTGGGTATCATCAGCATATTGCTGATATCCCACCCCGTATCGTCGGATGATCTCACCCAGCGGTTTCATGTAGATGTTAAATAGGAGGGGAGAGAGGACTGAGGCACCCCACAAACGAGGGGTCTAGGGGGTCGACCTCTGTCCTCCTGCCAACACTGACTGTGACTGACCAGAGAGATAGGAGGAGAAGCACAGTAACACGGTGCCTCCTACTCCCAACTCCCTTAGTCGTCCTAGAAGGATAACATGGTCAATGGTATTGAAAGCTGCTGAGAGGTCAAGTAGCACCAAGATAGAGGAATGACCCCCATCTCAGCTTGCCAGAGGTCATTCATCAGCGTGACCAAAGCAGTTTGGTCAGGCCTGAAGCCTGACTGAAAAGGGTCTAGATAATCCGTTTCATCCAATGACCGTAGGAGCTGAAGTGGTTGGAGACTGGACGAAAGTTCTTTAATTCTGCTGGATCCAGGGAAGGCTTCTTGAGGAGGGGCCTTACAACTGCTTCCTTTAATGGTTGCAGGAAGGACCCTTCCCTCAAGGACGTGTTAACTAAAGCCTGGAGCCAGCCTCGTGTCACCTCCCTGCTGGCCGAAACCAGCCAGGAGGGTCACGGGTCAAACAAACAAATGGAGGAACTCATCGCTCCTACAGCCTTGCCCACTTCCTCAGGAGTCACAGGCTCAAATTCATCCCACACAATAGGACTAAGACCTGCTCCCGTCATCTCGGTTGGAATTGCCCAATCAGAGTCCAGGTCCATCCGAATCTGAGCGACTTTATCCGACAGAAACTGCACAAACTCCTCAGCTCTATCCTGCATGGGCTTTTCCACTCCCCCTACATTAAGGAGGGCGGCTGGATTACACCAATCAGCGGATGCAATAAGTGCAGAAAAATGTGAACATTTTGCCGCCCATATCACCACTAAATAAGTCCTAATAAAGGCTCTTAAGAGTGTTTGGTCAGATTCGGAGTTACTGGTCCTCCAGCATCGCTCTAGACGTCTCTTCTGACGCTCCATCTCCTGGAGTTCCTCGGTAAACCAGGGAGCTTTCCTGGTTGACGTGTGTGTGAGTATGTGCTTCTTTTGTGTTGTTGTGACTGGAGGCAATATTTTAACTTGTTGCAATTTCCCTTTTTATTGTATGTATGATTCTGCGGTTTGTCCCTTTGTGATTTGGTTTTAGCCTGAGTGATCAGGTTTAGTTTATTGTGTTGCTGGCTTGGTCTTTTGGAGATCACTTGTCATATTGTATATTTCTGAACTAGACTGTTTCATAAATAGCAAGGCTATATTTTATGAATGGAAATACAGTTTCTTTAGGCTAGACTGGAGGGAGATAGTGAAGAAATTTGGGAAGACTCCTGGTCTTATGGGGGATTTCTTTTCTATTCTTTGGAACATTATTGTTGATGGGGGATTTTCTATTCCTTTTCTGTCCTATATATAGAAGTATACAGTATATATGACACCCCTCCTGACACCCCTCCTGCGCGAGCTGCACTGGCTCCCAGTGGTCTTCCGGGTGCGATTCAAGGTGTTGGTTACCACCTTTAAAGCGCTCCATGTCATAGTACCCGGGTACCTTCGAGACCGTCTTCTGCCACCAATAGCCTCCCACCGACCAGTCCGCTCCCACAGAGAGGGTCTCCTCAGGGTGCCATCGGCCAAGTTATGTCGGCTGGCGACACCCAGAGGGAGGGCCTTCTCTGTGGGAGCCCCAGCCCTGTGGAATGAACTGCCCCCGGAAATACGTAAGATCTCCGACCTCCGGGTGTTTCGCTGCGCTCTGAAGCCCCTGTTGTTCCGCCAGGCCGGGCTATTAACATAACGTTTTAAATTGGGGTATTTTAAATTTCTGGGATTTTAAATTGGAGCCTAATTATTTAATGATTTTAAATTTTAATTGTTGTTTTGTTTCTGTGTTTTTAAATAGGCTGTACACCGCCCTGAGTCCTTCGGGAGAAGGGCGGTATAGAAATAAAATTATTATTATTATTATTATTATTATTATTATTATTATTATTATTATATATTGCACAACCTATGGCTCATCTGAATAGATCTTGTATTTTTCGTCTATCTGGTGCATCATAAGGGAAATCTGGTTGAGGTTTCTGTTAGGGGGTTTGTGAGGAGGAAGACAGCCTTGCAAGCTATTGAGGCACAGGGAGCAATGAAAGAGGCAACAAAAAGGCAATTATAGTAATAGCTTCCAGGAAAAGGGCATTTAGTCGGTGAAAGTAGCCCTGTTAAATCAAATGGGAATGTTTTTAACGAATTCATCAGTTTTTAACTGATGTTTTTAACTAATTCTTTGAAATCCTTAATGTTGTCTTCTATGAGCTGGGAGTTTTTGGCCAAATTAAAGTAGTACATACCTCAAAATTCCTTGCAATTGTGGTTGTGTCTTAGCAGTAAATAATCAATCAATGGTGTTTTGTTTTCGAGAATTGCTTCATGAACTTGTCTAAACTCCCAGTTCAGTGCTTCTAGGACATGGGACATTGTATTAAGGCTTTTAGCTAGTGCATAGGTGAGGCAATTGATATTTTTTGAATTAGCTCAGAGACAACTATGAGGGAAACAGCCAGCAAAATATATTCCACTTGGTTAAATAAGGCTGTGTGCAAGTCACAGTCTGGCATTTGGAGATGGAGATCCCTCTTCTATCGCTTCCTGAAGGAGGGCAAGTGGATGATTAGTCGCCTGAGGGTGCAAGGTCCCCTTGTGGAGTTAGCTGGGACATACAGGTATGTTTGAAGCACAAAGCATCCTAGGGGAAGTTTTATATGAAGGAAGGTGACGGGAATATCTTCAATGTGGTTGCAGGTCAGGGCTGCATTTGAGAGATTATGGTAGGTTGGCTCCTTGGGGGAGGAGCATTTTCCTTTACAAAACTTTTGGCTGCATTAGTTATTGTAACAACGTGTAGTGTGAACATTGTTTTATCTCTGATATCTATGCTGGGTCTCCAATTGAAAATAGTGGAGTACGTGATAGTGACGTGGAAGTTTTTGAACATAGTATAGTTCTGTATGGTGTGTAGATGTCTGACAATTCCTACAAGGCAGGTTGTCAAGATGTCCTTAATGGCAAAAATCAATTGTATTTAGAGCTTGCCAAGCTAAGTATTACTAGACATTTTTCTTATTTGGGAGTAGATGTATGCCTATAAGTCTGGGTTTTTTTTAGAAAATTTTTTATTTTTATTTCTTATACACATAATGTAAATGTACATTCTCGTATACATAATTGGTCATACATATACATATTTTTCTTTAAAAAAGCAAAAAAATAAGGCATTTTAATTACATTTGGGGTTGCTCTTCTACCCTTTCTTTTCCCTCATTTCACAACAAACCTTCTTCTTCTTCTTTCTTTCCCTTCCCTCCTCCTCTCCTCTCCTACTTTCTCCCTCCTCTTCTCCTTTCTCTTTTCTACTTCCCCTTCCTTTCCCCCACTTCTCCCCTCTTTCCCCCCTTTCTAACCTTCTCTCCTACTCCTGTCCCCTGTCCTTTCTTCCTCTCCTTTCCCCTTTCTTCCATTCCTGTCTCTCACTCTTTTCTTACCCTCTATTCCTCTCTCCTTTCTTTCTCCTTTGTTGTGGAATATATTCCCTGTTTGGTATCAGAGCAACTCCAATATTCTAATAATATATACTTCCTTTTCTATTTCTTTTCAATTTTACCCATGCTATCACTTTTATCACCATAATGGTACATTTATACTTAAAATATTCAAGATGAGTTTTGACTTTCCCCCATTTGTCCATTCTCTATTGTTCTTGTTGGTCTTTAGGCCTCACTCATCAGTCTCTGGGTTTGGGTTTAAGGGTGGGATCTTTGATGTCAGGTTCTATTTGATGCTGAAGTTGATTGCTTCTGGTTTTAGGTGGGCCCAATGGATCCAGGAGCCTTTTTATGCAACCTTTACAGCTGTCTGGGTGGTTAGCAGGACTTGGAAGGGCTGATTCTACTCAGGTTGCATCACAGATTTCCATGTGAAAAATCAAATCCACACCCAGTCTCCTGGCTCGAATGGGTGGAGGCCTTCTTCTAGGGGCAGCGTCTGTGTTAACATGGTCTGCTTCCACAGCCTTTGAAGTGGTCTGTTTAGAGAGGGAAGATAAACCCTACCCCTCCTTTCTAAGCTCAGGGAATGTGGGTCTAAGCCTTTCAAAGTATCTGGGGGTCTCCTGAACAGCAATCCAAAGAGGGAAATCCCTATATCCTGTTGGGGTCAGGTTCTCAGATGTAACAGGGCAGTAGGTAGAATCTGGGGCCACAATAAATGTGTTGCCTGACAGAGTTTGCGTAGGAGGGTCTTTAATTCCCTATTGGCCTCTCCACCCCCATCTCCGAAGATTGGGCCTGATAAAGGGTATGAAGGTTTTATGTTATTCCTAATGCTTGTAATATGTAATTAACATTTTGAAATCTAGATAATAATAAAGATCAAGTTTATGAACTTAACTGTTTTTATGTACAAAATATGAATTTTTGCAGAGTATAAGCTGCAAGTATTAACTGAACAAAAAAGATTTTTGACTACGGATTTGGAGGCAACCCTGGATACTATACAAGATGTATGTCGTCATAGTTCAGAAAGAATTACATTTATACAACCTTCTGGTAAGTAGAAAAAATTACTAAGAATTTAAGAAAATATGACACTGATTATGCATATTGTTTTAATACTGTAAACTTAGCAATTGGTGTAATCAGAGAGATTATCAGAAAGAAACAGACAATTAGACTCCTTTCAATCCTGTCTACATTTAAAATATATTGTATTAGTATGTTAAGCATGCCTTAGTCAATCAGTACTGGATACAGAAGCCCAAATTATTCAGTTTTTACAATTATGAAACCCTTTATTTGACCAAACATTTCTGGTAGTGGTCACTCTGGTCCTGCTTGCTGCAGATTTACAGGAATTAGGGTTACTATAATAATACTTCAGCTCTGATATAACACTACATATGTTATTATGAATAATCTTGATTGGTTTTATTTATATTCTGGATTCAAAACGTATCTAAAAAAACAACAACACCTAACTATGCTGTGCTTTGTAAACAGACTTTCAGGTTTCTATTTGGGTCAACTTTGTATACATTGCTGAATTTATTTTTTAAGTTAGTTTGCTAAATTTATGGATTGACTAAATATAGTTTCTTTAGTTTGGTGGATAAAATATAGGTCTATATGGAGAAATGCTTGCTATTTCAACTGGAATATCCATATACTGTAGCTATTATTCTGTAGTTCTTTTGAAGACAGATGATGGAAGAAAGATTAATTTTAATATTCAGTAATTGAAAGAGGGTCTTCCAAAACTTGGAGGAAATTTGCAATCAGCAATCTGAGTTCACATGTTTGAACGGGGCTCTACATCTAAAATCTTTAAAAAGTTGTGTTTTTCCTTGAGCTGTAGGGAGACAGCAAGGAATTACATGGGCCAAACCTTTAAACAAAGCCACTAGTGTCAGAATGGTGATATAACTCTGTATCAGGGAGAGATGAAGAATAAAATCATATTGTGTCCCAGGGTTATAAGTGTGATCTGATAAGTTGCAGCAAGGCAGCTGGTTTTCCAGGAACAGATTTTGCTAGTTGGCACACAAGTCAAAATGAAATACAATCCCTGATGCCTGCCTTCACTCTCAATCACTAGTAGTCTTTAATGCTGAATATTAAACACACTCCCAGTGAATGGACTAGTTCCTTGGAACCTGTACAGATAAGAACCCATAGTATGTTCAACTATGCTCCCCCTGCAATGAGATTGCAATATAAGGATTTCCATGGGTTTGAGCTACCACCAAAGGTAACATTACTCTCACTATTGGAAGATATAAAATATATAACACATTAACTATTTCTAAATTGCTAAAAATCTTTGGAAGAACAAGTTTGAAAATAAGTCATTTCTTTACATTTTTTTTTCTCTTTATTATATTCTTATCACTTTTTTCTCTCTTTTTTCTTGAACACAGTCACAAACAGACACAGACACAGACACACACGATTTTTGTTGTTGTGTTGTTGCTCAGAATAAACCTGTCTTGAGTCTGTTTGCTTGCAGAAAAAGAATTACATGAATTGGATGAATTGGCTGGCAAAAAGCATCAGTTACTGAAAACACTGGAATCTAATCAGAAAGAGCTGCAAAAAATTCAGGAATGTGCACCTATTCAACCAGACAGTGTTAGTGGTAAGTGATGTTGTTTATACTATATAAATAAACTTTTATATTATATAAATACAGCATATATATATTTGGAATCAAATAGTTAAGCATAGACGCACTATTTGGGATGAAGATATGATTAACAATTTGCCTTTGGTATTGTAATTCATTCACTACTTGTTTAAAGGTAATGTAAAGGTTATGTACTGGTTTAAAGGTAATGTAATGTAAGAAACATTTATAGGAACATTTTCTCAGCTCTGATGGTATTTTCAGCACAACATCCGTCCTGAGAATATTTTAGCAGGATAGATTCTCTACTGAGAACCATTTAATAATTTTAATTTCCAGTGTATGTAATGGCTTACATTTAATCACCAATGAATGAGTGGAGAATTTAGAGACGCAAGACTTCATTTTATTATCTAGATATATATCATTAATGTTTTGAACTATAGATAACACTAATTTATTAATTTAATGAATTCATCTATTTTTATGCATAATAATATTGTATCATGATTTTTTATAGAGCATAAATTGCAGGAATTAAATGAGCAAAGAAGAAATTTAACCATAGAGTTGGAGGCAACTCTAGATGGTATGCAGAATGTATGTTGTCGTGCTTCAGAAAAAATTACATTTATAAAACCTACTGGTAAGGAAATAATAACTAAGAATTTTATCAAAAACAGCATTGATTGTGCATATTATTTTAGTATTATAAACCTAACTATCAAAGAATGAAGATAATTATATGCTTTTTCATCTATCAGTAGTGATTCCTCAAGAGAATAGGGAAGTATTGACATATCTATTCGATTTGACTTTGGGGAACTGTATGGATGTATTTATGAGACTTATATGACCACCAATCTTATGAGCCATCTGGTGGTTCACAGCAGCTGTTAAAAAATAAAATGATAAAATAAAATAAAATAATCAATATCTCTCATTCATACCCTCTGTATGTTTAACAACAGTTTGCAATACATACAAAACCCCAATCACTGGGTTCCAGCCTCACCCTAATCCAGGGGTGGGCTTCAAAAATTTTAGCAAGGGTTCTCTGCCCAGTTGCTGGTGGGCAGGGCCATGGTGGGCATGGCCTAGTTGGCCTCCTGCACCATGGCGGAGGGGGTGTTTCTGCCCTCCCTGAGCTCCAGAGGCTTTCCTCGAACCTTTGGGAAGGTGAAACAGCCTCCCCAGGCTCTGGAGGCTGGAAACGGACCCTTCCTGAACTTCTGGTAGGCTCATTTTTTTCCCTCCCTGAGCCTCTGCGCATGTCCTGCACTTACCTGCATCCAAAACGGGCCACGTGGGGACTCCTGGGAGGGGAGAGGTGGGGTCGGTGGGGCCAGCCAGGAGTGGGATTTGGGGGTTCTCCAAACTGCACAGAATCCTAGCTAGAGATTCTCCAAAACCCCTGCGAACCCCCAGAAGCCCATCCGTGCCCTAATCCAATCCTTTCTTGCTTGCAGAAAAAGAATTAAATGAGTTGCATGAATTATCTGAGAAGAAACATCAGTTACTGGAAACACTGGGCTCTAATCGAAAAGAACTACAAGAAATTCAGGAACTTGTAGCTATCCAACCAGGCAGGGTCAGTGGTGCGTGGGATGTTTTTTGTTTAATATTTAAACACACACACATTTTGAATCAGATAAACACAGGTACTTATGTTGAAGTAGCTACCCAACCAGGCAGTGTCAATGGTACATGGGATTTTAATTTTTTTTTTAAAACACACACACATACACATTTTGAATCAGATACTCACAGATACTTATGGTGAAGATGCATGAGTGATAATAGCATTTGCTACTGTTACTCATGTTATGCCAAGTGAAAAATAGTTTCATGGAAGTTTTTCTTAATCCAGAAGCCATCTACTAGAAAAAGACTGTCCTCTTCAGTGACTATGCTACTAGTATGTTTATTCTTAGATGTAAAGATAGGTATTAAATTTTGGTAGCTCACATACATAGAGCCAAGAGCAGACATTCCATTTATCTATTGCAATTAAGAATAATATATATTAATGTTTTAGAAAAACAGCCCTACTGCAAAAATAGTAATTAGCTTTGTCCTGTAGAGTCCTAGACCAGAGCATATTCACCTAAGCTGACATTTGAACCTCAGGTTAATTTCAAACATATGTACCTGTTCAAAGATAATGCTGATACCTGCTAATCACTGGAATTTTCTATTTAGCATGTTATATAGTAATGTTTTTTTCCTGATTTTTTCATAGAGCATAAATTGCAGGAATTGACTGAACAAAGAATACATTTGACCTCAGATCTGGAAGCAGCTGTATTTGATATACAAAATATATGTCGTCATGCTTCAGAAAGGACTACACTTGTACAGTCTACTGGTAAATATGAAAATATGAATACTAAGAAGTTTAGAAAAAGCGGCACCTATAATTCATATTGTTTTGGAAGCTATAATCATTGTAATAATTGAGTTATTAGAATCCTTATCTGTTGGTTTCTCTTTCTAATTCTCTGAATCTTGTGAATTTTCACCTCCAAGGTGATGGCTGGGCAGTTACTGTAGTTTGTATTACCAAAAAAACCAGATTGAAAATCTTACATTGGCTGAGAAACTTCGGAGCTTGGTGGAGAAATAAAACTTCTACAGAAGTGGTAAAAAGCTATGCAGACAAATTTTAGTGCATCAGCAAAAGCAATGCTGGCAGAGACTCCAGTAAACAAGAATGAGCTTAATCAGATGTGAGCTTGCCAGGTTCTGAAAAATGTCATGTTGGTGGCAGTGTGGATTTCAATGTATTGATAAATCTTAACATACTGTATTGAAAGTGGCTGGCACATTAAGACAGCAAACAGTGATTCAATTTGTAACTCAGGTAACTCAGGTATTTTGGTAGGGGAGATTTATTCTTCACTTTTTTCAAGTGTAGGCAGTAGGGGTGTGATCATGCCTACAGCCAGTTGTTAACCACTAATATGGACAAAAATTCTACTGTGGTCAACAAATAGTGTTATTGCCATATTACCTTCTCTGCTTTCTTTGTGATCAGCTGGAAAATAGAAGACTTAGAGCTGCTGTGATCAGAGGTGGGTGTCACATAATGTAACAACCGGTTCGCCCAAAACCGAAAATGTGAGCGTTGCTTCACGTGCACGCCTTCCACACATGCATGTGGCAACAAAAACATGGCGATTATATAGAATGGGTTAGTGCCGGAGTGGGTGGGTGGGCCCAGTTGCTGCTCGGAACTACTCGTTCGCCCAAACCGGTCAGAACTGGCAGCAGCTGTGATCTTTTGCAGCATGTAGTTATTTTATTTGTGAAGTTTGGAGATTGATGAAATTTGGAGTTGCTTCCTCCATCTTTCTACCCTGGATAATTGATAGATCTGTTTTGCTTCTGAAGATTGCTTGAGTGTTTTCTTGAATGTCTGATGGAATGTCTCTAGGATATTGTTGTCACTTCCTAGAGCAAGGATGCTGGATGGCTTATGGATAAGAATTGTTCTTGAGCAGAGTATCTTTGTTAACTGATTCTGATGGAATAGTTGATGTTTACCATGGGTTTCAGGAGATTCTCAGAATAATATAGGAAAAAGATTAAGAGAGATCAAATGAAAATTTATATGAGCCTACATTATGGCCACAAAAGTGGGAAAATTACATTATTTTTCTGCTCTTAATCCCACCATAGCATGTGGTTATTTTTAAATTAACTCTGACTCATATGGTGAAGAATAACTATGATCTGACATTCTAAGGTCCTTTGTGAGGAATATACAAAACATCTGCCAGAGTGCAAATTCTTTTAGAATTGTAGGTGTATTTTGGTTTCAAGAATAGCAATTGACAAAGATAACCAGGACAGTTTATCCATTTTTTCATATAGGTACTCTTCATGACCATTCATTCAGCAATAAAGTTATGACAATTATAAATTATTGAATGGTAGTTATGACTGGTCCTCAGTGTTCCAGCTGTCCCAGCACCCTGCAGTAATGTGATCACAATCTGAGTGCTTGCAAGTCAGCTCACACTTATGACTAGTTGGAGTGTTCCATGATCATCATTTGCAACCTTCCTTGCCAGCTTTCCCAGGAAGTCAATGGGGAAGCCAGCGGGGAAGGTCAGAATTTTCTGGGTTAAGTTTCCCTCCCCCAAACCATCAGCATTTGTGCTGTGCTGGCCATTTGTACACTTCCATGCACTCTCCCCAAGCTTTGCTATATATATACTCCCCTGCCACTTGTCTACCTCTGCTCTTCCTCCCTGAGCTTCGTCATGCTTTCTGTCATCCTTGTGCATTCACTTGCATTCTCACAGTGCCTTCCATGTGCCTCATACACCCTCCTTGAATTTTGTTGGCTTTTCCTTGCACGTTTGCACAGTTTCTGGGTGTCTCACCATATCTCCTGTGTAGCATCCCTCACATCCTCATGCACCCTCTTTTTTACAACTGCATTGCTTAGAAGTGGAAATTCCAGTCCCAACCACCAATATAATTTGAGGACTGGCTATATAGAATAAAACTGTTTACAATAGATATTTAAAACACAATCCTAGCTGTTGCCCAGCGTCAGGTTTACTCCTAAATCTCGTACCTGGCTCAATAGTGAGAGGGAACTTGGAGTCCTAATGGACAGTCAATTAAATATGAGTCAGCAGTGTGTTGTAGCTGCCAAAAAAGCCAATGCAGTCCAAGGCTGTATTAACAGAGGGATAGAATCAAGATCACATAAAGTGTTTATAATGCCATGGTAAGACTACAGTTTTGGTCGCCACAATGTAAAAAAGAGTGCAGAGAAGAGCAACAAAGATGATTAGGCAATTCAAGGCTAAAACATATAAAGAATGGTTGATGGAATTTGATATGTCTAGTTTAATGAAAATAAGGACTAAGGGGTGATATGATAGTAGTATTCCAATATCCCAGGGGTTGCTATAAAGAATTCTATTCTCCAAAACACCTGGAGGCAGAACAAGAAGCAATGGATGGAAACTAATAAAGGTTAGAAGCAACCTAGAACTAAGGAGAAATTTCTTGACTATTAGAATAATTAATCAGTGGACTGAGTGGCCTCCAGAAGTTGTGGGTGCTCTAACACTGGAAGTTCTTAAGAAGAGTTTGGACGATTTGTCTGAAATAGTATAGGGTTTCCTGCCTGAACAGGAGGTTGGACAGAAGACCTGCAAGGTCCCTTTTAACTCTCTTATTCTGTTAAATCTGAATCCATCAACCAACTTAATTGGTCCTCTTCTCTTGCAGAGATTGAGTGAGCTTCCAATATGCATGCGCACCAATTAGTGATTCAGACATCTTTATGATCTTACCAAAGTGTGTGGTTGCTCTCCTCCTTCTTTACTTTACTTTACTCCAGCAAACCATTAAAAAAACAAAACAAAAGAGCTATCCTGCAGTTTTGCCTTTATCTTCTTGATAGTTAAATTGGCATTTATAATGTTTCTTTTAATTTGATAAAACAAAAATTTCTTTTGTCTTTTCTTTCATCTAATAAATTATTCTCTGCTTTCAAAAAACTCCAATTCACACAGTAGTAAACTTTTGAATTCAGAATTTCTTCATCAGGCAAGTTGGTAAATATAGCAAATGGAGAGGAGTTTTGAAAAAGTAGGAGATACCAAGCCAAATCTGCACTTTAGGGAAGGTTGATTTTAGAAATTTAAATTAGGCTATATTGTGATTATTTTTTTGTTATAAATGTAATGCAACAGTGAAGAGCTTGATCATATTTCTGAAGAGCTCAAATACAGATAACTTCACTGTGGTCATTAACCAACAGAAATTATTGCCAATTGAAACTCTGAAGAGATCATTCTGAAAGTTTTTGCTTGCAGAAAAAGAATTACAAGAATTGCAAGAACTAGCCAAGAAGAAAGAACAGTTAATAGAAACACTGGAATCTAATCGGAAAGAGCTACAAAAAATTCAAGAACTTGCAGCTACACAACCAGATAGTATAAATGGTATGTGTGATATTCTCTTTATTTTTTTAATCTTTGTATATACATATACAGAGACACATTTGGAATCATATAGTTGAACACAGGATATATGGAACAAAGGCTCTTGACTCCGAATAACTTGCTAATGTTATTCTTTTATACTACAATGTGTTAAAACTATTTCAGTGAGGCTTGAAAAGTAATCACAGATTAGTTTGGAAGTCATCAGGTTAGAAGGTTAAACTAGGTTTTAGTTTTAACTAGGTTTAAGCCTTTGATAGTCCAAAGCTGTAATAACTACAAACACACTTTATCAGATGGATTGGATGAAGTAAACTGTATCATATAAAAGATTATATATTTTAATTAAATGTATTAGAAAAAATTCTATCAGAATCCTTCAAATTTTATGTCTTGTTAGGAAACCTGCTCAATTGCAAAAAACAGCAAAACTTGTCCAGAGAGAGTCTAAGTCAAGAAATTCTCACTAGGCTCAGATATGAATAATGTAGATTAAGGGTATTGCTGCCAGAAAGAGATGTATAGGAATTTATTCTAAATTCTACTAACATTTGCAGAAGAGTAGAGTTACATTCCATATTCGAGCTAGGTTACAATGAGAATACAGCAAAAGCAAAGATCCTTCCCTGACAAAATCATTAATGGTTTTAACATCAACTCCAAAGAGTGCAAAATGCTGTACAATTTAATTTCTTGTGAATGAATGGAACTTGTAGTTAGATACATTAAAATTTTGAAATGTAGATAATATTAAGGTTGACTTTAATGAATATTACTATTTTTATGTTGTATAGAATATAAACTGCAGGAATTAACTGAGCAAAGAAGGCATTTGGCCACTGACCTGGAGGCCACTTTAGATGATATACAAAATGTATGTCACCGTTATTCAGAAAGAACTACATTTATACGACCTTCTGGTAAGTACAAATGAATTAAAGATTCTAGAAAAAATTGGTATTGATTGTACATACTGTTTTGTTACTGTAAACCTAGCAATCCTGTGAATCTGTCAGAGAGAGAAGGACAATTCAAGTCCCTCCTTCCTGCTTGGATTCAAAATAACTTGATAATTCCAGTGTATCTACATTAAAAATTATTTGTTTTCATGGCATTTATATTTTTGATACCTTAATCAAGCCTTGTGCCAATCTGTTCTGAGGACCATATAGGTAGTCCTTGTTGAATGACCATTTGTTCAGTGACTGTTACATCAGCAGTGAACAAAGGGAGATAATGTCCATTCTTTGTAGCTGCAGCATTATAGCATTACCACGGTCATGTGACCACGATTTGATCCTTTGCAATTACAATCGCTGCAGCATCTTGTAGTCACACCATTTCAATCAACAACATTCACTGCTAGCTTCCAACAAGGAAGGTCGATGTGGAAACTGGCAGGAAGTCACAAATGGTGATCATGAGACTGTGGGACACTGCAGCTGTATGGGATGATGGCAACTGGAACTGCAACAAGTGCCATGGTTAGTTGGCATGGCCATGTGTTGCTTAATGATGGAGTTACTGGTCTCAATTACCATCATCAAGCCAGAACTACCTGTACTCTTCAGGTTTTACAATAAAGAAAATGTATCTGGTCTTGATCACATTTTCTGAACTAAAAGATGCTACAGATCTTTTATTAGAGGGAAGGTCACCATAGTAGCCCTTCAGCTGTAATGAAATCTTTAAGTAATAATATCTTCATTTGGATGAACTCATATTCTGGATATGAACAGATGTTCATGTTTTTGTCTGGGTCAGCCTTATTTCTGTGTTTCCTGTCAGTAAATCCGGGTTTAAATGTTAGTTTGCTAGATTCCCAGAAACATTTAGTTTCTTTAGTTATGTTGATAAATTATGGGTCATCTTCTAGTGAATCTCATGAAAACAATTATTGCTATATCAATTTATCTCCTGAAATATTTTACATATGTCGTAGTTCTTTCAAAAATAGCATTATAAATCCCTTTAACCCCATTAATCCAGCTAGATTTTTGGTTTTCCCTACTATTTCTTTCACGTTTATCAAGCATAATGATTTTCCTGGTCCATTATCATCTTGCATGACATGAGCAAAAGATGTGAGTTTGTGCTGGCTGATCCTTTCCTTAAGTGGGAGGTAATCAGTCTTAAGTAGTCATGAGTTACCGATTTCTACTTTTTTTAGTAATAATTTCAGATTCATGTTTGAGTGGCCACCTTTCACAGAAGTCCATTACTAGTGTAATGATTTTCATTTTGTTTAGCAGAGCTGATTGTCATCATTTATAATCTTGTTCAATAAAGAAGGTTATTTCTGTAAGAGATCTATGTCATTGTCTTATTTCCTCATATACTTATTTATTTAATAAAAATTTTATGGCCACCTAACTTGCTTTCAGTAACTCCAGGCAGCTTACAAAGATAAAAACCCAATATAAATACAATAAAAAGTAATAACCCTCATCTCCCTGGCAACAACAATCAGTCAAATAAGCCTTTATGGGTTCCATCCCACTTTGCGTTCTCTAGGCCTGTTGGCAAAACCAGGTATTCAGGGCCTTGGGGAGATGTTCCAGAAGGAGGAAGCCACCAGAGAGAAATCCCTTCTTCTTGAACTTGCTAGATGTTTGTGCTTCTTCAGGAGAAGAAACCCATAGCATTCCCTGCCCATCCACTCTGGTAGGTATCTGTGACTGGGAAAAGAGGGTCCTTTAAATAACCTATGCTCCCAAGCCATGTACAGGTAGTCCTTGATTTATAATCATTCTTTTAGTGACCATTTGAAGTTACAAAGGCATTGAAAAGGTTATTTATGACCAGTTTTCACACCTATGACTGTTGCAGCTTCCCCATGGTCACATGATCAAAATTAGGATGCTTTGCAACTGGCATATATTTATTACAGTTGCAGAGTCCCAGGGTCATGTGTTCACATTTGTGACCTTCTGTCAGGTAAAGTCAGGGAAGTCGATTCACTTACTGACTTAACAACTGCAGCAGTGGTGGGATTCAATTTTTTAAACAACCGGTTCTGTGGGCGTGGCTTATTTGGGTGGGTGTGGCTTGGTGGTCATGTGACTGGGTGGGTGTGGCTAGCTGGTCATGTGACCAGGTGTCCATGGCTATGTGTATAGGGACTACTCAGAGGGTTAAAAAAAGTCATTTCTGACTGGTCCTTGCACTTTTGACTGGTCCTCACACTTATGACCATCCTCACATTTATGCCCATTGCAGCATTCTTAACAACCATGTCACTCATTTCACAACTGCTTCTCTTCACCATGTTGACAAGATAGGGCAAAAAACGTAAATTACCAGAACAAATAGACACAGAACTAGTCAGATTTCCAAAGCTGCTGCTTTTCAGGAACAGAGATTAGTATTTTTCCTTCCAAACAAAGATGAATAGGGAAAATTATCCCATCACTAAACACAGGATTAAACATCACCAAGCACAGAATTAACTTCACCAAAAACCAGTTTTAGACCAAAAGTCAGAAAGGGTATGTAAATTCACGTTGGAATGTCAATTTTTCTAGCTAGCCAATAAGCCTTGCTGAATGTCACTCATCTTGGTTCCTTGTCATTAAAAGCTTCTGCTTCATTATTCAATTATTTCTTCAAAGTGCTGATCATTGCACCTTGGCTGGAAGAACTCCAACAGGCGAGTATTTCCTCCCAATAGCAGTGTAAAAAGCTTAAAACAACCCTTTTGTTGTTGAGAGTGTGGTGGCGAGACAGCTTCCTCGGTTCCTGGATGAAGCTGTCTATCTAGATCTGTGCCAGTCGGGCTTCAGAACGGGTTACAGCACGGAAACAGCATTGATCGCATTGGTTGATGATCTCTGGAGGGCCCGGGACAGGGGTTGTTCCTCTGTCCTGGTCCTCCTAAATCTCTCAGCGGCTTTTGATACCATCGATCATGGTATCATGCTGCGTCGGCTAAAGGGGTTGGAAATGGGGGGTACTGTGTTGTGGTTTTCCTCCTTCATCTCTGACCGTATGCAGTCTGTGTTGACGGGGGGGCAGAGGTCGACCCCGAGGTTCCTCACTTGTGGAGTGCCACAAGGGTCAGTCCTCTCACCCCTCCTGTTTAACATTTATGTGAGGCCGCTGGGCGAGATCATCCGTGGCTTTGGGGTGAAATGTCAACTGTATGCCGATGACACGCAGTTGTACATTTCAACCCCAGGCCACCCCAATGATGCCCTTGACGTGATGTCCCATTGCCTGGAGGCTGTGCGGATCTGGATGGGGAGGAACAGGCTCAGACTCAACCCCTCCAAGATTGAGTGGCTTTGCTTTCCAACGTCCCGATATAGCCAGCTAACACCATCATTGGCTATTAGGAATGAGATCTTACCCCCCTCAGAGAGGGCTTGCAACTTGGGCGTCCTCCTGGATTCACAGCTGTCTTTAGACGATCATATGATGGCCGTGGCCAGGGGGGCTTTTTATCAGGTTCGCCTGATTTCCCAGTTGCGTCCCTTTCTGGATCGGGACGCCTTGCGCACAGTCACTCACGCGCTCGTCATTTCCCGTCTGGACTATTGTAATGCTTTCTACATGGGGCTCTCCTTGAGGAGCACCCGGAGGCTCCAACTGGTCCAGAATGTGGCCGCGCGAGTGATAATGGGGGCGACTCGTCGCTCCCATGTTACACCCCTCTTGTGCGAGCTGCACTGGCTCCCAGTGGTCTTCCGGGTGCACTTCAAGGTGTTGGTTACCACCTTTAAAGCGCTCCATGGCTTAGGACCTGGTTACTTACAGGACCGCATTCTGCCACCGTTTTCCTCCCACCGACCGACACGCTCTCACAGAGAGGGCCCCCTCAGGGTGCCATTGGCCAAACAATGTCGACTGGCAACCTCCAGGGGGAAAGCCTTCTCTGTGGGGCTCCTGCCCTATGGAATGAATTGCCCCCGGACATACGAAGGATCCCCGACCTCCGCGCCTTCCGTCATGCTCTGAAGATCCTATTATTTCAGCAAGCCGATCTGACGGGATAAATTATTTTAAATTGGGTTTTAAAAATGGTTTAAAATGGTTTTAATTGGAAGTTTTAATTTTGGCCAAAGATTGAATATGTTTTTTAAATTTTGTCTTGTATGTTGTTTTATCATGGCTGTTCACCGCCCTGAGTCCTTCGAGAGAAGGGTGGTATACAAATATAATAAAAAACTAAAAAAAAAAAAAAAAAACCAAAAACCCTTCCCCTTTAAGAAAGTCAAGGAAAAAGAAAATCTTCCGAGAACCTCCGGAACCGGAAGTGACAGTAAGTCTAGGCATACTGCCGGAGAGGCAGTTTCTGTAAGCAGGGCAATAAAGATTAGGCTAGGAAACAACACCGAATGTTGTGATTCCTTACAGGATTAACTCTGTAAAGTGAAAAAAAGACAAAAGGAGATATTTCATTTAACAGCCAGTTCTCCAAACTGCTTAACTACTTAACTACTTAACAACCGGTTCTACTGAATCGGTGCGAACCGGTAGAATCCCACCACTGAACTGCAGTGATTCATTTAGCAACTGTGGCAAGAAAGGTTGTAAAATGGGACAAAAATCACTTCACAATTGTCTCTCTTAGCAACAGAAATTATGAGCTCACTTGTGGTCATAAATTGAGGACTACCTGTAGGTCTTTAAATGTGATAACCAGCACTTTGAATTGGACCCAGAAGCAAATCAAAAACCAATGCAGCTCTTGTAGGAGAATGACATTTTTTTTTTTATTTTTTTTTTTTTATTTGATTTATATGCCGCCCTTCTCCGGAGACTCAGGGCGGCTTACAGTGCGTTAAGCAATAGCCTTCATACTTTTGTATATTTATACAAAGTCAGCTTATTGCCCCCACAAACTGGGTCCTCATTTAACCTACCTTAGAAAGGATGGAAGGCTGAGTCAACCTTGAGCCTTGGAGAGATTCGAACCAGCAGTAAATTGCAGGCAGCTGTGTTAATAACAGGGTGCTTTAAACCACTGTAGTACCAAGGCTCTTTTAATTAATTTAATTAATTAGATAAAGTTATTTTTGTACCTCGAATGTTAGTGTTCTTGTGGAAGTCTGAAGAATTCTCTAAATCATCTGTGAGAACTTTTATTATTCATGCTTTATATCTGATTGTAGTTGTTATCTTTGAACCATAACATTCTCATTATAATCTCAGTGTACACTTTAAACAAATCTGGTTTCAGTGTATATCCTTCTCAGTCCATTTTTCTAATTCTTATTCTTGGTTTTTCAAGATTTTCTTTTTATAATAATTTATTCCCTCTAATGATTTCTCAGAAAAATAGTCAAGTGCTTTAGCATGCCTATGAATTACATTCATATTTTGCATTGTTTTTAAAATTAAAGACCATATTTATTAGAGTTATATTAAGCTTTGAATGTAAAATATAAATAATTTTATTTCATAATACCTAATATCAACATTTCAAATTATAATTAATGTCATATTTTGTTATCTTTAAGGATTTTAAGTTATCTAAACACTGCAGTATTAATAATCTCTAGTCATGCTATAAATACTAATTTTTCAAACTAATATATGTATGATGTATGTACAATGTAACAATTTTTAAAGAAAACAAAACAAAACCAAGAATTAAATACCTTGATGCATTGTGTGCGGTTTTAAGACTTAGCAACTATCCCACAATATGTGAATTTGTCTAAATATAGTAATTATGATATGAACCTGCTGTCAGGTATGCTTCCTTCAGTATCCAGGAAAGAAAACCCCAAACTCAAGCATTTTGAAGAATCTGGTACTTTTACTGAATATGAAAAGATTAACATCCCAGTGAAAAGCTGGAAGTGATCAAAACGCGCGAAATGCATCTACTAAGCTTCTTCCCCCCCTCGTGTTTATAGTTTCTCAGCCAATCTAAAGGTCTTCCAAAGGTCAGGTGGCAACACGTCTGGCAGCGTCATCCATCAGGAATGTCAAGACAGTTGGTCGGCCATCCCCTTCTGAAATTTAGTTTCGATTCCCCCGAAGTCCCCTCCTACAAAGACAAACCCCCTCCTGCTCTCTTCCCCCCCTTTGCTCCATACCTAATCCCTCCCCGTTTCTTATGGCAGCTAAAGCAGGAAAGCTGATGCTGACACCTGCTTTGTTGGTTTTTAAGAAGTAGTGCATGTTTTTATGTTATAATGTTCATTATGTTTATTTTATTCTTAATAATAATTCACAGTTTAAAATATTTAAAATAATACATAAATTCATAACTTCTAAAATGTTTCTCAAGAGATGAGTGAAAAAACATTTCTGCTTGCAGAAAAAGAATTACATGAGTTGTTGATGAAGGAGCAACAGTTACTGGAAAAGGTAGAATCAAATGAAAAAGAGCTACAGGATGCCAAGGCTCTTGCAACTACCCAGCCAGGCAGCATCAGTGGTATGTATCTGGATTTTTGTATTATATGAACAACAATATTAAACATTTAGGTATATAGGAATTTCTTTATATTAGTTGGACCAGTGATACATCTGCTTTTTTATCTCAGTATTATAGATATTGGTTGTAATGGTATCATTCCAGGAGGGTGTTTTGGTTTATTTTTTCATTCATGGAAATACAGGAAACTGAACAAAGGCACTTCACAATAGAATTTTATTGTCTTCATTTGGTAACTGGAGATGAGAAACTGTGACTTAAGAGATACAAAGAGTTATACTGAGGAGGAAAACATTTGGTTTTTATAAGCCTGCTTACGTAAGGACAACATTTATACCTCACTTATTGTTTTTAACTGCATTTTCAGCATCCAGGCAATAGGCAAACAAAAATGAATGTGGATAATGGTAAAGCTTCTAAGTACCTTTAACTAGTGATTTTAATGTCCCAAAGGTATTTTTTCAGGAGGCAACTGGACTTTCTGGGGGTTTTTTTGAAGACATTTCGCTTCTTTCGCGACATTTCTCATCCAAGAAGCCTCTTTAGCTCTGAAGAAGCTAAGCTAAAGCAGCTTCTTGAATTAGAAGCTAAACGTCTTCAAAGAAAAACCAGGCAGACCAGTTGCCTCTTGAAAAAGCACCTTTGGTACAACCATGACCTGGATGACTGATATATATATCAATCAACCAACCCCAGCAGGGTTATCCAAACCAGGAAAGTTATCCCAGCTGCTCAGCTAACACCTATATTGGGCGGCAGTCATACAGAAAGATGCCAGAGGCAGATGATAACTTTAGTGACAGAGACAAAGGCATTAATTCAATATATACAAGAGAAGACAGTAAACCACCTCTGTATTTTTATAAAAAAAACCCCACATGAGTAAAAAATATAAAATGACTGATGATATAATGCCAGATTATGGATCTTTCAGATTTGATTGCACTCAACATGCTACTGAGGAAGAGATGAGGATATTTCAGTGAACTAATGTAGTTTACAATGAGGATATTAAAGCTTTTGGGACATCTGGTTGCTGATGTTGCTATATAAGAAAGAAAATCCAAAACTGCAAGGGCAGAATTACAATAGAAACATGGAACAAAAGAAGCATGAATGCAGGAAAGCTCAATACAGTTGAGAAAGATGAAATGAAATTAACACCCTCTGCCCCCTCATCCTGTTGGGTTTCCTCATTGTGGCAGAAGGGGCAGTCAGCACCTGTCACAAATTTAACAGAGAGAAAAGTGTGTTTTCTTCAAAATTAATACAGGATCATTTACAAAAAAGATTGAATAAAGGAGAGTCTTAAGACACAATGCTGTTTAATATGTTCTCCTATTTGGAATGACATCTATCAGATGGCCTGTGGGGGAGAACATAAATTGCATTTGAGCATTCCTGGCTATATCAAAACCACTGTAAATCTGGTCACATAATACCTACAGTGAAAGAAAGGCTTTGCAAGGACACATAAAATCAGATATATACAATGGATGCATGGAACAAAAGGTGGGATATAAATCTAAAAAATAAATACATAAATAAAAACTGGAAAAATTGAGTTAATAAGATTTGAATGAGATAAGTGAATGTGAGAGATAAGTTTTGCTAAGAAAATCCTATATTTACAGTATAAAGAGATTTAAATAAATCAATACAGATGTAGTCAGAATAATCATCAATGAAATATATTTAAGGAACAGATATGAAAGTTACATACAAATGAACATGAACCATGTAAAGAAAATTAAAGTAGGAAAAGTATTTCTAAAATTTCAAAAAGGGAAAGATTCAAGCAGTTTTCTAAGCAACTTATTGTATAAGTAAAAAACAAAAGAAGATGAAAGGTTTGGGCAAGTATCCATCAAGATACTTTTTAATCTGTTTTTAAATTATTGGGGTATTTTAATTTGTCTGGGCCAAAAAGTTTAATTTGATTTTATCGGGTTTTTTAAAGTTTGTGTATTTATGTATTTTATTGTTGGCTGTTCATCGCCCTGAGTCCTTCGGGAGTAGGGCGGTATACAAATCAAATTAAAAAAAAAAAAAAAGATGAAATAACCACTGACCCAAAAGCAAATACTGTATTTTCCGGCGTATAAGATGACTGGGCGTATAAGACGACCCCCGACTTTTTCTGTTAAAATAGAGGGTTTGGGCTATACTTGCCGTATAAGACGACCCCTCTTCCAACGCACACCAAATAAAAATTTAAAAACATCAACTGGCTCACCCACAATGTAAAAGCAGCTGTGCTAGACCCAAAATGGCCCCTGCAACAAGCAGGAACCTCACATAGCCACAAAAAGCCCCAAAAAACAACTTTCACACTTTACACACACAAAATTCCACACACAGCTTTGTGAGATTTTGTGTGTTTGTGTAGTTAGAATGAAACACTACAGAAACACACTAAATCTCAGAAAGCTGCACAAATATTATTTTATTTTATTTTATTTTTATTTTTATATGAAAGCTAAGTTTAAAACTTCCTAAACTTTAAATGGCTAGGTCTAAAAAAAAAACCAACTAAAAAAACCCCCAATTAACTATTTTTTTTAAAGCTCCCAAAGGGGGAAAAAACTTACCCAATAGAACAGGGGTCTCCAACCTTGGCAACTTTAAGACTTGTAGACGTCAACTCCCAGAATTCCTCAGCCAGCTTTGCTTTGCTGGCTGAGGAATTCTGGGAGTTGAAGTCCACAACTCCCTGCCTGCTTGATTACAGGCAGGGAATTGCTTGCTGATGGAATGGATTCAGACAAGCAAAGCAAGGCAAGCGTTGTGACTAGCAGCTAAGGTAAGCAAGCTGGAGGGGGGAAACTTTTTTCCTTTTACATGGCTCTGGTGATCCAAGCTGAGTTGCCTGATTAGCTGCCAACTCAGCTGGGATGGTCAGAGCTTCGATCGTCAGAGCCATGTAAAAGAAAAAAAGTTTTTTCCTTTTACATGGCTCTGGCGATCCCAGCTGAGTTGCCTGATTAGCAGGCAACTCAGCTGGAATGGTCAGAGCTTGGCTCGTCAGAGCCTTTCGGGCTGGTCTGCCTGGTTACAGGAGAACGACACCCGGCATATAAGACGACCCCCGACTTTTGAGAAGATTTTCATTTGTTAAAAAGTCGTCTTATACGCCGGAAAATATGGTATCATTTACATATGATATTCGATAGAAATTGTGATAGAGGTTAATAGACTGATTTCAAAATATATTATTTTTATGAAGATATATATAATATTTCTAGATTATAAAGTACGGGAACTAACCAAGCAAAGAAGATCTCTCATTGCAAATCTAGAGACAATTATGCATGAAATACAAACAGAATTTACATCTGAAGGTGTTTCTATTGTGCATCCTGATGGTAAGTAGAAAATAAATTATATTGTGAATTTTACAAGCATTTATTAAGCATATAGTGCTTCTGAATTTAAACTGATCATTTGGGGATAACATACACACCATCTGGACTATACAGATGGAAAATTAAGTGACATAGAATTGTTCTTCCTTCATCTGATGTAACCTCACTGATTTAATTCCTTGACCATATCCAAGAACATTTTGTCTTTTGTCATTAAAACAAATAGTAATTGGAAAACTTACTCATCCTTTTCTCCTTTTTCACCTCAATATTTAACTTACTTGTAAAGGTAATTCTTCGTAGGGAAAGGCTATTAGACTAATAACAGACTCCCTTCCTCCTCACATCCTGTTCCTTCCCTGCCTATTTTTTAATTTAATATTGTTGTATTTTCATTATTTATTTTTATTGCTTTATTTTTACTGTTGTTATAGTTACAATTCTTACAGTTTTATGTTGTACAAATATTTTTTGTTTTAAAAAGCTTATTCTTTACCTTCCCACTTTTTCCCTCTTTTGCTTTTGCTCTGTTTAACAATAGCAGAAATTGAGAAGAAAACAGGAAACAAGGTTAATAAGTCAGTAAAAATATTGAAATAATAATTGAAAGTTATTGACTCGGAGAGCTATGTGACCTCCTGTAATGGGACTTTTCCCTATGAGCAGTGTGAAGAAGCTGATGACTTATATGTATATAAGGAGTAAACGAATAAACCCTATTCCAGTCATCTCTATTGCCAGATTAATACAAAGAAGGAGACTAGTTGTCCTTGAACATAAACTATCCTGTGACTAGTTCTTAGCCAGCTACCTTCTCCCTGTACTAGGTCTATTAGATTGGGAACTCATAGATTATAGTTGCTGTTGATAAGTTCATGTCAAGCCTCCAGATGTCAGCAAAGCATAACAATTGTTTTCCTCAGAGTCAGAATGCCGGTAGTCCTCGACTTACAATCATAATCACTGGACCCAACGTTTTTGTTGTTAAGTGAAACATTTGTTAAGTGAATTTTGCCCCATTTTACAACCTTTCTTACCATAGTTGTTAAGTTAATCACCACAATTTATAAGTTAGTAACCCGGTTGCTAAGTGAATCTGGTTTTCCATTGAGTTTGCTTGTGAGAAAGTTGCAAAAGTTGATTACATGATCTTGGGACACAACAACAGTCATAAATATGAACCAGTTTTCAAGCATCTGAATTTTGATCACATGATCATGGGGATCCTGCAGAGGTTGTAACTGAAAAATGGTCATAAGTTACATTCTTCAATGCCGTTGTAACTTTGAACAGTCACTAAATGAACTGTTGTAAATCGAAGATTATCTGTACTGAACAGTCAGTCTCTTCAGCTTTGCCTTTTGCAACTGTGCTTTCTGAGAAATTCATGACTTGCAAAAAGATCAGTGTTGTTGCTTTTTATTATGTTGCTCTTGTCTTCCTCTTGATAATGCATTTATAAGAATATTTCTCTTATTATATATAAAATGAGTCTGCGTTTGGGAATGGTTGTGCATTAGTGAATTATCATGAAATACTATGTTATTCTGAAATCCGGTTCCAAAAGAGGTTCTTCACTTGAAAGTAATTTGATATAGATCATCAATTGATCATTTAAAATAGATAGAAATTCTTCCAGTAGTACTAAATCAGATGATCACAGTGTCAAATCTGTTAAAAGCCTCATGTTGTTCTCCCAAAGCTTCTATAATCTTTTGCTAGCAGAAATCCTTTGAACCCCTCAAATACCATTTGCTTCATTTCCCAATAAGGATTCAGAATCAGAATCAGAATCAGAATAGAGCTGGAAGGGGCCTTGGAGGTCTTCTAGTCCAGCCCCCTGCTCAAACAGGAGATCCTATACCATTTTAGACAAGTGACTGTCCAGTTTCTTCTTAAAAACCTCCAGTGATGAAGCACCCACAACATCTGAAGGCAAGCTGTTCCACTGGTTGATTATTCTCACTGTTAGGAAGTTTCTCCTTAATCCTAGGTTGCTTCTTTCCTTGATTAGTTTCCATCCATTGTTTCTTGTGCTCTCTGGTGCTTTGGAAAATAAATTGACCTTCCCCGCCCCCACTTTTGTAGTAGCTTCTCAAATACTGGAATATTGCTATCATGTCCCCCCTAGTCCTTCCTTTCTCTAGACTAGCCAAACCCCAAGTCATGAGGTTGGAAAGGGTTAAAGGGGCTTTATTATTACAGATTGATTTCTTATTGTAAATGATTGTATCACAATTAGGCTATTATCCATGTGCTTTCCGGAATTCTTTGAGTTTAGCTGTCTCTCAATAATAGTTATTTCCTTAGCAATATTTGGAATTTTGGAAGTCTTCTTATCTCTGATATTGGTAATATCTTTACAAGAGTGATAGGAATGAAAAAACCATTCACATGATGTGTTATTTTACTTCCTATTTTCTTTTGTGTCACAGCCCTGGTCACCAGAGTTTCTGGGGAAACACTCTTGGAGAAAAAAGTTGATAATTTTTTACTGCTTTTGAGATTTAATGTACACATCTTCAGTTACAGAGCATAACCCCTCTTTTGTAGAATTCTCTAGCGAGGACCATTGTTTTGATACCTTCATCAGCTCAGTTTATAAACAGCTTTCAGTAAGAACTTACAGAAGCACTACAAAGAGAGGGCTATTACTTAAAAGTATAGGTTGAAATGGCAAATTCTCGCTTTGTAATATTCCTGAAACAGTCTCTATTTTAGACAGCAAATTTCACAATCTTCTAATTTCTTTATGTTCAGTTGTAATCTTCAAATTGAGTGTTAAAGCCCATACATTGTAGTGTAATCTTCAGGTATGCTGGTGTAGTATTGCAATTAGGTTTATTTCCAGGAGTTCCAGATAATTTACAAGGCTTTCCATTTCTCTTATTCTGCTTTCCTTCTGAACAACCCAAGATAAAACTTCATATATAATTAACTTTAGATGTTTGCTCCAAAAGAGGATAAACTCAAAAGCTCATGTAAACTCTGGCTGTCTCACCCTCCACATCTCTGGAAATCCAAGAGCTGCTTTAATAGTTACTGCAACTTCAAAAGTAATATAACTTCGATGTGTTTTTTGAAATATTAATGTGTTACAGAAAGAGAATTATATGAGTTATCTGGAAAAAGAGAAGAAATATTGGCAAAGCTTGAATCTGTTCAGAAAGAACTAGATGAAGCTTCAGCTTCTGCAGCTGCGCATCCTGGCAGTGTCAGTGGTATGTATTAATCAATTTCAAATATTATTTTTTAAAAAAAACTCCATAGTTCTTTTCTTTTAATTATTTCCCACTGTTGAATAGAATTTTGATACAAAACAATATTTAAAGAAGGCAGTAAGAACTGAGGCTGTATTCCAAATTCAAGGAGTAAATATCAATAAAAGAGAATATATGTAGCTCATGGTTGAAATGAGGGGTTGAATAGAAATGATGATGTTATCTAGTTTGGATAATGAAATGTCTGCAAGGAAACAACCAAGAGATCTAAGTATAGGATCATTTTTTAAGCAGTGGGACATTTGTAGGGCTAAATCAAGAATTGTTTGCTGCACTTTTAATAAAAACAGGAAGTTCAGTAAATCTGCCTTATGAGGAAAGGTTACAATATTTGGCTTGTTTAGTTCTATAAGCAAAATTAAATAATGCAGAACATTATTCTTCTTCTGCAATACTTTTATACCACCTCTGTGTGTGTAACTACTTAACTCTGGGCAGTAAATAATTCTTGTTCCTGTCTCTTATTTTCTCACAACACAAATGTGAGGTGAGGTGGGTTGAGGGACAGTGAGTGGCCAGCTTTCATGCCTAAGGGAGGCCTCAAGGACAGACTTCTGGTGTCTAAGTCAGCACCTTAACGACTACATTACACATATATGGATGAAACTAGTAGTTAGATACTCATTTGAAGCTGAAAGGACAGATAAGAAGAACATAACTAGCCTAAAGGGGATTAGAAAATATGAATAAAAACAACTCTGTAAATGTCTACTCTGTATTTTTGGTCTAATATTCTACTGTGAAAAAGACTTTGTCTCAGGAAGTTTATTTCCAGGATATTTTTTAAGATTCTGGGGGCTAGGGGCAATATTTGCATCTATTCCCTTACTTTTCATTTTGCGTACACTAATTCATTTCAATTGGTGTAATTGTCACTGCCCTTCCCACATTTCTTTTTCCTTTAAAGTCAGCATGTGATAAATTGGAGTGTAAGGTACAAACCCCAAAATAATACCTGCGACTGTTTTTTAAATGATTAGTTTGAGTATCCTGTATTGATCTAAATGATCATTTCATGTTCTGAACCACACTTTGGACATCAAAGGTCCTTCATTGCTACTATGTAACAAATTCCTTTTGCAACACAACAATTTCATAAGTATGAAAGGTTTTTGAAACAAAGTTGACATGCAGTGAATATTGATTATGACTGATTATGAACCATGAAGTCATGTTTCATTTCTAGCAACCATACAGTTATTCTCTCCACAACAATATGTCCCTAATCTGGCCTTGCAGATCTTCCAGTAGTGCACCTGTCATCATTGTAACATCCACCTCGCTTCTGGTTGTCTTTTTTTTTTCTATTGCCTTCCCTGTTTCCCAGCATTAGAACTTTCTATATCGGTATATAATACATAATAGGTCTAAAGAAGGATAATTTGAACCTGGTTATTTGGGCCTCAAATGAGAACTATAGATTGACCAATATTGTACATATTATGAATACAAATACAAATATTTAAGTTTCCACAGATTCTGCCCAGAATCACTTGATTGAGTTTGATGATTATAGAAATTTAATGAATGAATAAATAAATATAGTAGAGCAGTCAACTACAGCACTGTGTATAGCACAACTTTTTCAACATATATGTTATTATTGATCTGATTTTTATAGAGCATATATTACATAAACTTTCTGAGGAAAAAAGACATTTGATTGAAGAACTAGGGCACACTACCATTAATCTACTAAAAGCAAAGAGTGTTGCTTCAGAAAGAGGTATAATTGGAAAATCTATTGGTAAGTATGGATTAAATGAATCTGTGTTTAAAGTAAGCATTAACTTTAGGTATTTCTTCGCTTTCATATATTGTGCCACATTGACATTATTGAAAGAGTTCATAAATCAGTCATGTTATGATCATGAAAATCTCTTTCATCCATTTAAGAACCATTGATTGAAACTCTCAGAGGCAAAAGAGTTGTAATAAAAAAAAATTCTTTGGATAACAGTAAGCTTCTTTTATGGGTGTATATGTTTTGTTTAGGTTGTTGGCTCACCCAGGAGTAAGCATGATACAAATATGAAAATGAGCACATTTAACGTGTGCTCATGTGTTGAGGGAAATGTTTCTGATATCAGCTTTTAATGTTTGCCCTACAAATAAGATCAATACATTCTTTAAGCCAAGTAAACTTTTGGCAAAACTATGTAACATAGGAACCTGGTTTAAGAGCTCCTAATACTTATCTACCTTGCCCATCAACAATTAGTTGAAAGGTGAATGGCTTACAAGGGTCCCTCAGATAGCAATCTTCTATAGGACCTATTACTTGATATTTTAATTGAAGATGGTGGAGAGAATGTACTCATTGAACTACAGGTTCTTTATGAAAAGCTGCATTTTAAAGAACCATATCCCAGTACTTGGCACTGGTTTTGTGGGGATTTATAGTCACAATTAAGGTACAAGAAACAGTAAATGTAGTGCCACCTAGGATGTTCCACACAATTTTGTTTGATCCTTGTTGTTAGTTGCGAAGTCATGTCCTACCCATCGCAATATGGACTTATTACTTATTGCTTGTATTCTATTATATAAAAATTATATCTGCTAATATTCCTCCTATTTCTTATTTCTACCTCTATTCTAACTTCTAGTCAGGCCATCATTATGAATCCTAGTGTTAATACACTTGTTTATATTAAGACATAGTCCTTCAGTATTTGGTTGTTCAAAGTCACAGTACGCCATTCAAGTACCAGTTATCCTATTATTTAAACATACCTAATAATACCATCTTTCAACTTTCGATCTTTCCATCTAACTATGGCAGTAGTTACAACTCTTGATCTCTCCGAAATTATACAGTTCTTTAGTCTATTGTTACATAAATATTATCTTTATGATTTCTCACAATTTTAAAAAATAAACATATGTACCTTCCAATAATGATGTAAAATACATGAAGATGTTATCTTCTCTATACACAGAAAAGCATGCTAGATTGGGACTTTTACTTCATCCTTCCAAAGAGATAATTGAGAGGAGGAAAATTGGCTTTTGTTTTCGTTATATTGTCTGAAATCTGCTTTTTTCTTAGTTTTTGGTTTTCAGTTTAAATGGAGTTGTATAATGGAGTTGTAAAACAAATGCAAGGCAAGAAATAGTTGTCACTATTTCTTGTCTTGCATTTGTTTTAACAATATGTATGTATGTATGCATGTATGTATGTATGTATATCAGTGGTGAAATGTAAAATTAGTTACTACTGGGTCTATGGGCATGGCTTGGTGTGGGAATAATGTGACTGAATGGGCGTGGCCAACTTTTTTTTAAAAAACTTTTAAAAGGATTTTTTCTACAACCTCTTCGGCCGAAGAGTTGTAAAAAAAATCCTTTTAAAAGCCTCTGACAATCCCAGCTGAGTCACGCAATCATCAGAGGCTTTTTTTTTTACTTTTAAAAGCATTTTTTCCGCTGAAGAGGTTGTAGAAAAAATCCTTTTAAAAATAGAAAAAAGCCTCTGGTGATCACGCGGCTCAGCTGGACATGGGGGCGAGCAGGGATTTTTGCTACTGGTTCTCCGAACCACCCGCTGCCATTGCTACTGGATTGGGCGATCCGGTCTAAACTGGGAGCATTTCACCCCTGATGTATTTATATATGCCATTTTAATGAAGTATTCCATACATGATTTTTAATGATGTGGGACATAATTGTACTTTGAACTGTTTTCATGGAATAATTAAAAAAAACATTTTTATCTGAAGAAAAGGAATTACCAATAAATGACCTATTAATGAAGAAGAAAGAATTGCAAGAAAAGTTGCAGTCCAATGAGAAGAAAATAGAGGAAGCTCAGATTCTTGCATCCATCCATCCAGGCATTATCAATGGTAAGGCTATACTGCCTCATGATTTAAAGATTTGAACAGGAATTATTACTAATACTATTATATCATACATATATATATATATGTAGGTCTTTGGCGACGTTTTGACGAAGTCTCATTCGTCATTGCACATTGCTCCTGGAAGCACGAAGCCGAGAACACCAGCCTGAAGATGACGAATGAGACTTCGTCGAAACGTCGCCAAGACACTTCCAATTTTATGTGGGAGAAGACCCGAATAACCAAAGACCTACATACAAACACCCGCGAAAACCTGAGAAAACACACACACATATATATATATATATATATATATATATATATATATGTATGTATGTATGTGTGTGTGTGTGTGTGTGTGTGTGTGTGTGTGTGTATGTATGTATGTATGTATGTATGTATGTAGGTCTTTGGTTATTCGGGTTTTCTCCCACGTAAAATTGGAAGTATCTTGGCGACGTTTTGACGAAGTCTCATTCGTCATCTTCAGGCTGGTATTTTCGGCTTCGTGCCTCCAGGAGCAATGTGTGATCGCAGCTGTTTCCTCCTTTTAACTGCTGGTGGGGGTGTGAACTGATTGGGTGGGAGCTTGGCTGTGTTCTGATTGGGTGGAGGTGTGTTCTGATTGGTTGGGGGTTTGGCTGTGCTCTGATTGGATGGGGGGTTGGCTGTGCTCTGATTGGATGGGGGTATGTTCTGTTTAGGTGGGGGCTTGGTTGTGCTCATGTTAGTCTGAGTTGCAGGGGGATTTGAGCTGGTGAGCTGCATTGCTGTTGTTTGGCTTTGCGTTTGTGGTCGTGCCACCTCTTCATGGTGGGTGTCAGTTTGCTTCTTGTATGGATTGGAGGGTTTTAAAGTGGCTAATGATGCAGCTGTGGTCTGGCTTCTGGTTTGTGGTCGTGCTTCATCGGTGTGGGTTTGCTTTTTGCATGGATGTGTGGTGGTGACATCCTGTGTGGTTTTCGTGAGTGTGGGTCTGGTGTCATTCTTTGTGTTAGGGACTCGTTTGTCAATGAGGGCAGGTTTCCAAATGGCTGGTAAGCGGGAGGTATCATCTCGTTTATTCATGCTGTGTGGGCGTTTTTCTATCTCGATGGCTTCTCTGATTATTCTGTTGTTAAAGTGTTCAGTTTTGGTATATACTGTTTTTCCTTGCAAAGGAAGCCAGAGGCATGTACAAAAACTAAATGTATAAAATTATCTTCCATAAAAAGCAATTTGTTAACTTACGTGAAAATAAAATAAGTAATATAACAATAGGGTTCCACCGTTCTTACCACAGTTATAAGCCTGCAAATGCCCAGGGGAATAACCATATCTTCAAATGAGGTTTAAAAGTATATAATATGGATAGCAATAGTAGATACTTTGGAAGAGGCATCTCTAATTAGGAAATTGATAGTAAGAAATCTGTGACAAAAATGTATAACTTTTATGCATATTTAAGAATTTCTATCTTGTGCATACAAGCCACTTTCACACCGAGATACAGGTATCTTCTCTTTTGTACACAGACACACACACATATCAACCATTTTCCTGTCTTTTCATACTAATAATAGTAGTAGTAGTAGTAGTAGTAGTAGTAGTAGTAGTAGTAGTAATAATAATAATAATAATAATAATAATAATAATAATAATAATAAAAAAAAAATACAGGCTGGATTGGGTAAAATAAGAATAGAAAAGGTTACTGGAAATGGAAGGAAAGAAACATGAAAGGAAATGTGTTAAACATTACAAAAAAAAAAAAAAGAGGTATAATTTACCAGATGAACATCCTGTACCAAATTATTGAGGACTGCTAATCATAGCTTTCAGCTATGTTCCTTTTTTCATTTTCAAGAACACCTATTGTCAGCTAATGCAAATCCTTTGCTCTTCCAATTCATAAAGTAATAATTTGAACAAAATAATTCATCTTTTGCTGCCAAAATTAGGTATTAATTATGTGATATCCTGTTTTCCTGAAAATAAGACATCCCCTGATAAGCCCTCCCCAAAAATATTTAACTACATGCACAGCTGGTCCCCACCATTTCCTCTCATTAGGATTAGGGAGACAGAGCTGGAAATCAGGTAAGACTGCAAGAGGAGCCCCATCTTGTTCCATGTGCCCAAAATTATAAGACCTCCCCGAAAATAAGGTCAAGCGCTTATTTTGCGGTTCAAAAAAATATAAGACAGGGTCTTATTTTTGGGGAAACATGGTAGTATAAAAAAGGTTGGAGCTCTTGAAAACTCCAAGCTTGAGATATGGTTTGAGATACAAACATTAAAATGGCCAATCAAAGTCAAAAAGTGTAAAGATAATTGGTCAATTAAGGAAAGATAGGAAATAAATGAAATAAGAACTAAAAGCTGAAATCTTAAGAGACAGGAAAAAAAACCTTCATTCCTACTATCATATTGACATTTTAGTCCTTCCTACACTTAGAAGTTACAAGGTCAGCCCTGGAAATGAGTCTCCACTTGTTTCAGGTTTATAAACTAGATTGAGAAATTGAAAAAAATACCCTGAAAGAAGGGAGTCACAAATCATTTCTATACTACTGCCAAGAAAGTTACACGGATGTGAAGTCACCAGAAGGTTCAATTTGAAGGAGATTACATTTTGTAGATTGTAGATTATTATTTTTAAATTTAGAGTTTGTATAGATCCAAAAATACTTTAGCAGATAAATAGGGAATATTGCTTATTTTGCATAACAGTTTTAATGTTTTCATGGCTTTCTGGAGAGTTTTTTTTCAAGAAGGATTTTGGGTGTTAACTATAGGCATAGGTATGTGTGTGTGTATTTATGTCTATTTATAAGTGCATGCATATTTAATACTATTTTTTATATTCTTCAGTGTCATTTTAATAATATTTATTGTTTTAACAGCAATCCACTAAAATTATTTAGGCCTCAGAATAAATTGCATAAATAAATTAGTATTATTATATGCATTGACATGAAATTATTTTACAGAACAAGCACTTCAAGAATTGGTTGAGGCAAAAAGACACCTGATTACAGATTTAAGAACAACTGTACATGATCTTCAGAAGGCTGAACATGCTTTAGAAATGGCTCAGACTGAACGATCTAGTGGTATGACTTAAAAATTTTTAAATTTATTTCACAATAATAGTGCTTTATCACCATCTTTACAATAATATTAATGTTACAAGAAGCGTAAATCAAGCACCTTTCTCTGTTGTTGGATGAATGGTTTATAGCCATTTGGAACAATGGTTTAAGGTATACTGTTTAATAATTTATCAGAATGAGTTAGAAGTGATCATTTACTAGGAAATACTTCTTTTATTTACTATTGATTTAATAAAAAATCAATCAATTTCTGTCATTCCCTCCTTCCTCATCTCTTGAAAATTATAAACCAATGAAGTGGGGTCATTTTAGATTCCAGTATCCTCTTCCTCACATCTCTGTTTACAATGTTTACTTATAAAAGAGAATACATATTCCTAGCTCACTGTACAGATAATCCTCGATTTACAACAGTTCGTTTAGTGATTGTTTGAAGTTACAACAGGACTGAAAAAAAGTGGCTTATGAGTGTTTTTCACACTTATAAATGTTGCAACATCTTCTGCATTTTCATATGATGAAAATTCAAATGCTTGACAACTGGTTCATATTTATGACGGCTGTCCAGGGGTCATGTAATCACTTTTTGCAACCTTTTGACAAACAAAGTCAATGTTGAAGTCAGATTCACTTAACACCGATATTACTAACTTAACAACTACAGTTGCATTCACTTAACAACTGTGGCAAGAAAAGTAGTAAAATGGGACAAAATTCAGTTACCAAATCCCTCATTTAGCAACAGAAATTTTGGGCTCAATTGTAAATTGTAAGTCGAGGACTACCTATATTATTCTTATGCTTTGTAGGGTTTTTTAAAATATATATTGAAGTGTTTGGCAGTCTTTAAAAATTAAAATAATAATAATAAAGAACTTCACTTTTACAGTCATCAAACTCATCATGCTGCAATCATGACTAAACTTTATGAATGGCCTATATATTCTCCATCCTGTTAGAAGCATCCTACAAATGCATTTTAATTCCTATTTCAAAAGCACTTCAAGCTGTTAACTTATATCTTTTAATATTTTTTTATTTATAATTTATTTTATTTTGAAATTGGGGGCTTTATTTGACTGTCATAAAAAAATTATATTTTAAGGTTGCTTAACACTGCAGTTCATATTTGATATGATGAAGAACATTCTGCAAAAGAATGTTTTGCAGAAGGAAAGTTTGACAGCCAATCTGAGTCCCCATTCTTAATTTAAAATAAATGTTTAAAAATGTCATTATTCATTTCACTTCAAAGAATATCAACCCTGTTATATTTCTACAAGCATGTTTCAATTGCCAATCTTCCCTTGAAAATATACTAAAAACTGCATTTCTAGCACAAAATGAATGGTTGGAATAATGAGCCTGTCCTGTCCATAAAAGTTTGGTCCCCCCCCCCCCCATGTAGGTGACTAACTATCATAGATGGCAATTTAAAGAGTAATTTATGTGCATACCAACCACATACAAAATTCAACCAATTTTAATTTCTCAAAATTAAAAACAAATGTTTTTGAATTAAGTTTTTATTAAAAATAAAATGAGTGTATCTGCTTCTATTTTCTAAAAGCCAGTTTATTGTAATGATTAAGGCACAACACTCAAAAGCAGGAGACAAAAATTTATGTCCTGCCTTAGCCATGAAAGCTGACTGGATGACTTTGGGCCAGGCACTCTCTCTTAGTCCAACTCACTTCACAAGATTGTTGTTGTGGGGAAAATAGGAAGAAGATGTGTTGGATATGTTTGCCACCTTGAGTTATTTATAAAAATAATAAATGTGGGATACAAATCAGTAAAATAAAAATTAAAAATTCGTTTTACCCACACAAAACTTAGTGAAAGCAAATTCAAGCAGATTTGAAGTCATCATGTCTTTGTTATCGTGAGAATTGTCATTTTACACCTTTCGTCTACCACCCTTATTTACCTAATTTGTATGTTGTTAGGCTTGGGCAGAGGAGGTTGTGCGACAGAGAGGCCTGCAGAATGTATTCTAAGTCTGCCTTGAAAAAGCTGCTACCCTGTTTCCCTAAAAATAGAACATTGTCCAAAAGTAAGGCCAAGCCTGATTTTTGGAGTGGGCATAAATATATGCCCTCCCCCGAAAATAAGCCCTAGTGAAGGGATGGGTGTGGCCAGTTCAGGAGGCAGCTCTTCCCTTCCCTGATTACCTCCTGGAGGTTCAGCCCCTTAATTGCTGCCCATTGATAGCTGAGCCAGCAAGGGCTATGCAAATCGGCCCAGATCTCCAGAGCACTTCCCCAGCTGCCGGCCTCCTCCCCCTTTTCCTGCCGATCTTTCTTTACTTGGGATCACAGCACAGACACACATCCCCAAAATGCTCTGTCCGAAGCCTTCAGCCTTGCAATTCTGGAAGGGGTGTCTGTGTTGCGATCCCAAAGAAAGAACGGTGTGTGTGTGTATGTGTGTGAGAGAGAGAGCGCGAGCGAGAGAGAAACCTCTGTGACATTTCTCCAAAGCAGCGACTGGCCAGAAAAGGGCACGTCCTCCCTAAGTGAACAGGCGCGCTGTGGGAGACTCGGACCAGGGAGGCAGTGACCGAAAGCGGCAAGGCTCTGGATGTGTTTGGCTCACTGCTGTGAGCAAATTTGCGCTCGCTTCTTGGCCGGTTTAGATTGAGGGGCGGGGAGGAGAAGGGTGGCCGAAGGGGAGCACGGGCAGGCGGGCTACGGGAAGTGTGCCTTTAAGCGGGGCAGGCCTTCGGGGAGGAGGAGGAGGAAGCCACCACTCCACCTGCCAAGGACAGCCTCCCTGCTTGGACACGGAGGGCGGAGAGGGCCGGTATCCAGCGACCGGGAAAGGCTCGCACTTGGGAAGCTGTGCCAACCCCGGCCAGCTGCGCGATGCAGGCTCAGCTGCCCCTGAACAGCGGGCACTTCCACCCGGTGCTTCGCTTGTGGCAGACGACAGCTGCCACCCTCACCGCCCGGCATCTTGTCTACCCGATCTTCCTGGTTCCCCTTCACTGTTTCTCTTTTTCTCTCTCTCTGTCGCTCACGCACACAGACAGAGAGGAGGAAACAAAGTGGGTGAAAAGTGGTTAGGCACCTGATAGGCACCAGCCTGCATTGTCAAATATTTGAGCTGCTGAGTGCTGGCCTGTATGCCTATTCGGTGCTGCAGGAGCTGGGCTACAGCTAGCTCTGAGCACAGTTGGCCAGAGAGCTGCAGCACCCACCAGACCCAGGATTGTAGCCTGGCACCTGCAGCACCAAGTAAGCGTGCAGGCTGGCACTCAGTAGCCCAAAGGAGATGCCTTCCTGCCGGAGTTCCGTGTCCAGCCAGGAAGCAGTTTCCAGGACTGTCCGATTCTCAACCAGCTGGCTGCATGGTAGAAGGGGGCTTCCTGCCCACCTAAAAAAGAGGCTGGGTTGTGTAAAGGGGCTTTTCTCCCCAAGACCCTCTCAAGCGCTGGGCTGCGGGCTCCACCCCAGGGAGCCACAATCGGGGCCAAGCTCTTAGCAACTGATTTAGGTAAGACTGTTCTTGAATGAGTCACAAGACATGTGGGGCCTCCTGCTGCTTTTGCAGCCTCAATTGGCTGCAAAAGCAGCCGTGATTCTTGCCGTCTCTTCTCTCGCCAGGCATGGCTGGGCTTCCTGCCCCTTGCTTCTCCCCGTCTCCAACCTTCCCCACCTGCACTCCCATATTGTGCCCCAAAATAATAAGGCCTCCCTGAAAATAAGGCCAAGCCCTTATTTCGGGCTTCAAAAAAATATAAGGCAGGGTCTTATTTTGGGGAAAACATGGTATTATAGTATATTAGTATTTTATTGACCAAGGTTATTAGTCATCCAAAATTGTTTCATTTAGTTTGTTTTGTTTTATTGAATGGGATCTACAATAATATTTAGATATATGAAATAATCAAGTTTTTGAAAATAATTGTTCATGTTATGTGATTTTATAATGAGAATATTTTAAAATATTTTTAAAGAAATAATTCAAAAAAAGAGATCACTGAATCACCTACTTAAAAAAAGGGAGTTACTACAGAAACGTTTGGATTCCAACTGGACAGAATTAGAAGAAGTTCAGGCTCTTATAGCTGCCAAACCCGGATATATCAATGGTAGGTAAACTGTAATTTCTGATATTTGTAATGCTAGATATAGCAATAGCACTTAAACTTATATACCGCTTCAAGGTGCTTTACAGCCCTCTCTAAGCAATTTACAGAGTCAGCATATTGTCCCCAACAATCTGGCTCCTCATTTTACCCACCTCGGAAGGATGGAAGGCTGAGTCAACCTTGGGCCTGGTGAGATTTGAACTGCAAAATTGCAGGCAGCTGGCAGGCAGCAGAAATAGCTTGCCGAACTGCACTCTAACCACTGTGCCACCACAACTCATATATATATATATAAAGTTTGAAATAAGTTTCTTTGCCTCAATTGAATTTATAATTAAGATCAAACAGTATTTGCCGAAATGTAAGCAAATTTTCTCAATTTTCTGTGTCTCATGAAAAGAAAGGAGCAAGAAAAGTTTTTACTTTAGATTTTTCCTATTTTTTTCCAACTTTAAAAAGTTTAATCTTTATTCCCAAAGATTCTCTTACCTTGTTTTATGTCTTTGTTCAATTCCTTTCTTTTCTCTAAGTGTTTTTTTTATTTTTTACACAAACAGACAAACAAACAATGCATTTTTTCTGAACAGAGTATTAGCTGAGTCACAAATGTATACAATTTTTAGTTATCTCCAATGCTAATTTATATATTTCACTTTTTGCCATAATAATCTTTTTCTCTAATTTTTGTTTTATTTTCTTTGTTTCTTCTAATAACCAAAATTACCATTTGCCCTAATCTCTAATCTTAATCAAATTTAATTTTTTCCTTTACTTTCTCCAAGTTAAAACCCTTAAATTTGAAATCAATAATTTTTCTAATAGTTAAGCTTAAGTCTAAATCATCCTATTCAAATATTTGCCCATTGCATCCTTTTCACAACATAATATAATTTCCAGTATTTCCCTAAATTCCCTTATTCCAATCACAAATATTTTTCTTTATCAATTTATCCAAATATTAAAATTCAATATCTTACTAAAAGTCACTTAAATTTATAACATTACAATCATTCATTTCTTTTCCATTGCTTTTTCAAATATATATATAATCTCTTCTTACTAAGCGATAAACCAAATTACTTTGCACAATACATTATCATAAATCTTACTTCATTTATTTCTATTTCTATTTCTCAATTCTCTATATTTTTAATGTAAATCCAATTTTTGATTGCTTTTTCAAATACATATATTTTCTATTCCTCTTCAACAATATCTTAATCTCTTATTAAACAGTAAATCTAATTAATTTTCATAATACAATATAATTTCATTTTTTAGTTAAATTCCAAAGTTACAATTAAAAATATTCCAAATATTACAGTTTCCATAGTTACAATTAAAAATATTCCAAATATTACAATCTCATATATTGAACTTATTTGTATTTATAAATCTTATTTCAATTCATTTATAATTCAAAGTAATTATCCATTGCTTTGTACATAACTTAAACAGAATTAATTTTCAGCTTAATTTCAAATGTTTTAGTTAGTTTCATTATTACAATTAAAGACATCCCAAGTATTAAATCTCAGCTTCTTAAGTTTTCTAAAATTCATTTATATCTATAAATCTTACTTCAATTCATTTTTAGTTCTAAATATATACAGCATATTTCTCTTTTCCCTTTCCATCAATTATTTCTTTTTCCCTTTCTCCCATTTTTTATTTTCTTCTTTCCCCCTTTTTTTCTTCATTTTAAAATCCTGAACTCTTCTATTTTGCCCTGTATTTCCAATTACTCTCCATCCCCTTTTCCTCTTTCTTATTTCCCCACTGTTAATCCCAGTATAATCATTTAAGTTTTTTATATTTTTTCTATTCCCCCTTTTTCCTCTCCTTGTCTCTTTCCACCCTCTCTCTTTTTATCGGTGTTAATCCCAATGTAATCTTTAAAGTTAACTTTTATTGCTAAACTTATCTCTTTTCTCCCAGTTCTCTTCTTCTTTTCATTATTGCTTCCCACATAATCATTTAATTTTTCATAATCAATATCTTTATCTTTGTCTTCAGTATCACTTTCTTGCTTCTCATTCGTAGTTTCTTTATCCACTTGAGTGTATTCTAACATAGTTTCTGGTTCATCAGGTTTAGGTTTTCCATGCATCATTATAATCATTTCATTTAGTTCCGTTTTCAGTGATATACACGTCCTTTTAATAATTTCAATTAGTTCCTGCATCATTTTATTATTTCTGGGTTGTTGTTATTCCAATTTTAAGTTTTGTTATAGTCCACCTTCTTTAATTGTCAAGGTCTTGCAGACAAATAGATCCTCCTTAAAAGTTTCCACTGCTCTTATCACTTTAAAAGGTTCTCCCCCCCAAAAAATAAAAGTTCAAGGTTGTAATGTTCTTTTTTGCCTGTAGACGTCTCTCTCCAATCCACAATTCCAATCAACAGCCTAATAAAGTATCCATTTTGTTTAAAATCCACATTAACAATCTTTACCAATCTTTATCTTTTTCTTCTTAATTTTATATTTCCCCAAGTCGATTTAGGATCCAAATTCCGAATCCAGTTTTTTTAAAAAATATCTTCTATTACAGGGCTTTAATTTTAAGTTTCCCTTTGTTCTTTCTCCAGCAGATAACAAAAATCTTTTAAAATTCTTTCCAATCCTCTTCACATCTATTATGGTTTTTTTTTTTTTTGCTTCTAATTTTTTAATTATCTCCACACATTTTAATCCAAAAATCAAGTTTCGTTTCGGACTTTGCCACTTTAAGCTTCCACTTTATTCTTCTTCCTTCATTTCCCCCACGCCCATTAGCTGCTGTTATTTCGCTGGAGCACCTTTTAACAATTTAAAAGTTGTTTTTTTTTTGCCCATGAGCTGGCAATCACTCACCCAGCATCAGTACTCTGTTCAAATCACTGCTCCTGCTCAAAACTTGGTCTGGTTGCCTCAGCTTTATGATGGCCACAATGGCCGCCTACCCCACCCCCGCCGCCGCCGAGTCAAAGAGTTTCCTCCAACCTCTGAGGAACTTGCCTATTCCTCTTGGTCGTCCGAGGTGCCTCTTCTTCTTCTCAGTCCCTACAGGACAGATCTGGTCCGAAGACCCCTCAACAGCGGTTTGTCAGCCTGGGATTTCCTGAGGCTCATCAGAGCCCTCTATTCTCCATCTGTCTCGCCGCGACACTTCTGGGCAAATCCTCTTATTTTAGATTTTTCATAGTAGCTGGTACAACCACGCTGTGGCTTATATCTTTCCAGCTCTTCTGTGACTTGGTTAAATGAAAGTATTTAAACATCTTCATGATTGTAAACTGTAACAGCTTGTTGTACTGTTAAAATAGGGTTTATCATATATATGATAAGTGAAAGAAGCCAGTAATTCATATTTAATAAAGAAATAGAGTTTTATCCTTTAGTTAAAATTAATAACAGGTTATGACTTATGACATACTAAACATCTTACTTTTTAACCAGTCTTACTGATATCCATTCCCTTAAAATTAAATGATGACTAAATACAGCTATAGGTTTGACTTTTTTTAAACAAAATATTTTATTTACTAGCTGGATACCCGTGCTTCGCTACAAAACTATGTGATGGGGGTTGATAAATTGACACTTAAAGCTTAAAAATAAATGATTAGTTTGTTAGAGATGGTAAAGTAAGTTTCTGTTACAGATTAAGACATTATTGTAAGTGTAACAACAATGAAATAGATGGGTTTAAGCCCTTTAATCCCAGCAGCAACCGTGGCTGTTTTGTCTATGTAGCCAGGCTAATAACTTGCATATCATAGACAGTGGTGGGTTCTTCCCGGTTCTGCCAAGCCGGTAGCAGTGACAATATGACGTCACGGAACCGGTTCTGCCCCCCCGCCCCCTCCTGCATTATTCTTACCTTTTATTTGACCACATCCCCAATCTATTGCTGCCTCCTGAGTCCTAACTGATCAGCTAGAGGGAAAAAAACTGTTTAAACTCTTGCCGCAGGGCTTCAAAGGGCCGCCCTACAGCTGATCAGTGTTAAAACAAATGAGTAGACCGGTGCCTGCAAAAATAAATGGGTAGACCAGTGCCTGCAAAAATAAATGAGTAGACCGGTGCCTGCAAAAATAAATGGGTAGATTAGTGCCTGCAAAAATAAATGAGTAGACCAGTGCTTGCAAAAATAAATGAGCAGACCGGTGCCTGCAAAAATAAATGGGTAGACCAGTGCCTGCAAAAATAAATGGGTAGATTAGTGCCTGCAAAAATAAATGAGTAGACCGTTCCTGCAAAAATAAATGAGTAGACCGGTGCCTGCAAAAATAAATGAGTAGACCGGTGCCTCCAAAAACAAATGAGTATACCGGTACAACTCTGCAAGCAGTTAAAAGCCTGGTAGACCAGTACCTCTGCTAAATCTTAAAGAATTGTCACATGACCATAAAGCCACATCCACAAAATAAGCCACGCCCACAGAACCGGTAGTAAAAAAATTTAGAACCCATCCCTGAGCATAGACTTTCAATTCATCCCTCAGATGAGTTACTCAGGACCTCCCTGTAAACAACATTCCTCGTTTTACTGTCTGGCTGGAGGATGACCACTTCTCAGGGGGTTTTTTGGTTTCTATGAATCCGATTGAGTCTTTCAGTCTCAATTTTTGCATAAATTGATTGAGAAGGTTGCGGAACAGCAGTAGGTAGCATTCTTCGCCATCATACTCCATTATCCTATAGCTATAAAAGGCAGCAGCAGACATGGTCTTCTTGAGAGGAACCTTGGTGTTTGGGTCACACTGAGGTATATTGATGTAATAGTCATCTTCTCCATGACAGAACATCAGAGGGTACTGGAGAGTGTCAAAGGCATGGTGCAATCACTAATTTGTAACAACCTGTTGTCTCTGCTGTAGAGAATTATATCTCTTTTCTCAAAATCCTGGCCGACAATGAGAACAGCCACTTGTGTAGTCATGGGGGCATTAAAACGACCTCAGTGCTTTCCAGAAGGCTTCCTATCGGCATTAATCACCACTTGGAAGTCCTTGTGGCCCTTAGGAACAGAATCAACAGCAGCCTTAAGTTCCAGAATATACTTGTGTTCACGCAGCAACTTCTGCAGTTGGCTAACCAGTTGTGGATTAACGCCTGGGTAGATTTCACAACAGTTGTCCCTCTCATTGTCAACTTCACCAACAAAGTATATCTGGAGAAATGAAAGCTGCTGCTGGGGCCCCGCCATGATACTTCCTATCCTGTGATAGACCAGCCCCTGCACTTTGAATGTTGGCATAAAATTTCCCTCCTTCATCTCTCTGGCTCCAAAAGATGTAATTTGGAAGCATCCATTGTAACTTCCGGACAGCAGAAAGAAAGTGCTTTGCTATTGGATACTGGTGGGTGAAAAGGCTCTGTAAGGGTTCAGGGTAGGGCTGAAGGGGTGAGAGGTGGACTTTACTGCTACTGCAGCACATCCCGGGACTCTCATCCTGCCACTTTAGAGCATGGCACCAGGCACAGGATAACCGGGGTCCGAGATCAACAACCTTGTCCCTGCAGTAATTAATCTGAGGTTCATATTTAAAGCCAGACAAATACTTATTAGTCCAAGGCATTGATCTCATTTGTGACTGATTAACGTAGGGGTTATTAGATGTATACTTTTTTATAGCCTGTCTACTGACTTGGGGTATCAGTATTCATCTGGCTAGCATCCCGTCAGTGTGTGAGAGTTGAGGGGTGTTTGGAAACTCAAACAGTATTTGCTGTGTGAGCAAGATGGAGGCTGGGCGTGGCTTAGCTCAACTGTTCTGTAGTAAAACTGCTTGCTGTGTGAAAGTAAAACTGAAACTGAAAGTCCTCTCCTCTGCTTGTGTTTTGCATTTGGAACAGATTTCTTTTCAGGTGGGGAGGGGGAGTAGAACTCCTTAGCATCAGAGTGCTGTTTGGAAAGTGAAACAGTATTTGCTGTGTGAGCAAAGAGGAGACAGGAAGGAGGCTGGATGTGGCTTAGCTCAAGGGTTCTGTATTAAAGCTGCTTCCTGCTGTGAAAGTAAAACTCCTCTGCTTGTGTTTTGCATTTGGAACAGATTTCTTTTCAGATGGGGAGGGGGAGTAAACTCCTTAGCATCAGAGCGTGTTAATAATAATATAGGAAATACTAATGCTCTGATGGTCATTTCGAAAAATCCTTTCTTAGTGAACACCTAGAAGCCAAGAGGAACATACATGGCAAATTTCAAGTTTGTAGGCTTTATGGTTCTGGAGATTTTGTGATTAATGCATGAGTGCTTTTTGCATTTATTTATTTAATTAATTTATTTATATAACTCATCTTATAAGCAAGTGACTCTAGGAAAATGGGCAACAAAACTAAAATAACAAATATCTAAAACTATTATTAACAAATATTAAAAACATTAAAAACTAGAAACATCACAGCCAAAAATTTGTGATATACTACATAGCAATTGTATGTCTCTATTGTTAATAGGGCAAATACATCAGCATTTTTTTAATGAACTGACCTAATTATTTTTACAGAGTTTAAACTACAAGTACTATCTGATGAAAGAAGCAATTTGTCTAAAGAGCTAAAGAAAGTTTTTCGTGAAATATTAGCATTGCAGCAAGGTGCTTCGGAGAAATTTCCAGATAGACGTTATGGAGGTAAGTTAACAAAAAGGAAAAAAATAGAAAAACCCTTTTCTAAGCAAAAGAGTTATAAATTCCATCTGAATGGCATTCTTCATTAAAAATGGAATAAACTCAATTATGCCTGAAAAAATAGTTTCAATTTTTATCATAAAAATAAAATAAAATACTTGTTGTTAGTTGCGAAGTCATGTCCAACCCATCATGACCCCATAGACAATGTTCCTCCAGGCCTTCCTGTCCTCTACCATCCTCTGGAGTCCATTTAAGCTCACACTGACTGCTTCAGTGACTCCATCCAGACACCTCATTCTCTATCATCCCTTTCTTCTTTTGCCTCAATCTTTCTCATCATTAGGCTCTTCTCCAGTGAGTCCTTTCTTCTCATTAGGTGGCCAAAGTGTTTGAGTTTCCTCTTCAGGATCTGGCCTTCTAAAGAGCAGTCAGGGTTGACCTCCTCTAGGACTGACCGGTTTGATCACCTTGCAGTCCAATGGACTTGCAATAATAAAATGCTATAATCAATTAATTTACATGATAAAAATATTATAAAGCTGTATCTTGGTAGGTATTTATCAAACGTTTATTTTGAAATATGGTAATATATATTTAATATATAAGGTTTTAAATTTTACTGTTAATTTCATATTGATCAAGAGATCAGAATGAATACTGTTTTTCATACGTTGTCAAAGAATTTTGTTCTTTGTCATGAAAGTTTTCATGGGTTCCTGTAGGAACATAATTCAAATTTCACAGAAAATTTTAAAGGCTTTATGGCACATTTCTTCTCCTACTTGGTTTCTTTGCATTTAAGAATTAACTGTATTAATAGATAAATTATTTATACATTATATAAACTTATCCATATTAAAATGTTTTTTCTTTTAATTTTTTTGAGCAATAAAAGGCTTCTTAAATAAATTTGAAAAGATAATTCAAAATGTTTCTCTTTTTTTGTAGAAAAAGAATTATATACACTATCGGAGAAGAAACAACTGTTATTGGAAAATTTAAAAAAGCTACAAGAAGCTCAGGCTCTTGCAGTGGCCCATCCTGGCCATATGGATGGTATGTTTGTGGTGATTTCTCATTCTGTCAGCTATAATATTAATTGTGTGTACCTTGAATTAAGGTGCTTCATTTGTTAGGGAAACTGAGAATTGCTATAGAAAATTATTCCTGCTTTAATATTTATATAAGTAGGACAGGCAGCAAAACTGTTAGAGTTTGGAGTTTCTAATGAAAGCAGTTGCAAAAGAAGCTTAAACATTGATAATATATCATTTCATCTTTTTTAATATACTGTATTTTTGCTGGATACTAATAATTTTTTTTTTTACTTTCTACTTACTGCAGGTATTTTTATATGATTCTTTAGTTGTATATTAATACTTTTTTCAAGAGATACTCACTTGAATTTAATGAAAAGAATATATATAATTTCATTTCATATATTTAATGATAACATTTTCTTCAGAACTTTGAATACAGTGCCATCTAGAATTTAAATAGCTTAGAGAAAAATAGAACTCCGAGAGATTCCATAATAGAAATGTCAGGCAGTAAAACATTTAACCCCCAGGTTAAGTTCCTGAAACCTGCCTTCCAATTTAATACAGTTCCTCCAGTTATTATTGTAATGACTGTGGCCTGAAAGATCCAGAACTGAAACCAGGAATATCAATGGATTGCACATACATTTTCTCTTGAAATAGGGCATAAATCAGTTTTAACATATGTTTAAAATATATTTAGAAACCAAAAGTCATCTGAATTAATAGATTAGAACAGAACAGAACAGAACAGAATACTTTGTTGGCTAAGTGTGATTGGACATAGAAGGAATTTGTCTCCGGTGCAGAAACTCTCGGTGTACATGCAAACAACAAAGTAATATAATAATAAGATACCAATAGGAGAAGGTAATAGAAAAAATGAGAAAGATAACAGTAAAACAGCCATACTACATGGGTATTGCATAGCATATTTGGTTGTACAGACTTTTTGATAAATTTTCTTTGTTAAATTATTACTTCAGAATATGGTTAAGATCCTGGTTTCTAACCTTTAATTTGCATAATGGTGCCAACTTGGATATTAAGACAAAGAACACTTTGATTATACACTTTAACTCAATTACTCAAGTTAGGTGAAATGTTCATTAAAATGTAAACAAGTGAGCTTATATTGAATATTGATTGCAAAATTGTACAGCAATTTTATTCATTTAATAATTTGTTATTAATTGATCTAAAATGTTTTTGTAGAACATAAACAAAAGCAGCTAACTGAGCAAAGGAAACATTTAACTGCAGAGTTAGAGACTATAGTAAAGAATATTCGAAGAGTGGAACATAGTACTTCAGAAATACTTCTAGATATAAGAGCCAGCGGTAAGCAAAAAAAATATATTCAAAGTTATCTCAATAGAAGAAGTTGGGGGGAGATAAAGGTTAATATTAACTCATGCTCACCATTGAACTAGAAATTCAGTAAAGCAGAATTCAACATCAACTCTAGACAAATGAGACAATGCAATAGGAAGTGTATGAGATTTCATTTCTTTGCTAGTTCTCCATATTTGGAATCTTGCTTGTTTTTAATTATGCTTGAAGCCCTTGGAAAAAAATTATATTGGATCGTAGGTCAAATCTTTTCAAACATTATCATGATATAAATCCTCTGATCTATTATTTATGTGCCAGTGATTGAATTCAAACTTTATATTGCTGAGGGGGAAAAAATAATTCTTGTAAAAAAAGAACAACATGATTTTACTGGCTCCTTTATTCTGTTGACTGGTATAGTGTTACCTTATTTGTTTGTGGGAAACCCCATTTAGCAAAAGCACTGTCTTCATGTCCTTCCTAAAGGAATTACAATACACTTATAAATCAGACTGACTGGGAGCATGAGGGATTGATACTTTGCTGTCCTAATCAAAACTTTACTGAGTAATATCTGAAAGAATCTTGCCACTGTGAATGGTGTTTCTTTGTGGATCCCAGACCAAAGTGGGTAACTAAAATTTGATTGATGCCAGTAAAGCAGTCATTATCTTCTTTATGACTCAGAATGCCTCATATAGGTTGTGCAGTATTATCTATGGGGATTGAATAATATGCTGCACATTGACTAATACTGGAGACCTTGTGAAAACATCCACAATATGATTACAAGAACTGTAAGAGGTCCTGATATTCCTTTACATACAAAGGAACAAAGTACAGTGGCTATCAATTAGATTCTTGTCATAATTTTAAACACCTAAATGATTGCTACTGCCTAGGATTTATTGTTCAGGTTCTCTGTGTTCAGTAATGATAGTTGTATGTCTGATTAGATCATTCTATGAATATTTTTGTCATGAGCTCACAAAATTATATTTCTATCTTTTGTAGGTCAGTCAGTATTTTTATTTTAGCAAATTCCTGTCTATTTGAGTTTTAAATCCGTCCATCATATTTTCTATTGCCATTATTATTTTTTTAATAATGTAAAATGTATTTGCATTAAAATAATGTAAAAGTATCTTACTTTATTATATATTCATTTGTCTGTTAATTATTTTACATTGTAATGATAAATATGTCATTTGAAATTTCCATTAAATAATTTATTTTTGAATAAGCTTTTTCTTTTTTTGTGAACAGTGATTTCTTATTTAAAATCCCTTAATTTTGCAGAGAAAGATCTACATGACTTATTAGAAAAGAAGTTTGAAATATTGGAAGATTTGGCATTCAATCAAAAAGAGCTGCAGGAAGTTCAAGTTCTTGCAGCTGTCCACCCAGATAGTACCAGTGGTGTGTTTTCTGTTTTTTTCTCTATCCGTGATAACTGTAATCTGAAATTTATAGATTGTCCACATAATTGATACTAGACAACTTTTGTAGATTTTTTTGCATTCTTATTTAGATAGTTTTCTTACATTAAACCACAAGATTAATTAATGTTTGTATTCAAATAATGCTGATTTTAAATTGTTCATTTGTTCAAAATAATACCAATAATTATGAATAAAAAATTGTAAGTAAAAATCAACAGTTAATGAAAAATAAATAGAAAATTAGACTGCAAAAAATTAATTATAACAAAAAACCTATTAGTAATAAAAATGAAAATTAGCAAACTGATCAGTGAAAATGGTACATTGAAATTACAACTTCAGGGTAACAAGGAGAATTAATGGGTAAGCAAATATCATTGCAAAAAATATTTCTTTAATAATAAAAGGAAATACTAAATAAAAGAAAATAAAAAAAGGAAAATTAGGAGCAAAAATGCAATGACAATCACAAATATGAGCTAGCAGTATGCTGCAGCTGCCAAAAAAGCCTAGGCTGCATTAACAGGGATAGAATCAAGATCATGTGAAGTGTTAGTATCACTTTATAATGCCTTGGTAAGATTACACTTGAAATGCCCCATCCAGTTTTGGTCACATGATGTAAAAAAAATGTTGTGACTCTAGAAAGAATGCAGAAAAGAGGAACAAAGATGATTAATGATTAATAATACATATGAAGGATTGATTGTAGGAATATGTCTAGTTTAATGAAAAGAAGAAGTAGGATTGACATGATAGCAGTGTTCCAATATCTAAGGGGTGGCCACAAACAAGAGGGGGTCAATCTATTTTCCAAAGCACCTGAAGGTAGGACAAGAAGCAATGAATAGAAACTAATCAAGGAGAAAAGCAACCTAGAACTAAGGAGAAATCTCCTGGCAGAACAATTAATCCAATTAATCAGTGGTATGTCTTGCCTTCAGAAGTTGTGGATGCTCCAATACTGAGGTTTTTAAGAAGAGATTGGCCAACCATTTGTCTGAAATGGTATAGGTTTCCTGCCTGAGCAGAGTTTGTACTAGAAGACCTCCAAGATCTCTTCGAACTCTGTTTTTCTGTTATTTTTCTGCTGGTATATTATTTTCATCATTAGAGGTTTGTTGTGTCTGTTGTAATTTTATCGGTTTGGTTTAAACTCTGTATTCTATTACAGTCATTGCTATGAAATGGCTAGCCATATACATCATTTAAATAAATAAATACAGATTGGCTCCAGATAATACAAAATTTTCTATAGTGGTCTAAGAATTAGTGGAGCAGAAAAGATTACTATACTATACTATACTATACTATACTATACTATACTATACTATACTATACTATACTAACTTACACTACCACTACACTACACTACACTACACTACACTACACTACACTACACTACATAAAAGATACTATACTATATATACTCTATCTATCTATCTATCTATCTATCTATCTCTATCTATCTATCTATCTATCTATCTATCTATCTATCTATTGATTAGATTATACATATAGACTACCATATTTTTTGGAGTATAAAATGCTCCGGAGTATAAGACGCACCTTAGTTTTGGGGGAGGCAAATAAAAAAAAATTGAGGAACACAAAAACTCAATACAAAAGCAAGAACACACATCATCATTAGTTCAACACATAAATACAACAGGACATAATATTAATTTTAATAACACAGAACCAGTTGCAAAAATAGAACATCTCAATGGCAGAATAATCAGAGAGGCAATTGAAATAGAGAAAAGACCATATTGCATGAATAAACGGGATGACACTTCACGTCTGCCTACTATTTGGAAACCTGCTCTCATAGATAGATGAATATTAACACCAAATATAAAACATAGATCAAGTATTAATCAGAAGACATGTTTTGTCACAAGTCCCAACCAAATCATATTCAAGCCAGCCACAAAGATGAAGCCCTGCCACCTGGTGGAGAAAAACCGACCATACACCCGAAGCCAAGCCAATAAGCACAAACTAGGACTCCCAACCAATCAGAATGAAAAGGTGGAGCCATCCCAGACTACCAGCACCAGATTTGAAATAGTAACGGCAGTTACAGCAAAAGACCCTTCACATAAGCCTGATGATGGCAGATGAGATTCTGTCGAAACGTCGCTTCTACCCTTTTAGGGATATATCCACAATTACACGGGAAGAAACCCGAAATATTAACTATACACACATATATACCCGTGAAATAAATAAATAAATATATATATATATATATATATATATATATATATATACATACATACATACATACATATATATATATATATATATATATATATATATAGTCCAGTGGTAGGTTGCTACTGGTTTGCCACGGATCGGGCAAACTGGTAGTGGCGGTGGGAGGCTCCGCCCACTCACCTGGATGTTTCTGTGCAGAAGCATCGTGCCCACGCGTGAGTGCACCCACGCCTGCGAGCAAACCTGTAGCGACCGAAATTGCAACCCGCTACAGATATAACCTATGTATATAAAATAGATTATCCACAATATAAATGAACTGAAGCATTTTATTTAACATAATAGTTAAACATAGCTATTTTAGTAATATTCAGAATTTTATTATTAAATTTTAGTATATAAATTGTCCTGTATTTATTTTGTAGATTATAAATTGCAAGACCTTACTACAAAAAATAGGCATTTGACTGAATGTCTAGAAGCAACTATACAAGATATACAAGAAATACACGAAATACCAAAAATCCCTTCAGAAACAATTATTGTTACAAGACCCAGTGGCAAGTAGAGAACAGATTATTTAGATTTTGAAAGAAATATGTTTTAATAAGTACAATGTTTGCTAAAGGTAATGTAAAGGACTGGAGAAATTTAAGATGTACAAATGCTAGTTGAAAGATAGTGAGTAATATACTTTGTTAGTTATAATTATTTAAGTCGTGTCCTACTCTTGATGATTTTATAGGCAAGTGCTCCCCATGCTACCTTGTCAAACACAACTTCTTTCAATTGTTGTATGTTCAACTTTGCATCCAGTTTGATGTTATCAATCCAGAGTGTTCTTTGTTTGTCACTTTTTCTTTGTCCACTAAGCATTCCTAGCATCATTGTCTTCTCTAATGAACTTGCATGCATAACATGGCCAAAGTAAATCAGATGTAGTCTTATGATTTTAGCTTCCAGTGATGTGTCTGGTTTTATATGATTTAACATCTTCTCTTTAGTTACTGGCTGTAACTATATATGTAAAGTGAGGATGTATTACATATATATAAAACATGGGTATAGGGTAACATATGTTCTGTACCAAACTGAACATTTGTCAGATGAAGCAAACAATTCCGTAAAGTGTGCTTATTAGATGGAAGACATTCCTTATACATTTATCTAGAAATATATTAAATAGCAAAGGATATATTGCATATCCTTGTCTTAATCCCTGTTCAAAGTAGAATCATTTGTTAATTATTTTAAGAGCCAATTTGGCCTAGTAATTATCTGGCTAAAAAGTAGGAAATTGTGAGTTCTAGTCCTGTTGAAAGACATGAAAGCTGGATGGGAGACTTTGAATCAATCTCTTCTCAGCCCAGTCTACCTCACAGGGTTATTATTGGGGAACTAGGATAAGAGAAAAGTATTCAGTATGTTCGCAATCTTGATTTATTGATAAAAATAATAAAGATGGGATATAAATAAGTGAGCGAGTGAGTAAGTAAATAAGTTAACAAGCTTTCCTTTGAAATTATACATCTCTTACTGCATTCAGTCTTCAATTACAAACTTGTACAAAGATGCCATAATTCTTCACTTTATCATATGCGTCTTAAATCAATAAATGTACAATATACTAATTTTCTCACATTCATGCATTCAATTTCTTGTTGGTACAGCTTATATCGAGCAGAAACTCAAATTGTACTCAAATTTTGCACACTATTATCTCTCATATTCCTTCAATTGGATTTCTATTAAAATCTTTCCAAACATACATAATCAAATGAAATGATATTGATGATGATAGCAATGATGTTGCTATTGTTATTGTCTCACTGTTTTCTCCTATTGGAAAGAGGCATCATTTGTAATGGATTTTCAAGAGTTTACTATATCCAAAGATACCTTCAAATCTACATTAATTTCAGAAGTTGTTATCTACTAAAGACTGACCTTGAATTCTAATCATCTCATTATTTAGTCATCTTCTGAAAATGATGACTTTCCTATTTTGGGGTGTGAAATTCTGTATTACGAATTATCTTCTAATAGTTTCTCCCAAAGACAAGTTATTCTACATATGACTGTCGATTGAGAATATATTTATCATATGTTCTTTTTGCTTTTTTTTATCCCATCAGTGGTGCTTTAACACATGCCAGTAAGTATAGGTTTAAAAGCAGTAGCAAGAGCACTTAGATGTATATATCGCTTCATTGTGCTTTACAGCCCCTCTATAAGTCAGCGGTATGATGACCAATGGTAGGACACTATGATTCACTATGACCAGTGGTAGAATACTGAAAAATAAAGCCTATGCGATGAAAAAAGATAAGAACAATCTTACAGAAGCTACTCTAGTAAAACTATTCATTAATTTGTCTTCAAAAGTAAACGTGTTTGACTTAAATGTGCATGAAACCAGAAAAATGTTCTATGAAGATTACCTACATTTATTGCAAAAGTGTAAGTATAGATCAGAACTGAAAAGGGGGGAATTTGGAAAAACAACTGCTCTGTTTTAAATCTGGCCAATTGGATGTTCCATAAAAATTGAATAAACAAAGTGTGGTTAGTCTATGAATGCAATGACAGTGGTACTGTTTGGCAAATACTTTGTTGTGGCACTGTTTGGTTGCACCTAAGGGGAAATTCCTTCTGTTCCATTTTTTTTCATGCTGCATATTCTCCACTGCCAAATCAGTTTTATTTGATATTGCTTACATTAGAATTATGATGGCCATAACAACGGCATGATTCTAAATAAAATAATTTCAAAACTGTGAGCAGGTACAATTTTAATAAATCAGGTTCTATCTTTAAGAGCTGTAGATCATTTGATTACCAGAATGCTAGTTCTTGTAATATGTAGTTATAAAGACATACAGATTTTTTGTGTACTCTCTTTTTGAATAGTTGTATTATTATTTGCTTCCCATGGGACATACATTGATAAAGTAATATGTAATGTCTTATGGATCTTGATAGGTAATGATACATTTCACATTCAATGGTTTGCTTTGGTTTTTTAAAAATTTATTATTTCCTTAAGTAGAAAAATCAAACTTGTTTGTTTTATTATGATACAATACCATGAACAGTGAGGACATTTTAAACTATTTTTTTCAGTTGCTCATTATAAAAATGTTTTTTTCAGATGAAAAATTATATGCACTATCTGAGAAGAAAGAACACTTGCTAGAAAATCTGGAATCTAAGGAGAAAGAATTAAAAGAAGCTGAAACTCTAGAAATTAGTCAACCAGGCACTGTCAATGGTATGTATGTAATGTTTTTCACACTTTCGTTGTTTGTAAATAAAATTGTTTGTCAGATGTATTGCATTGTGTCTTTTTGCTGTAAACTGTTTAGAGTCGGGAGGATTAAAGTATATGAAGTATAATAATAATAATAAACTACTATACATGGATGACTTTAAAATGTTTGCAAAAAGCCACACTGAACTTAAATCAATACTCAACACAGTTCAACTGTTCAGCAGCGACATCAAAATGAACTTTGGACTTGAAAAATGTGCTATATTATCCATGCAGCAAAGAAAAATGGAAAAAATAAAAGAAACAGAACTGGGAAATGGAAGCATAGTGAAAGCATTCGCAAAGGATGATGGTTACAAATACCTAGGCATATTGGAAGCAGGTAACATCTTGAATGGAAAAGTCAAACAGTCAACGCAAAAGAAATACATCAGGAGAGTCAGCAAAATATTAAAATCAAAGCTGAATGCTGGAAACATAAAGCCATTAATACATGGGCAGTTCCAGTAATACACTACCCAGCTAGAATCATCAACAGGACTTTGGCTGAACTAGAAAACGTGGACCGGAAAACACGCAAACTTTTGAATATGTACCACATTTTACATCCACGAAATGACATCGATAGGTAGTACCTGCCAAGAAAAATAGGGGGCAGAGGGCTATTGCAAATCCATCAAGAAGAAGAAAAACGAAGTTTGAATGACTGTGAATCAAAGTACAGAAAAATTGCTGAAGGCTGTGAAAACGGAGAACATTATAAAAACAACAGAAACAAAGGTAGAATATAAGGAAAAACAGCTGAATGACAGATTAAATGGATGGAAAACCAAAGATCTGCATGGACAGCAATTGAAAAACATTGAAGGAAAATGCGATGACAACTTGACATGGGCATGGCTTAAGATGGGAACCATCAACAAAGAAACGGAAGGTTTAATACTTGCTGCTCAAGAACAAGCACTACAAACTAATGCCATGAAAGCAAAGATACAAAAATCCACTGACAATCCAAACTGCCGACTTTGCAACAACAAAATCAAAACTGTTTCACATTTAATATGTGAATGCAGCAAAATCACACAAACTGATTACAAAATTAGACACGACCAAGTTGCTAAATTAATCAACTGGTCATTATGTAAAAAGTACGGCTTACCTATATCCAAAAATTCATGGGAACATACAGTGGAAAAAGGTATTGAAAATGAGAAGGTGAAGATCTTGTGGGACTTTCAAATATAGATGGATTGTCATTTGGAACACAAAACATATATCACAGTTGCCAAAAACCGAAACATACAATTTTTTTTTGTAAATATTTTTTATTTATTTTTTCAAATTTAAACGTAAAAACATAACTTTCAAGAGCAAAAATCTCGATCTGTAGATGGTAACCACGCTTACATTCCTTTCACAAGCTCAATTCACATTTTCCATTACATCTTTTATAAATAAACAAAAAAAAGGAAAAAAAAGAAGATAAAAAAGAAATTCAAAACTTAAGAAAAAACCAATTTTGCCTCAAATTTCACATTTTCATCTATATAAATCCATTATATCTATCCAAAATTAGTTTCAAATTAACTTTCACTCATTTTTACATCTGCATAACAATTCTAAACATATCTTTATTCTTCTTTACCTTATATCTTATACAAGTCATATCAAAATAATTTTTACAATATTCTAACCTTACAATTTTATCACCATTTATTCTTAGTTTCAATTCAATACCACTCCATTTTTATTATATTTTATAAAACAACATTTTATCTAATTTTAATCCTTTGACCCTTATCCTCAAATCAGTTTACTTAGGTTTTTTTTTCTCCCAGTTTACATATTACACAGATTTCTCTCAAAGGCATATTTTATATACTCCAATTTCTAATATATTTTCCACTATATCTCCATCTAATATTTAACTAACTTCCAGCTTGTTCTATTTGATTAATTCTCAGCTTGATCCCCTCCAAAACACCAACTATTTAGTTGATTTCTCCTTAACTCTCTCCATTGTTTGGCTGATTTCCAGCATAGTCTCCTCCAACTCTCCTCCTATTTGTTTGGCTGTTTCCAGCATTTTATGGGCTGATTTCCAGCATAGTCTCCTCCTTGACTCCCTCTTTTGTTTGGCTGATTACCAGCATAGTCTCCTCCAACTCTCCTCCTATTTGTTTGGCTGTTTCCAGCATTTTGAATTAATTTCCAACGTATTTCCACCGAGTCTCAAACTTTTATCTAGTTGGTATCCATCCCACACATTTTAACTGTAATATAATTATCTGTTTTATATCATTTTTCCATCCTGCTCTTTCAATTTAAATCTCAGTATATTTCATAATAGTCATCATTTCCAACTTGTATTACCTTAATTCAAGACTAATTACTAGCATCAGTGTATCTTGTATTTTGTTCAATCAATCCTTATTCATCAGTTTAACATTTGTTTGCAAATTAAAATTAAAACGTATTACATCAAACAGTACATTTTCTTAAAATTTTCCTGCCTCAAAATATATTCTTCTTTATTATTTTTATCCTCTTGATATCATCCACTATTTTAATAGCCACCTCTTATTTTCTGTTTTTATTATTTCACAACCCTTCCTGTTTTTATCCAAAAATCATATATACCTAGGCTTTTAAACTTTATCATATATACATAGGCTTTTAAACTTTACATTTCAGTTAGTCACATTTAAATTTATCCACTTTAATTCTTCCTTTTCTTCCTTTTCCTCTCTGTCCAAAGTGCTCTATTTCAAGGTTCATCAGTTCAAAGTAAAGAATTTCTGTATGTCCCTTTAAAACTTTTAAAATGTCTGATCCAAGCATAGTGCATCAGCTTCCTGTCTTTGTTAACTACTGCACACCTAGTTTTGTCAGTCTCCATTGTTGAAATCCAAAATGTTCGTTCTTTCTTCTTTCTTCTTTCTTAAAATCATCTGGGACAGAGTAGGAATCTCCAAAATCCTTATATCCAATATTAATTTCAAGTAATCCAAGGTAAAAAGCCAATTAACTTGTTTCTTTTCCACCCAGAAAGGGAAATCTCTTCAATCCACTTCCCTGCTTAATCACTGCAGACTCCATGGCTATTTCTCTATCTTCATTAGCTTCATTTTCTTTTAGAGGCATTAATTCTCAGGAATATCCATTTCTCCTCTCCACTCCAGTTAAAGGCACAGTCAAATTTCAGAAATTTATTAATACCAAATCATCCAGTTTAAGTTTACTGGAACAAAATTCAATTTGGGTCTTTTACCCATTTTTTTTCCTTTTCAATCTTTAAGCCCCGCAGACCAACAGCCGCTTTTAATTTTGGGGTCTTATTTTCCAATAATTCCAAATAGGTATGTTATTGCCTGGGTTGGTGTCACTCACCCGGCTTCTTGATTTTTGCTCTTTCTTCATCTTCTTCCTCCAGCACAATCCTTGTTCCCGGTTGCCGCAGTTTCAGGGCAGCCACCATGGCTGCCGTCCCGCTGCCACCGGCGTGAAGAAGCCTCTGGCCCCGAGGAACCTGCCCGTTCCTCTCGGCCGCCCAAGGCTTTCCTTCTTGTCCCCCTGTCCCTACAAGACAGGGGAGGTCTGCAGACCTATAGATATAAATATAGATGGATTGTCATTTGGAACACAAACATATATCACAGTTGCCGAAAACCGAAACATACAATTTATTGACATTGTGGTACCAGGAGATGCCAGTCAAAGAAAAAGAACTGGAAAAAAAAAATGAAATATCGTGACCTGGTCATTGAAATTACACGGTTATGGATGAAATATATAACAGTGATACCCATTGTCATCAGGGCACTTGGTACCATGTGCAAGAATTTAAAGTTCAGTAAAGAATTTCTGTATGTCCCTTTAAAACTTTTAAAATGTCTGATCCAAGCGTAGTGCATCAGCTTCCTGTCTTGGTTAACTACGCCACACCTAGTTTTCTAGTGCAAGAATTTTATAAAATACATCAAGAAATTGCAGCTTCCTACAATAACACCAGTGGAACTGCAAAAAACTGCGCTACTCAGAACATCGTACATCTTAAGAAGGTATTTGGTTGATACCTAGGACGCTGGCAGCAACCCGTATCAACTATTAGCACCAGTCAGTGATATTTGTGATGCATTTTTGAATGTTCAATGAAACTGAGTTTCATGTTTAATGAATAAAGTAATAATAATAATAATAATAATGCAGAAAGCAGTTTTACTCAAAACAGCTAACAACCTGCTCTTAGCTCTAACATCAAATATCAGCATCTGCCTATCCCAAGTCCTTGGAAAGGGCTTTAATATCTAGATAAAAATGCCAAATGCAGTCTGGTGACTGTGTGACAAAATGTAAGATTATATTTTACATTTTTGAAACTTCAGAACTTTATTTTTTTCTGTCATTGACCAATAAAAAATAGAATCAATAAAATGAACAGCACAAAACTATCTTCTAACAAGAACTATTAGCAAACATTTGTGGACGAAGCTTACAAATAATGTAACCAAATTTTGCTATTTTTAGGGAAATAAGTTTAGCTTTGATGTTTTTTATTTAACAGTTATCAGAGTTCCCCAGATATTTAGATAAAAGAGGTGTTATCAACTGGTGGCAAACAGATGTATAATGGAAATCTAGGCACACAGATGTGAAACACAATTTTGATGTTTGCTGGAGTAAGACAATTTATATTATTAGAGAAAAATATTCAGTGAGTGCAAACTGAATTAATAGACTTTAGTTGCTGCATTTATTATTTCAAAAATAAGTTATTAATGGCTTTTATTTTCAGTCCACATTTAACTCTTGTTAGAAATTGGAAAATTATGGAATTAGCTTTTATTTTGTGGCCCATCTCCTCCCATTTCTTGATCATTCAGATTTTATGTATAGAGTGGTGTTTCAGTCAGGTGAGTGTATTATAAAATGGGCAATTATTTAAGATTGTAGTATATACAAAAATTACTATGCTTTTATCTTTAGTGCCAGTGCCCAATTAGTCACTATTTTGATTAAACATTTTGAACGTGGAAAAAATCATCTCAAATCTTCTATAATGAATCTTGAGATTAGTTCACTGCCTATATTTCCTAATACATGTAAATCAATCTAGCAACCAAGGTGAAAAGGAAAAAAAGAATGATTAGAAATATTTAGTTGTGTTGGATCTGTTTAGTTGGGGAAAATCAGAATGCAGAAGGGAACAATAGTTATGTTCAAGTAGCCAAAGTATTAACACATTAAAAGTGGAGCAAAGTTGTTCAGAGGTTTTCACTACAAGAAATAATGGGCTGAAATCACAAGTAAGTAGACTTCAGTTGGACATCATAAAAAAATTCTGATGATAAGGCTATCTATAATGGAACATACTATACGGCCTTAGTCATCTATTTAGGGATGCTGTCATAGTAGATTATATAATTTCCATAAGATTGCAACCCTTGCATTCTGTAATTCCAAATATTGCAGAATAATAAAATCAGCACTTGATTTCTCAAAAATGCAGGAAATTCCTTATTAATTGAAGTAGAAAAATATTAAGGACAAATGAAACAAAATAATAATTTTAAGATAATTGTACTAAAATAGCAGCAAGATTATTTGCTTTCATCCAAAAACATAACTGGATAGGGGCTAATAAGCAAACAAATCTCACATCTTTTCTGATAATACCTTAAACTACAGTACTTATATGAATACCTACAAAGAGGACTGCTTGGTTTTGGATGGCTCAAAAGATGGAGTTAATCATTTTGGAAGCTGGAGTTTTGAAAAGACATCTCTGTTTATCAAAATATGCATTCTGTTGGTAATAATACCTTTACAAATTTGAATATTAATATTTAATTGAAGGGGCTTCCACAGATGTAAAATAAATTATTGAATCACTATTTATGGCTGTTTTATAATTTAGAAATTATAAATCAGTTATGTATTCAGAAAGTATTATATAAATCCATTTAGAATAAAATAGCTAAATAATAATGTATGCAGTTATACTTAAGGTAGTTATTGCAGAATATATATTATTGTTTTGATTTGGCCTGAAATTATTTTTAGCACATAAACTACAAGAACTAAATGAGCAAAGAAGACATTTAAGTGTAGAACTAGAGGCAACTGTACACGATATACAAAAAATAGAAGATCGTGCTTCAGAAGAAACCTTAATGAGAAGATCTGAGGGTAAGTGGAAAATAAATGCCTATATATCAGCACCTGCATATTTTTTCAATGGCAGCAGCATGGAATAAAGTATGTAGCAGGTAATCACTACTGTTCTGTATTTGGTCCTCAGATTCTCATATAACAGTCTTGCTCCCTTTTGAAGAGGAATCAACAGAAAGAACCTCCTTTAAGGTTATTTTGTAACCACACTGCTGTATGATTGCAAAATATTTTGTAGATAAAGTTAGATAAATATTGTTGATAAAGCCTGATAAGATAACAAAGACTACATCTTGCAAGGTCACTTGGGATTCTCCTTTCAGGAGTCAGTACAACTCGTGGTACTATGAGTTTTATTCAGTTTCAACAAATGTAATATTTCTCCTGGCACAAATAATGTAGAATCATCTAAACAAGCTATATTGAAATGAAATGGCTAGAATTACAAGAATTTCAGCAGAATTCCCTAATACTGCTGAAATTCTTGTAATTCTAGCCATTTCATTTCATTCAGTATTCCCTAATACAAATTATATATTTCTTAAAGTGGTAGGACGGTGCCTTTCATAAATTCTTTCATCGGGGTTTGATACATCAAAAGATACCTCTTATAGTTGCAGAGAATTGACTTGTGTAGATACAGTATTGCAAATAAAATTGTTGTAGAAGCCAAAGTTTATGAACATGACTTGAAACTTCTCAGGATTAATATAACAGTAGTCTTTCAAGTTAATAAAATATTCCAATTTTATCCTTTTATACCTAAAATTCAAAATAAGTTTGATCTTATTCTTTTCCCCAATAGAGACAGCTGACTTTTTCCTGTTATTTTACATTCATTTGAGATTGGGTCATACTCCCTCTGAGGCAAGATATCTATGATTAGTGAAAGGGTGGGTTCTCCTAGACTCAGGCTCCTTCTTGTTCAGCAGATGGAGGCACCGGCTTGAAGAACCTTTGCCCAGCTTTAGTTGGTATGCCACTTAAAACTTTGTGAAATTGGAAAGCCCTAATTGCAGAGATTCATGCTTTTATTATCACATGATTGGAGTATAGTAATACCAACTATGGGGGGATATTTTTGAAGATGATTCAAGCTGCATTTGGTCCAGAATTTGATGACCTAGCTGCTGATGGAAGCAGGCCACTTCAGCAGTATAACCTGTGGGCTGAATTCATTCCTTTGTTTACCAATAATTTTCCTGACACAAATGCTTCTATATGTTTCCGTTTTTCTTATCTTTAATATTATTTCTCTGGGCTAAATTCAGCCTATAGTGTAAGATTGTCTGTGGAGAGGATGCTTAGAGCCCTAACATACAAGGTTAATAAATCAAATATGCTATTTGACATCAACATTGTGGAACAGCTTACCCACTGAGTTTTGGTTGGCTTCCTCATTGAATTTTTGGAAAGTTTTGAAAAAAGTTTATTATTACAAAAAACATTTGGGTGCTAATGCAAATTTAATGCAGATAGAAGTTTATTTGTTAATTCTTTTTTCTTTCTAATTGCATGGGGTTTTTTTTTTTATGTTTTTGCTGTGAAGATTGGTGGTCACAGAGAAAGCATGTTTTGGACAAACATGACCTGGATAATTTAGAATCTTCATAGATGTTGCAGAGGAAGGCATTTTGAAATTGTGTTACTTTAGTTTTGTATTTCTTATAATCAGCCTTGATTTGATCAGATAGTGGTAAATAGGCATAATAAAAATATGTGAGAAATCAAATTCTTAATTGGAGATTTTGAATATAAACATATGAAACAATTTTCCAAAATAACTGTAAATCATTATTGTTTGTAGAAATAAAACTGTATAAATTACGTGCATGGAAGAAGCTTTTATTAGAACATTTGGAATCAAATCTGGAACTACAAGAAGAAATCCAGACTATGGAACCAGATAATACCACTGGTATATATATGATAATTCTTGTTTATTTATAATTAAAATATGAGGTCATTCTTCTTGAAATCTCTTTGGTTCTGTTGATATTATTTGGCAGTCTGTAAACTGAACAAAATTGATATAGAAAAAAACATATAGAATAATAGATTTGGAAGGTACCTTGGAAGTCTTCTAGTCCAACCCCCTGCTTAGGCAGAAACCTTATATCATTTCAGACAAATGGTCAACCAATCTCTTCTTAAAAACTTCCAGTGTTGGAGCATTTACAACTTCTGGAGGCAAGTTGTTCCATTGATTAATTGTTCTATCAGGAAATTTCTCCTTGGCTCTAGGTTGCTTCTCTCCTTGATTGCTTCTTGTCCTACCCTCCGGTGCTTTGGAGCATAGCTTGACTTCCTATTCTTTGTGACAACCCTGGAAATATTGGAGCAATGCTATCATGTCACCCCCAGTCCTTCTTTTTATCAAACTAGACATATCCAATTCCAGCAACTGTTCTTAATATGTTTTGGCCTCCAATCTCCTAATCATCTTTGTTGTTTTTCTCTGCATTCTTCTAGAGTAGTTAACTTCCTCAGGTTATAATGTTTATAAAATTCTTGTTTTCTGGGCAGAGAATATATCAAGTTGCATGCTATTTAGTATAATCTTGTTGCATATTTCCCTTAAAATTCCCTAGATTGTTATCAAGTTCAGTTTAATATAATTTAAAACTTAGTTAAAACTTTTATTGTGTTTCATCTTTCAGTTAATCTACAACTGAATCATTTTAATAAATGAGAAACAGTTTTATGGAATGCTATGAAGGGCTATCTAGCTTAAGAGAGCATTACCTTTAAGTAGCATACATATGCCAATACTATTCCATAGTTCATGCTGCTGGCTAAGGAAGGGTGTTGGCAATATTGTCATCTTGTAGAATCGAATCGAATCGAATCGAATCGAATTGAATCGAATCGAATAGAATAGAATAGAATAGAATAGAATCAGAACCAAGGAATTTCTCTCCTCTTGAAATTTCCACACCATTAGTAATTCTAGAGAATTACTCTAATTACTAGAGAAAAACATGAAGCTAAGTTAAATGTAATAATTTATCAGATTGGCTGCTCTTAACCCTATGCATTAAAGACAACATGCTTCAGTCGTAATAGATTTTTGTGCTTAAAAAGACAGCCAGAGGAAATCATGGAAAACATCAACAGGAAAGACAATATGACCTGTAGCCTCTATACTATAAAATTCATTGTTAAAGGTAGAACAGTTGAAATCATTGTCTGAAAAAATTCCTATATTATTTAAAAAAGAACCATTGTGTTCAATATTGCTTACTTCAATATAGGTGGGCATAAAAGTTTATCTGGATCTAATTCTATAAAATGATTAATGCAGTTACTTCAAAGGAAAGTTACCTTCCTTTGAAGGTTTAAAATTTATATTATTATTACTTAAGATTGGGTAATTTTAAGATATCTTTTAAGTATATTTTTTATCAAATTCTTTACATTTTTTATCTAGAAAAAAAGATAGAGGAATTACATGAGCAAAGAAAGATTTTAATTGAAAACCTGGAAGCAGTTGTGGAAGATATAGATGATATGAAAAGTTATATTTCAGAAACAGGAGGAATTATCAAATATGTTGGTGAGTAAGAAAAGAAATACCCTTAAATCCATGGGCATTGTTAGGGACAGTTGACATAACTTGCCTCATGACATAAACTTCAATCCTTTTATATATGCATCTAATACATACATACATACATACATACTTACATACATACATACATACATACATACATACATATACACACACACACACACATATCTAAAGGGCAGAACATGTAATGTCACAATGCATGTTTTGTCATTCTGATAACATCTTCAGATTCCTTTCTTTATATTACTTTGATTTTTTATTGTGATGATCAGAATGATTATTTTAAAAAAACATTTTACATTATTTGTAACTATCTGAAAATGATCATATAAATTGATTAAATAATAATAAATAATGATTGACTATTTGACAATCAATTCAAAAGGCCTAAAAAGGTGTTTTTTATATATAGATAGATAGATAGATAGATAGATAGATAGATAGATAGATATGTCTTTTTCTTTTTCGTAGGCTTTTATGTGCATATTCTTTCTAGCCAGGTTTTACCTACGTAAACTAAGTTGTTCTACAGCCCTGGTTATGTGAAATCTCATTCACAAGTTTCTGGGCCATTTTTCTGCTGACAAACTGCAACTCTGTGTTGCATATATATATATATATATTTCTTTTAGCCAGGTTTTTCCTACGTAACCAAGATTTTTCTACAGCCCTAGCTCAGTGGAGTCACATCCACTCGATTCTGGGCTTTTTTCTTCTGGCAGCCAGCAGGCCCTATGCTGCCCTATGCTGCTTAGTGAGAGACTTCTATAGATCTATTTCTGGCTCGTTAGCCATCATCAGTAAGCCACACCCACATCTCATGTATCCTCCCTGTAAAGGTACAATATCTATTTTCTTACTTTACGTAGGTTTCATGTGTGTTTTTCTTTTAGCCAGGTTTTTCCTACGTAACCAAGATTTTTTCTACAGCCCTAGCTCAGTGGAGTCACATCCACTCGATTCTGGGCTTTTTTCTTCTGGCAGCCAGCAGGCCCTATGCTGCCGTATGCTGCTTAGTGAGAGACTTCTATAGATCTATTTCTGGCTCATTAGCCATCATCAGTAAGCCACACCCACATCTCATGTATCCTCCCTGTAAAGGTACAATATCTATTTTCTTACTTTTCGTAGGTTTTATGTGTGTTTTTCTTTTAGCCAGGTTTTTCCTACGTAACCAAGATTTTTCTACAGCCCTAGCTCAGTGGAGTCACATCCACTCGATTCTGGGCTTTTTTCTTCTTCTGGCAGCCAGCAGGCCCTATGCTGCCCTATGCTGCTTAGTGAGAGACTTCTATAGATCTATTTCTGGCTCGTTAGCCATCATCAGTAAGCCACACCCACATCTCATGTATCCTCCCTGTAAAGGTACAATATCTATTTTCTTACTTTACGTAGGTTTTATGTGTGTTTTTCTTTTAGCCAGGTTTTTCCTACGTAACCAAGATTTTTCTACAGCCCTAGCTCAGTGGAGTCACATCCACTCGATTCTGGGCTTTTTTTCTTCTGGCAGCCAGCAGGCCCTATGCTGCCCTATGCTGCTTAGTGAGAGACTTCTATAGATCTATTTCTGGCTCGTTAGCCATCATCAGTAAGCCACACCCACATCTCATGTATCCTCCCTGTAAAGGTACAATATCTATTTTCTTACTTTACGTAGGTTTTATGTGTGTTTTTTCTTTTAGCCAGGTTTTCCTATGTAACCAAGAGCTAGGGCTGTAGAAAAATCTTGGTTATTATAGGCCATCCTATCTCAAGGTAATTTGAAGAGAAGATTATTATAAGAAGAATAAAATATGCTGTATCAAGAAGCAAACATAATTCATGGTTATTTATTTATTCATCAATTTATCCACTGTGAGTGGGTAATAAAACCCTCAATACAAAACTCAATGTCTCCCTAGTGACAACTATCAAACCAACCATTTGATGGACTCAATATCCCTGAAGCCTTCAGACCCTTTAGCAAAACCATGTCTTCAGGGCCTTTTGAAAGTGTCAAAGTGGGGCCAAACTTATTTCCGCAGGGATGATGATCCACAGAGAGGAAGCCCTACAGAGAAGGCCCTTCTTCTTGGTCCTACCAAGTGGATTTCCTTAAGACAGGGTACTCATAATAAACCCTGCCTCCCAACTTTGGTGAGACAGGTAGATATAACTTGGAAAAGATGGTTCTTGAAATAACTTGGCTGCAGGCCATGTAGAGTTTTAAAGGTGACAATCAATCTCTTGAATTGTAATCAGAAGTAAATTGGCAGCTTCTGCAAAAAGAAATGATGAATATGAATGTAAATCTATATTAACCAAAGTCATGTGGGTCTCCTATTTTGACACATTGAAGCTTAGGATACTTTTCAAGGACTGCCCCACGTTGAGCATATTGCAGTATTTATTTATTTATTTTAATTTATTTTATTCACATTTATATTCCGCCCCTCTCCCAAAAGGCTCGGGGCGGCTCACAACAATAAAACGACAACAATAAAATGAAATAGAAAAATAATTCAATTAAAAACCCAACAATTAAAACTGAATTCCCAACAGATCAGGAGATTTGTTGAAAAAGCCATGTCTTCAGGTCGCCGCGGAAGGAGCGGAGGTCGGGGGCCATCCGGAGCCCAGTGGGTAGCTCGTTCCAGAGGGTCAGTGCGGCCACAGGGAACGCCCTCATCCTGGGTGCCACCAGCTGACATTGTCTGGCCGATGGCACCTGAAGTAGGGCAGTCCTATGTGAGTGCACTGGGCTCAGGGAGTCTGGTAGGAGGTGGTCCTCCAAGTACCCTGGGCCCATGCCATGAAGGGCTTTATAGGTAAGAACCAGCACCTTGAAGTGGATCCGAAGGACCACCGGCAACCAGTGCAGCTCGTGCAGGAGAGGTGTAACACGGGAGTAACGGGATGCCCCCGTAACAACCCGCACAGCCGCATTCTGGACCAGCTGGAGCCTCTGGGTGTACCCCAAGGGCAGCCCCATGTAGAGGGCATGTAGATGAGAGATAATGAGAGCATGAGTGACTGTCCGGAGGGCATCCCTGTCTAGGAAATGTCGCAACTGACGCACCAGGCAAACCTGTGCAAAAGCCCCCCTGGTCCCGGCCATCAGCTGGTCAACTAAGGACAGTCGCGAATCCAGGAGGCTGGATTTGCCTCCTGGATTGCAAGCCCTTTCAGAGGGAGTAAGCCACTCCCCTCCCATCATTAGTGATGGGGCCGCTAGCTCCTGGATGCTGGCATCCACAGCCATTCCGTCTTGGAGGGGTTGAGTCTGAGCCTGTTCCTACCCATCCAGACCCGCACCGCCTCCAGGCACTTGGACATCACAGAAAGGGCTTCCCTGGGTTGGTCTGGGGTGGAGATGTAAAGCTGGGTATCATCAGCATACTGATGATACCTCACCCCGAAACTGTGGATGATCTCACCCAGCGGCTTCATATAGATGTTAAAGAGCAAGGGGGAGAGAACCGATCCCTGGGGCACCTCACAGATGAGAGGCCTTGGGGAGGATCTCTGTCCCCCTGCCCAGACAAACTGGGTGCGACCCGAGAGGTAGGAGGAGAACCACTGTAAAACAGTGCCCCCCCACCCCTAACCCCCTGAGTCTTCGCAGTAGGATACCATGGTCGATACCAGTAGTCAAGAGTGGAGGTGACTAGAGTATGGGTGATTGTGGTTACTTAAAAATATAACTTGGCTCATCTAACTTTCTGGTTCTGCTCCTGGTGAAAAAATAAAATTGTTAGAGCTTCTTAGAGGCTGGCTGAGATGAATTAGAGAAGTGGTTCCTAACCTATAATATGCACATGCCTTGGAGGTGGGGGGGGGGATGTCACATAGGGATTCTGCAAAGACTTAAAGAAATGTTATCATTTAAAAGTTAAATCTTGGTGGCCTGTGACTGTGGTCTGTGGCCACAAAAGATATTTTAAGGGCGTCCGTGGTGAAGAAAAGGTTGAAAACCACTGTGTTAAGGTACTCCACAATGGCAGAAATTGTGGTAAAGGAATGTATGCCTCATTAGTTCCGTAACCTGGGATTCAAACTGTTGAAGGGACTCTGAACTATGCTATGCCAATCTTGTCAAATTGTATAGTTCAGACAGAGATAACCAGAGACAGATGATCCCCCAAATAACCAAGCCTTATGCCATTAACTACTTTATAGGTGTATAACAGCACTTGAATTGCTCTTGGAAGCCCTGTTGAAAAAATGTGCAGCTCACAGTTAAGGTTATTGTTTTTGGATCAGCTGCAGCCTCCAAGTGATAACCTTCAGTAATGTGAAATTTTCTGTAGGTCTATGTATTGTGCATCTGAGGAATCTGTGGTGAATTGGTGAACTTTTTGTCCAAGTCCTACTTCAGGAGCATTGTTCCTTATTATATGTATTATACCAATAAAGGAGAATTATTTGTAGCCCAGGGCTGAAATGGGGGGTCCTTGGTGCTCTCTGTGCTTGCTTGTTTTCCTGCAAACATTTCATTACCCCAACTAGGTAACATCATCAGTGCTAGTAAGATCCAGTAAAAAATCCAGCAACCCCAGAAGAAGAAATAAGAGTCACCTACAACATACATTGTAAGAACTGCAACAATCACTATATAAGACAAATAGGCAGAAGACTGCCAGAATGCATCTATGAACAGCAGCTGGCAATCAGAAGATATGGTGAAAATTCTTTATTTTCACAAAATATAGGCAGATTTAACCATAGGTCCAATTGGGAAAATGTGTCAATCCTAGACCAGGCCAAGTCCAAAAATGCCAGGGAATTTATAGAAACCTGGCACAAATCAGCCCACAATAGACATATAGATATTAACAACATCTATAGACTATTCAAAAGAGACAATCAACCAGGCCAAAAGAGAACAAAAAGATCCCAGGACCTCTCCACCAGTAATCAGCACCCAGATCAGCATATATTAATTTCAAAATTAACTTCAGACTAACAAGTAAACAATATCCCAATCAAGAAACTTCCAAAGAGCCATCAGTAAATTGCCCAACCAAAGAATCTCTATCACCACCCTTCATCCACATAGTCAGGCAACTCACGAGAATGACAACAAACAGCACCCCTTAGGGTAATGAAGTTAGGCTAATGAAATCTCTCCCCCCCTCTCTCATAGATAGATAGATAGATAGATAGATAGATAGATAGATAGATAGATAGATAGATAGATAGATAGATAGATAGATAAGGTAAAGGTAAAGATTCCCCTCACACATATGTGCTAGTCATTCTCAACTCTAGGGGGCGGTGCTCATCTCCGTTTCAAAGCTGAAGAGCCATTGCTGTCCGAAGATGTCTCCATGGTCATGTGGCCGGCATGACTCAACACCAAAGGAGCATGGAACACTATTACCTTCTCATCAAAGGTGGTCCCTATTTTTCTACTTGCATTTTCTATGTGCTTTTGAACTGCTAGGTTGGCAGAAGCTGGGACAAGTAACAGGAACTCCCCCTGTTACGTGGCACTAGGATTTGAATCGCTGAACTGCCGACCTTCTGATCGACAAGCTCAATATCTTAGCCACTGAACCATCGCATCCCTGATAGATAGATAGATAGATAGTTTTATAAATTATTTTTCACAGTGCATAATATTTAAGATCAATGTGATCACAAAATAAAATTTACATTCAAACTGCTGCTTTATTTTAATTGTTATTTTTTAGAAAAAGATTTGGAAACACTAAATCAGAAGAAGCAAATGTTTTTGGAATGTTTGGAGATAAATTTAAACAACCTTCAAGAAGCACAGACTGTTGCAGTTGCTCGTGCAAGCAGAAGAAATGGTTGGTATAGAATAGGATTTGGTAGCCCTTGGCTGCTGAATTGGACTTGATGCATCTGATAAATTAACCTTTTACAATTTCTGGAACTTACCAGTATCATGATTTCTGAAAATTATTTCCATAGTACTATACGTTGGTGTAGAAAATAAGGAAAAACAATATATCTAAATTACATCCCAAAATGCAGGGAAAATCCTGGTCTCACACCTATATGTGATAAATCTTTTTTCATTGTGCATTATTATCTCACTAATTGCATCCACTAAGTCCAAAATTACATTCTGATCACACACTATAGGTACTCCTAAAACTAGTATACTATAGAAGATTGATCTATTTCTGGCTTGTTAGCCATCATCGGTAAGCCACACCCACATCTCATGTATCCTCCCTGTAAAGGTACAATATCTATTTTCTTACTTTTTGTAGGCTTTATGTGTGTTTTTCTTTTAGCCAGGTTTTTCCTACGTAACCAAGATTTTTCTACAGCCCTAGCTCAGTGGAGTCACATCCACTCGATTCTGGGCTTTTTTTCTTCTGGCAGCCAGCAGGCCCTATGCTGCCCTATGCTGCTTAGTGAGAGACTTCTATAGATCTATTTCTGGCTCGTTAGCCATCATCAGTAAGCCACACCCACATTCATGTATCCTCCCTGTAAAGGTACAATATCTATTTTCTTACTTTACCTAGGTTTTATGTGTGTTTTTCTTTTAGCCAGGTTTTCCTACGTAACCAAGAGCTAGGGCTGTAGAAAAATCTTGGTTATTATAGGCCATCCTATCTCAAGGTAATTTGAAGAGAAGATTATTATAAGAAGAATAAAATATGCTGTATCAAGAAGCAAACATAATTCATGGTTATTTATTTATTCATCAATTTATCCACTGTGAGTGGCTAATAAAACCCTCAATACAAAACTCAATGTCTCCCTAGTGACAACTATCAAACCAACCATTTGATGGACTCAATATCCCCTGAAGCCTTCAGACCCTTTAGCAAAACCATGTCTTCAGTCCACTAAGTCCAAAATTACATTCTGATCACACACTATAGGTACTCCTAAAACTAGTATACTATAGAAGATTGATCTAACTATCTACTTGATCACTTGGCAATTTTTGTGGAGAACTCTTAATTATATTCTGAGTGAACCTCAGTACTATATTTAGTTACAAAAAGTTAAAAAAAAATCTTAATGTAATCAAATTTATAAACATAAATTCAAATTATAAAGAAAAAATTGCAAAAAAAATTTTGTGGCATGAGGATAGATTTATTTGTTGTTGTTAGTTGTAAAGTCGTATCTGACCCATCGGATCCCATGGACAAGGTTCCTCCAGGCCTTCCTGTCCTCTACCATCCTCTGGAGTCCATTTAAGATCACACCTACTGCTTCAGTGACTCCATCCAGCCACCTCATTCTCTGATGTTCCTTTCTTCTTTTTTCCCCTCAATCTTTCCCAGCATTAGGCTCTTCTCCAGTGAAGAGCCTTCCTTCCTTCTCATTAGGTGGCCAAAATATTTGAGTTTCATCTTCAGGATCTGGCCTTCTATTTTTTTTTTTAATAATAATTTTTATTGTAGTTTTTCTTTTCCATAATTCTAATACATAATCAAACAGACAGTGTCATTTATCATCTTTTTCTTTTAATTCTAAAATTAGTTTATTCATTTCAGCACATTCAAATATTTTCTGAATAATCAATTCCTCTGGTGGTAAATTATGTTCCTTCCAATATTGCGCAAATGCAATTCTTGCTGCTGTTAGTATATGTAGGATCAAATATCTTATTTTTTTTACCAAATTTAGTTTTTAATATTCCCAGCAGAAATGTTTCCGAATTTAGCTCAATTTGACAATTTATTAAGTCTTGTAGCCAACCTTGTATCTTAGTCCAATACTTTTTCGCTTTGGGGCATAGCCACCAGGCATGAAAAAAGGCACCTTGGTGCTGGTTGCATTTCCAGCACTTGGGGCTTAGGTTTGGGTACATTTTAGCTAGCCTTGCTGGAGGTAAGTGCCAACGGTAGAGCATTTTTTCCTTATAGGCAACTGATTTTGTTAACGTGTAGTTTTTGTTTCAGATTGTTTCCCAATCATCTAAGTCTATACTATGCCCTATATTTTTAGCCCATGCAATCATCGGTTCTTTCACCACCTCCTCTGCTCTATCAAATTCTAATAAATAATTGTATAATTTGGATATTATTTTTATTTCGGGGCCAATCAGCAATTTATCTAGTTGTTTTGGTTCCATGTCAATTCCATATTCTTTCACATCTTTCTTGTATCTTGATTGCAGTTGTAAGTATGGCCACCGATTAATGAGTATTCCTTGTTCTTTTAATACCTGATTATTTTTAAGCTTTCCCTGTTTGTCTAAGATTTCTGAGTATCTAGGTATTTTGCTGGTATCTAATATGTTGGGGTGGATCATAGCTTCCATAGTAGATAGCCAACCGGGAATTTTCATATAATGTTTCTTCTTTGTATTTTCCCAAATTCGTACCAATGCATCTCTTGTTTTATGTCTGTAAAAATATGATTGTATCCTATTCCCTTTATCCCACATAAAAGCATGCCACCCCTTTTGTAGATTGTGTCTTTCCAGCATTAAAATTCTTCTGTTCTTTAAATTAACCCAATCCCTTATCCAAACTAACGTAGCTGCTTTGTGGTACAGTTCCCACGCCAGGAATCCAAAACCACCCCTACTTCTACTATTTTGAAGAGAGTGTAATTTTATCCTTGCCTTTTTTCCTGACCAGACAAATTTAGTAGTAATTTTATTAAATTCATTGAAAAAAATTCTGTCTAATGGTATGGGGATTGTTTGAAATAAATATAATAGTTTAGGTAGAATATTCATCTTGATTGTTGCTATCCTACCTAAAAGTGATATTTATAACATTCCCCACTTTTCCAAATCCTTCTTTATTTGTTGGACCAAAACTGTATAGTTATCCTCCTTTAGGGATGAACACCTCGCTGTTAACCATATCCCTAGATATTTAATTTTTTTCACAATTTGTAAATCCGTTTCTTTTTCTAATTCTTTTTTCTGAATTGTTGTTAAATTTTTAACTGTCTTGGTTTTCCCTTTATTAATTTTAAGTCCTGATACTTCCCTATATTTTTCTATTTTTCATATTAGAATAGGGCCAGATTCCAGAGGTTCCTCAATGATAAATACCATATCATCTGCAAAGGCCTGTGCCTTGTACTCTTATCTTTCATTTTCATTCCCTTTATTTCTCGATTTGCTCTGATTCTATTTAGTAATACTTTTAATGTTAAAATAAAGAGCGATGGTGACAATGGGCACCCTTGTCGTACACCTTTAGTTATCTGAAATGTGTTGGTAATATCCCCATTTACTATTACCCTTGCCTTTTGTGTCTTATAAATTGCCTCTATCATTTTCTTAAATTTGACTCCCAATTTCTTTTGCTTAAATTGCCTAATCATGAATTGCCAGTTTAGATTGTTGAAAGCCTTTTGGGCATCCAGAAAAACAAGAGCCACTTGTTTCTCTGGATGAGCTTCATAATATTCCAGGGTGCCTACTATTATTCTCGTATTATCTCTTATTTGTCTATTGGGAAGGAAGCCATTTTGATCCAGGTGTATAGTCTCATTCAATACTCTTTTCAGTCTTTCTGCTATTATGTTCATGAATATTTTGTAATCTGCATTTAAAAGGGATATTGGTCTATAATTTCCAGGATCTGGCCTTCTAAAGAGCAGTCAGGGTTGATCTTCTCTAGGATTGACCGATTTGATTGGCTTGCAGTCCAAGGGACTCGCAGGAGTCTTCTCCAGCACCATAGTTCAAAGGCCTCAATTCTTTGGCACTCAGCCTTTCTTATGGTCCAACTTTCATAGCCATACATTGCAACTGGGAAAACCATAGCCTTGACTATATGCACTTTTGATGGCAGGGTGATATCTAAAAAGCATGCTTTTTAGTATGCTATCTAAAGTTGCCATAGCTTTCCTCCCCAAGAGCAAGCATATTTTAATTTCTTGGCTAAAATATTTTTTGCAGAACAACAAATAATTGATCTCACAAATGAAAGAAAGCTTTTGATTGCTGGTCTTGAAGCAGTTACTCAAGATTTGCAAGACATGCAGGACAAAGAAAAAGTTAAAAAATCCAAAAGTAAGTATAGAATAAATTTCATGTATTTTTATAAGAAATCTATGTAATATCTTCCACATGCTTTGTGCCTCGTCCTCTTTTTGTAAAACTGTTAACAAAATCGTTCTAGATTTAATGGTAATTTAATCTGTTAAAAAGGGAAAGACAAAATATCTACAATTTTTAAAATTTCATCTCATTTTTAAAGTTTTCCAATCAAATTTGAATCTGACAAATTTGTAAGTTGATGTGTGGGTTTTTGTGAGTGAAGTATTAAGAGCTACAGGATGATAGGAGGGAAGGGTAAAAATTGGATCTACCTTATCTGGCTAGGAGAAAAGCTCATACAAATCTCTCATCTAGAGAAAGGTTATTTGACAAGACATCTTTTCTAAAATAGAGAAAGTCTGTAGCTAAAACCAATCTATTTTTCAAGGACTAAAATTTGTATTCTCAGATGATTATTCCTTTTTTTTCCAGAACAGCTTTTGGAAGACCTTTGTGAACAAAAAGAATTGTTATTAGAAAAGTTGTCATCAAATCTGAAAGACTTGAAGCAAGCACAGGCTCTTGCAGCTGCTCAACCAGGGAGTATTAATGGTAAGTATTTTATAAAATATAATAATGAATAAGTTATAGTAATTATTTATAATTATAAATAACAAAAATAGCAATCTCAAAATTATTTTAATTATTCAAAAGGCTAAAAATATTATTACAATAATTTATTCTATCAAAAGCCATTTTGATATAGTGGTTAAGGAATTAGGTCTGAAACCAGCAAATAGGAATTCTAATCCCATTTTAGGCTGAGTGACCTTGACCAAAAAAAATAAATCACAATTTCTGAGCCTTAGGAAAGAGGCAGCAACAAACAACTTCCCAAAATGTTGCCAAGAAAACTGCAGTAACTTGTCCAGACGAGCATCAGGAGTCAAGATTGACTTGAAAGTGTGTGTGACCACATAAATATTTACTATGACACTTGATGCGTTTCTTTGTATTTAAAAATCAAATTAATCAGTTTTACAGATTAATCCTAAAATGAAGAAAAATATGAATACTACTTCTAGTGCTTTGTTGTCTGGAAAAATGGAAAAATTTAGATTTCTCCTGGTATTTTTCAATGGCTCTTGGCCTTTAAAACTAAAGTTTATAGGAAGGAGTCTATGTTGTCCTTTCCTATTTCATAACTGCTCTTTTCTTTTTGTATTCGCTAGAAAAAAAGAAGGGAAATAACTGCCAGTGTAAGATTAGCTAGGTGAATATAGATATGTAACTTTGCTGTGTGAACAAGGAGGCTGTGGATGTCAAGTCGCCACCAATCTAGTCCCAAATCAGTTTTATTCACAATTCCCTATAAGAATGCCTTTTGTAGGATATACAATAATTATGAAACTGTGAAAAAAGATTTTTCTGTTATTATTATATTAAAGTATATATGTTAAAGAAGGGATTTGCTTGTTTAGTTTCATAATTTACCTAACTCAAAAGTTTTAGGCAGTGTGCAGAATAAAGACACATAAAGATGGATGGATGGACAGACAAACTGGTATGTGCATGCTTCTGTGATGGTATTTCCCACCAGTACAGAGCATTGGTGAGAAATGCACTTAAATATCAATCTATTCTCCACCAATTGGGATCACAAATCAACGTGTCCTCTTGCTTGTTTTTAAAAAAAAGTTTTTAGAGTTTTCTAAAAGAAGGCAAGATTGGTGTCCTAAACACTTCCTGGTCCTGCTTTCTTTTGGAATATGCCCCTCTCATGCCATATTTAGCCTAGTGCATGGGTCCCCAATTCCTGGGCCACGGCCCAGTATTGGACTGTGGTCCATTTGGAACCGGGTCACGGAGGTGGTGGGTGAGTGCGTGCATGCATGCAGTTCCAATTGCGAGAGCAGCAGGTGTGTGTGCACACATATATATTCTGCTCCATTTGTGAAAGTGGTGGGCATGTGTACCTGCTGCTAGCACAAAAGGAGCTGTGCAGGTACACGCGCTCACTCACCACTCATGTAGAACCATATCCTTCTCCCTCACTATTGGTCCGCAAAGATGGAAAGATTGGGGAATGCTGGCCTAGTGTGGCTATCAAGCTGGTAGACATTAGCATGATCTTATAATGCTTAACAGTCAGATATAGTTAATTATAGTATAAAATACAACCACATTTATTCTAAATTTATATATCTGTCCTGGTGACAATCCCAGAAGTCCATTTCTATGTGAATCATAGATATTGTATTTTATTGTCTTTCTTCTGGTGTATCTGAAGAGAAAGAACATAGTTAATAATTTTTAGTTTTCTCATTGTCACGAGTATTCTGAAATGCTCAATTTTTCCCAAACCTGTAAAATTATTTATAATGTTCCTTTCCAAAACGTAACTCTCCTATTTTCATCTTTTATGTTTGACATGAATTATATTTCATTTTTAGAGCAAAAGATACAAGAATTCAATGAACAAAGAAGGCTATTGTCTGTAGGTTTAGAGGGAATTGTACAAAATATTCAAATTATACAGAATCTTAAATCAAGTAGAACTGAGCTATTAACACCTGGTGGTAAGTACAGAATTAAAATTGTTATCAGATTCATGGGGTTTCACAAATGAACCTTTTTATCTGTCTCATGCATGAAAGAATATAATCTATATAAACTATTCTACTAAAACTGAAATCTTGTTTTTGTTTTGTCTGAATTTCCTCACTATTGAAAGATGTATTTTCCAGAACTATTATGGAGATCCTCTGAATGCTTCTTAAGCAATTCCTTTTCATAAAATTATTCCAATGGCTAGCTGACTAGCCACCCAATTTTATTTCTATCTATATTTTTAATCTTGTATTCCACTTAAAAGTGGTATTTTCTTTTTAAAATTTTTATTTTATTTAGAAAATTAAAATACAAATAATTTTTTTTACAAAAAATATCAAAAATGGATAAAACACTCTTAAAAATGTGCATTAAAAAGGATAAAAGACAAAAACATATATGCATATACTGCCCTCCCCACCCATCCACCCGGTTGATTACTGATAAATAGTGTACATTGCAACAATGTTAGTTTCTCCCCTTTCTGAAGCAGATTTGCAGCTATTTACAATCAACTTGGTCTATCGTCTATCTACTATATATAAACAGATAGACAAAAGGTAAATCAATAGCAAAGTTAAAATTCAGAGTCCTCTGTTATCAATTTGTTATTGTATTTAACTCATAGAAAGCCTATAAGAAAGTTTCTTATCTGCCAGAAATAACCACAAACAATCATTATCTCTGATCCATCCGGGACCAAATATTTTAATTTGGCTCTTAATAATAAAATTTTCCCTTAAGATTTTTATTGGGAACTTTCTCAACAATTTTATCTCGCCTTCCAATTCCTACGCCTCTGCTGTAAATACCTCTGCCATCTCCAATGTGGAAACAGTCTCTCTATGAACCAAAATACAAAATATTTTTTCAATTGTTATCTGATTAGATATAATGTCCATTTTCCAAAATCAATTGCCAGAACAGTCCAAATTGTTTTCAGTTGGTATAATAAGTCCATCCTTCTTAAGAGGGTCCAATTCATCACCCATCCAGTCTGCCAATTATAAGTCTGTAAAATCCAGATTTCCTTCAGTTTTCTGCAATAAGCCTTCCGTTTTCCTGACAAACTGCTTCTTTTTCAAATCTCCCAGGACTTAGATTCCAGTCTATCCAATTTTAAGTTTTGCTTAGCTGCAATTGTTTGCATCCGAGTATCCTCTTTAAGTTGATTTGAAACCCTAGTGATTTTATCAAGCTTTTTACCAAAGTTTTCAATTTGAGCTTGTAAATTAAAAAGATTTTTTTCAAAGCCTTCCCACCAGGTTTTATCGTTAATCTGGTGCATTATTTGCATATCTGAATTTATAGAATTCAGCAAAGAAAAGAAAAATTCAAAGACAAAAATATAAAATATACTGTAACAAATAGTCACAGTGAACATTAAAATAATCTCACATTGAAGGTATGAAGAAGAAAAGAAAAACAAAATGTTTGATCAAAAATTAAAAAGAAAAAAAACCTAGACCAAAACTTTGTAAGAGTTAAACCCTGTAGTGAAATCTAATACAACTAGTCCTCAATTTACAACAGTTCATTTAGTAACCATTCCAAGTTACAACAGCATTGGAATAAATGACGTAAGACTGTTTTCACACTTAGGACTGTTGCAGCATCCCCATGGTCGTGATCAAAATTCAGACACTTGGCAATTGACTCACATTTATAACAGTTGCAGTGTCCCAAGAACATGTGATCATCTTTTGTGACTTTCTTACAAGCAAAGTCAATGAGGAAGCTAGATTTACTTAACAACAGGGTTACTAACTTAAGAACTGCAATGATTCATTTAACAATTGTGGCAAGAAAGATTGTAAAATGGAACAAAATTCACTTAATAAATATTTCACTAAACAACAGAAATTTTGGGCTCAAGTGTTGTAAGTCGAAGACTACCTATATAGATATAAATCCATTCAGGTTAATTTCACTACTGAGAAAATTGCAGTTAGCTTCCATAGGCTTCACAACTCTCTTTCCAAAAAATACCAGTGAAGAAACGAAAATAAGTAGATGTTAAAATCCAGCAAGTGCTTAGAACAGTGTTAGCGAATCCTTTTGGCACTGAGTGCTGAAACAGGAGCATGTGTGTGCGATCCAAAAACCGAAAGAGCAGCCGCCTGATGTGCATGCGTGTGCCAGAAAGATGATCTTCCAGTTTCCGGCATGCGCATGTGCACCAGCTTCTCATCCAAGAAGATTCTTCAGCTCTGACTGGATGGTGGAGAATGGAAGGATTTATATTCCTTGTAGACAGCTGGACATTTGCATTCTTTTAGTGAGTCATTAAAGGCCACCTGGAGGTTTATCTGTGTCATCAAGGTCAACTAAGTAGTGCAAATAGGTGTGGAACCTTCTTGAAACTGTTGAAAGGACTGTGTTGTAGACTGGAGATAGATGCTGTCGTATCCTTCTGTTGAGAGAGGGCTGTTCAATTTTGACATAGATGGCCTCTCTGACCATTCTTTCAAACCTGCGGTCCTCTCTGTCCAAAATGTGAACTTTACTGTCTTCAAATGAGTAGCCTTTGTCTTTTAAATTTAGATGGACTGCTGAATCTAGTTCTGATGGGTTTGTCCTCCTATGTTGTGCCATGCGTTTATGAAGTAGTTGTTTTGTTTCCCCAATGTACAAATCTGCACCTATCTCACTGCATTGTACTGCATATACCACATTGCTCAGTTTGTGTCTAGGTATTTTATCCTTGGGGTGGACAAGCTTCTGCCTTAGTGTATTCTTGGGTTTGAAATGTGCATGTATGTTGTGTTGGCTGAAGATCTCTTGAGCTTTTCTGATATTCTTGCAATTCTTGCAGCATTGCTTCGTTTATTGTTCTCTTTGTTATGGAGATGTTCCTATAGTTTTTTTTTTTTTTTTTTTTTTGAGATTTGATAAAGGCCCACTTGGGATAGCCACACATTCTGAGAAAAACCAGAAAGTCCAGTTGCCTCTTGAAAAAGCATCTTTGGGACCTTCCATCAGTTAATTAACTTTTTAAAATAAGTATCAAATAGAAAGAAAAAACTTTGAAAGTGCAGTTTAAAGCCAAGCATGCTTCAAAATACTAAGTAGCTGAGGGAAAAGATGGAAGCTGAACTCTTCAACTGCTTTTATCAGAAATTGCAATCTCTTTCCAGGAGTGTCTGTAGCTGTCCAAGGCTTTAGGAAGCCGATTACCAAGTAACCTTCTTTGGCAGTAAATCAGCTGTTTATCTGCAGGAGTAGTAAATCTTCCCATCGTTCAACACGCCATCTTGGAGAAGGAGTCAAAACTAAAACTATTTTCATTAATATAAAAACTACCTTTTGTTTATCTATTTCTATTTTTCATTAGATTGGCATTTTGTGTATCTTTTCCAAGAATGGAAATTTCACATTTGCAGAAATGGAGACTCAATCATTGTTTACTACTTTAGCCTAGCAGTCTTGAAGAGACAAAGTATTACTTAGCGCATTGTAAGCCGCCTTGAGTCTCCGGAGAAGGGCGGCATATAAATCAAGTTAAAAAAAAAAAAAAGTAGAAGCAGAAACTATAATTAAAAGTATTTCTTACTTTTCTTCGTGCATTTAATCTTTTCAACTAAATGCACATTCCTTCTCCCTATTAATTGTGTTGACATTTTATTAGCAATAGCCACTTTTCATTTTTTCCCCCCCACCCTGATCTTCGATAAGTACCATCCAGCCATGGACTGAAATCCTCATGATTTTTGGGAGTTATCCTGACTGAGACTTCTTAGAACTGATGTTTAGCAAAATTAGAAGGGACCACAATTTGCTCAGTGCTGTCTAGGCTGGAGAAGAATTTTAAAGCTTGAACTTTATTTTATGGATTTTAAATTAACACAATAAAGATACTGCTGCAATAAAGATTTTTACATTTGACTGACATCATTCACCTACTATTCCTTCTCCATTTTATTACTGTGCAAAATCACTTGGATAATCGACTGCATGATAAAATAAACTGAAATTAAATCAAGGTAATACAAAAGTGCTCTACATGGAGATTGAAATGCTACTTTGGATGGATGTAGCTGCATTATGTGAGAGGTCTGCACTCTGGGAGCGTGCCTTAATCTTGAGTCCACGACATCCACTGTAAAGAAGTGGGCATTTATAAATTACTGCTAGTTCAAACAGTTACACCAGATATAACTGTCCCTTACCTTAGTTGCAATTACCCTTGCCTTGGTTATATCTTTTCTATTACTACAAAGTGTTTGGAAGTTGCAAAATACAAATAACTGGAGCTAAAGGGAGCAGATAAAGGAATCACATAATGTTTATATTGAGGGATATATGCTAATTGCAAACTGCCTGTGAGGAATCATTTCAAGTGATGTGCCAACCTTTAAAATCCTAAATGCCCATCCTGGTATAAAGTTGCCAGATTATTTAGCTAGCAAAGATATTTTTGAAAATACTTCTAAGTCTTATCTATCTGGTATTATCTTATGAGGCATTATCTTATCTCCCAGACTATGGAATACTTTTTGAGGAGATTTCACTCCTCTTCTAGTATTTTGAAAAGTGGTAAAGATATTCTTTCATCAAACTTGTACATATCATTTATATTTATGTTATATTTATTCATTTTTAAATGTTAAATGATGGAAGTTGCCTTAAATGAGTAGAAAAGTGAGATATAAATCCAATATATAAATAATGTATAAGTCATATAACACTTTCAAAGTTTTTGCATGCCTAGTGATTGGGAAATTGAATTTCAATCATTTTTTTCCAAAACAAATTTAAGGACAATTTGTTTTCTCTATCTTTTTTTGGACAATAATTTTAAAGGTGATTTAAAAGAAACAAAAGTAATGAAAAAAGCCATGCCCACAGCAAAAAAAAAAGAGAGAGAGAGAGTGGGGAGAGAGAGAGAGAGAGAGAGAGAGAGGGAGGGAGGGAGGGAGGGGAAGGAAAGAAGGATGAATTTCAATACTTTTTTTCTCTTTTCATTCCAGTATGAATTCATATCCTGCCTTCTCCCACTTTTATCTGTCTCAGTCATTAAAAAATTACGAAAACACAAAATGAGACCCTAGTCTTTTGTTCCCACTTAGAATTTTGAATATTAATTTTCCTGACTCGCTGCTCAGACAATCCTACAGAATGGGATCTAGCAGTGTGATTGGATGTATTGAGTGCCTATCATTTTTCCTCTGCAGTCCTAGTCCCGCCCTCTGGTTCCTCCTGTCAGTCTTTTTCACTCAGTGTATTGGTTAAGATGTTGGACTGGAAGAGGGGAGGAAGGGGATCTAGATTTAAACTCACCCTCAGCCATGGTGCTGACATCTTCCAATTCTACAGCTTCTGCAGGATTACTGCAAGATTAATGCTTATGCCTCTGCTGAGGTTGCCTTTGGAAGAACAAGATTGCTGTTGTTGATTTTTTCTTAGTAAATTTCATTTGCTCCAGAATGAAATAGAAATCTAGTCTGGAACCTCATTTAAAATGTATTGCTCAAGATACAGTATCTTAATTATTGGCTTTCAGTCGAATCTGCTATGTAGCTGGTTTTTATTCCAAACTAGGAAAATAATGTTGCATATTTATTTAAAGAAGGCATGTATCTTGCTTTTAAAAGAAAGTACCATTGTTATGTTATTGGCTTTTTTTTTTTTTGAGCTTTTTTCACATTGATTGTAGGTTTCCTCATAGGTGCAATAGTTTTAGGCCTGCTGGGAAAGGGATTGAAAGTATCATAGATAAGAATTAAGTAAAATAAAATCTTGCCTTCCTGTGGGACTCCTTCTTCACATCAGCCAGTAAATAAACTTCCTGGTAACATGATAGCATGATATTTTGAATATTTTAGGCTAACAATTTTAAAATATTTCCTTTTATAGAAATACAAGGATTATATGAGAAGAGAAGGTTGTATTTGGACAATATGGAATTAAATCTGAAAGATTTGAAAGTTTTGCAGGCCGCTGCAGTTACTCAACCAGATAATGGTAAGTAATTAATTTTTAGTATGTTAATATGCTAGGCACTTTTCTGTTTTCTCAGTAGTATTTTGTTTAAGATGAAAAATCTACAGTACATTTTTGGTTGACAAATAGTATTGATGATGACAAAAATAATTCTTAGTGTCCACCAATTCTTTGGTATGGGGAAGCATCCAACAATAGTTAATTTCCTTGTAGCCTAGGAAAGCAGGAATCATATCTTAATTATTTTTAACTCTAGGCTTGATGAAATGGGATTAATCTTTCCTTTCTCATAAGGGTCTTCCAAGGGTGAAATGCTACAGTTTGCACCAGTTTGGGTGAACAGTAGTGATAAAAGCTACTGGTTTGGGCAAACCAGTAATAAAAAAAAGCTACCAGTTCGTCCGAACAGGTATTTCTGACGATCACCTCTGAAGCATGATTTAAATTAGCCAGAAAGCTTTCTAGCGAATCTAAATCGCATGACACAGCTGTTCCCCCCTCTTGCTGTTCTACTTACCTTGTTAAGCCTCCTTTTTCTGTGTGAAGCGTGCGTTTGGTGCACAATGTACATGTGCATGCGTGCAGTGTGCTTTTGGTGCATACCGTGCATTTGGCGTGCACTGTGCATTCGCGGTCAGCAAACCAGTGGCAATCTGTGGAGAATTTCACCATTGCAGGCCTCCAATTATTCTGGTGCAGTTTTCTGCAAACATCTGCAGGGAGAATTAGGAATTGATAAAAAAATTGCCACCGTTCTTTCTCTGATGACAGGTTTCTGTCTCTCACTATACATCATATAGCCAGAATTAGAACTGGCATTTCAAATCTTTTTCAATTTCTGTATTGCTATTTTTGTATCACTATATGACAAAAGGATCCAGCAAACTTCTCACTTGCTTTTTAACCTCCCAAAGAGATAGGCATTTTACTAGAAGAAGAGGGTACCAGCCCATAGATCAACTCTTGATATTCTTCTGATCTACTAAGAACTTCTTATGCTACTGTTTGTTCCAGCTATTATAAAATCTTCCACTTTTTTTCAAATTTCTGATTGCTCAATCAGCATTTAAGTGATACATTGCTGGTCTTGAATTTTTGGTGTTTTTATAAACATTACTTATGATATTGCTAGTTTAATGTGTTTTATTTCAGTTGTTTTTAATATATTATATCCTAATCTCTAGATAATGTCTTCCAGTTTATTTCTATGGAGTACATTTCTAAAAATTTTAATAGTAACATGGATGCTCCTTTTATGCAGAACAGATAATTCAACAATTAGCTGAGAAAAAAATAATATTGTTTGACAATCTGGAAGGAATTATTCAAGATGTGGAACAAGAACAAAACTTTGATTTAGAAAAAGGTTTGACAAAAAGATCTGATGGTAAGTGTTTAAAATAAAAATGTAGGGTAATCTATTAATGTTAGCTGACCTAGAAAGAGCATTGACATAATATAATACATTTTCTGCAGTTCTTCTTAAAGGATAACTGTTGTTAATTGATGCCGCTTGGGTGGAGGGGAGATAAGAACATTATAAATCCCAGAGATGAAAATGTTTATGTCAGACAGAATTCTAGAGAAATCATTACTGATTGTTTTCATTATGAATTTAGCATGGAGCAATATATTAGTAATGCAATATATTTTAGACTGGTTATGATGTGGAAGGGTGTTTACCTTAAATGTATGTATGTGTGTGTGTGTGTATGTATGTGTGTGTGTGTGTGTGTGTATAAAATATCCAAATTTTCAATTGTATTTCATTTTTAATCAAATCATTTTTCTTTGTGATCTCTATACATTACTCTTATGGTATTGCTTCTGTATGGGCAGAACTTCTCTAGCTGTAGATATATATATTTTTCTGTGTACCTTCAGCACACCATTGGTGGGTTCTAAACATTATTACCGGATCGGTGGGTGTGGGGGAGCGTGACTGATTGGGCGTGGCCAACGTGACATCACTCATGCACTCAGACACATGACCCCCCCCAAGCCACACCCACCGAAAAGGGGGCTAAAATTTTTGGGACTTTTTGAAACTTTTTTTTTTGACACTCCAGCCCCATATCCAGGTCGGGATGCGTGGGGTGGTGGTGGTCATTTCGGCTTTCCCTCCATTGCCTTCCTGGCCGAAAAGTTCCCCTTCTCACCTCTGACAGGCCTTCCTCGTGGTTGCAGCCGGAGCAACCCACTCCGCCAGCTCAGGGCAGCGAACTCAGCTGCAGCCCAGACAAGCCAAGGAACTATGGGGAACCTCCTGTGTGTTGCACCCCTGCCCAGCCTCCCCGCTGCGCCTCCGCACCGTTTTCGGGCACCCAGCTTACTGGGCTGCCCCCATACCTATTGCGGCTCCAACAGCGGCGGCTTCTTAAGCTGCTGGTGACATGAAGGTGTGTCGAAGGCTGGGAGGGGGGTGCAACACACGGGAGGCTCCCCGCAGTTCCTCAGGTCATCTGGGCTGTAGCTGATTGAGGTGCTTTAGCAGCCATGAGCTGCGCTTTCCTCCAAGTCTCACAGAGAGAAGCACCTGTTTCCCTCTGCCACCCACAGTGCTTAGAGGAAAGCACAACTCATGGCTGCTACCGGGCTGCCCCAGTCCCTGTCACAGCTCCAACGGTGATGGCTTTGGGAAATGCTGGTAGCACGGAGGTGCAGGAGAAGGCTGAGAGTGGGGCGCAACACGCGGGGGCTGAGTCTGTTCCCCTTCACCTCCCCACACTTGTTTACCTGTCATTGTTTACTGGATCAGAGGGAGGCTACGTCTCCCTCCGACCCAGCTGCCTTCCTTGCCGGCATCGCTCCTGAGTGAACTCTTCCATCCTTGGCTGTTGGGAAGAAGCGGCAGCTCTGGGTGTGCCACGCCCACTTCGTTCTCTTTGAGAACAGCTTTGCACCTTGTTTGTGTTGTGTGTGTTGTGGCCTGTCAGCGGCCTGTACAGCTAGTAGCTGATTCAGACAGTGAGGAGGCTGGTGTAGTGATGCGCCAGCAGCCTGTGCAGCTGGCACTCGAGTCAGACAATGAGGAGGCTGGAGAAGATGTGGTGCCAGAGGCGGGGATTCAGCCAGGGCCTTCAGAACCTCCAGAAGCTCCCCCTAAGTGAAGAGGAAGAAGAAGAAGAGCCTCTTCTTGATGCACAAGTATGCAGAGCTGCCAAAAGGCAGGAGTGGCTCCTTAGGAGGACGTCTCCTCAAGAATAAGGCTTGGGGCTAATTGGCCACTCCCCTGGCCTATTTAAGGAAGGACGATGACCGATGCAATTTGCAGGAAACTACTTCGTTCATATTCCTTCGCATCTTGATTCCAGAAACATTTGATTCGGCTCTTGTTTCTCTCTTGTCAGTTTTTCTGCAAATTGCCAGCTTTTCTGCCAACCACAGTAAGATTACGGTTATCTGAAATATTGTGCCTCAGAACTGAGTTATTATTCTTTGGATTCTTGTCGGCTGTTACTGAAATTAAATTAACAGCCCTTGTTCAAAAAAGACTGATTTAAACTGTACTTGTGTTCAAACAACTACTAAGAAAGCTCATTAGTAGTCCTTAATTAGTAAATTAAGGTTTGTACGGACTGTGTGTGTGCTGCGTTCTTTGGGGTCCATAGCTGGGGCAGAACAGCCGTGGCACATCCGGAGCTGCCGCTTCTTCGCAACAGCTGAGGACGACTTCTGCTTGGAGCTCCAAGCTGTGGGGAGGGGGGGGGCGGCTGCAATGCCGGCAGCTTCGGTGGGCCCCTTGCCTCAGTGGTTTGTTTTCTTTTACCTCATCTAGGCGACTTTGTCATTAAAGGCTACTCCGTGCCTTTTGATCTTTCTCGGGAGCGGAGAAAAGTGACCCTGTGTGAAGGGACTGAGCCTGCTGCTGAACTTGGAAGCCAAGAGGCTTCTTTTCTACCCAGCATTGGTGCACAGCGCCAGAAAGATCTCTGGTTGCTGCCACCATCTTCGCGCATGCGCAGCTTTCTTCTCACTGGCTGAAGGACTTTTCGGTGCCCTGTGGCCAAGCGGCTGAGAGGCTTCTTTGCTTCTTTGCTTCTGGTCAGCTTCAGGTGGGCGAGCAAGCAACGACCAGGGGACCGGTTCGGGGGCATGCCCTGGCTGCCATTACTACCGGTTCGGAGAACTAGTTCCTAAAGTTACTACCTATTCGGTAGAACCAGGCCAAATGGATAGCAACCCACCACTGCAGGACTCATGTTCTTGGGCTTGATTTTCAGTTGTCCCTCAAGTACTTACTTTCAAGTACTGCACTGCAACAATATCTGTCTCTAAATAAACACCATTATTTGGTATTTTATCCATCATTTTTCAGACTTATGTCAGTCTCCTAACTTTCTTGTTCCAGACTTGCATACCTCCTGCAGAAGAAGCAACCAAACATATTCACAAGTTGAATCTGCTTTATGAATTTTATTTAGGATTTTTCCTGGTGGAGAAGAAGGATGGGGAACCAAGTCCTGTTTAAATTTTTTTGACTTAAATTTCCACCATACAGATGGTTCAGCATATTGTCTCTGTTAGTTCTGAGCCATCAATTCACATGATGGTTTCACAGCCGCCTTAAATTGAAATATTGTTATTATGAGAGCTGTGGTGGTGCAGTGGATAGAGTGCAGTACTGAGGGCTACTTCTGCTGATCATCGGCTGCCAGCAGTTCAGCAGTTCAAATCTCACCAGGCTCAAGGTTGACTCATCCTTCCATCCTTCCGAAGTGGGTAAAATGAGGATCCAGATTGTTGGGGACAATAAACTGACTCTGTAAACCGCTTTGAGAGGGCTGTAAAACCCTGTGAAGCAGTATATAAGTCTAAGTGCTATTGCTATTATCCTCTATTTTCTTTTTCTGCTATTTTGGGTTGCTGCAGTGTGTTTGGGGTCATCAAATTAAAGTCCTTATACAGCTTATCTTGTGGGAGGTTGGGTTGTTACTTTGATAGTGGAGGATCTGGTTAATATGGGTGGTTTTTCTGTAGACTTGTGTTTCTAGTTTGCCATTGTCGTTTCTGCTGATCAGGATGTCCAGGAAGAGTAGCAAGTAGTTGTTTTCTTCTTCTTTAGTAAACTGGATTCCTTTTAAAATGTTATTGATAGCTCTCTGGATATTCTCTAATTGGTTCTTTTTTATTATGGTGAAGGTGTCGTCTATATATTTGATTCATATTTTCAGTTCTACTTGTGGAAGTTCTATGGCTTCTAGATGTTGCATGACGACCTCTGTCCTGAAAGTGGTGATCCCATTCAGTTCAGGCTGAATGCTGGATAATGGAAGGATTTACATTCCTTGTTGTTTCTTTCCTTCCTTCATGTTTATTAACCTAACTCTTCTTTGGAATTATATTGCCCACATTACAATTGATAGTTCAATGGTAGCAAAGCTGCAACTCTGGAATTGACACAGTTTTTATAATATAGTGCTATTCGTCAGCATTCCAAGTAATGCACCCATAGAAAACAGAACTCCGAGACAGGCAGGTTCCTCAAAGAACAGTTTATTGGATACTTCATATTGGCACAACTGGTGAAAGTCGACTCTGAAATTTCCTGTGGCTTTCACCTGATTCCCTCTCTCCCCCAAGTCACTGGTCACGCTGTCCAATGTAGGTCCTGGCTGGTTGCTAGGTTACTTGCTCCTCCTGTGACCAGCCACCTATGAGAATGTCCTTGGTTCCCATGGGAAAACTTTATTGTTTTGACTACAAAACGCCATTAATTATTTCTCCCCTCCCACCATTGTGGCAACTGAAACTTCCAAGATGGCTTCAACTTCAGAATAGAATAGAATAGAATAGAATAGAATAGAATAGAATAGAATAGTCTTTATTGGCCAAGTGTGATTGGACACACAAGGAATTTGTCTTGGTGCATACGCTCTCAGTGCACATAAAAGAAAAGATACGTTCATCAAGAATCATAAGGTACAACACTTAATGATAGTCATAGGGTACAAATAAGCAATCAGGAAACAATATCAATATAAATCATAAGGATGCAAGCAACAAAGTTACAGTCATACAGTCATAAATTGGAGGAGATGGGCGATGGGAACAATGAGAAGATGAGAAGATTAATAGTTGTGCAAACTTAGTAAATAGTTTGACAGTGTTAAGGGAATTATTTGTTTAGCAGAGTGATGGCGTTCAGAGAAAAACTGTTCTTGTGTCTAGTTGTTCTGGTGTGCAGTGCTCTATAGCATTGTTTTGAGGATAGGAGTTGAAACAGTTTATGTCCAGGATGTGAGGGGTCTGTAAATATTTTTACAGCCCTTACAGTTGCAGAACCAAACCAGACAGTGACACTATTCATGTTACAAGAATAGAGGAACATAAGAAATATTTGACCAGAATAGCATTCTGACATTACATAAGTAAATGCTACAGCTTTCAGTGATTCAATTTTTTTCACCAAGTGGGATTGACAGCCATAGATCTGCTTTATTTTTGCCTTAAAAGCAAAAATGTTGAAGGATAGTGCTCATTGATACCATTCTTGCTTCAGAACAGCAAAGTCCCAGGTTCTCTTAGGGCTGTGCTGACAAACCTATGGCATGGAGGCAAGAAGTGGCACACAGAGCTATTTCTTTGGGCACGCCAGCTATCACCCATTGTTTTTCTAGGTTCCGGTACACCCCCCTTGCTCATGCGCGTGCTTCCATTTCAGCACTCAATGCCGAAAAGGTTCGCCAACACTATCTTTGGGATATATTCTGTTCAACTTGGATTGAAACTCTCCTGTGTCTGTTTCTAGCTTTCCTCTTGCTCACTGGAATCCTTATACTCTCCATGGATACAACCAGCTTATATTTCTATCTAGATTTCACATAGACAGAGCTTTATATTCTTTCTCCAAATAGCTGGCAACTAATGTATTTCTCACTATTACATTGGGACTTTTCCTTAGAAGGCTGATACCTACTTGGAACATATACTCTCTTCTAAAATGTTTTGAACTGTATCTATTACATTTCTTTAAGATAGCCCCAAAGAGCTAGTGAGCTTCTTATTCAGAGGTTTGATTATTCTTCAGTTCAAACAAAAGTAATTCAATGACAAGCCATTACTTTCTTACCAAAAATTGTTTCAGAATCTCGAACGAACTTGTAACTTTATATCTGTCACCTGCTTCCCTATTACAAGAATCTCTTCACTTGAATGTCTGCAATGCACTAGACATCTACTTGCTGTAATCTTCTATAGAACCAATCATTTATAAATTTGTATTTAAGGCAGAAAATAAAACCTTAGAGTCTTGTTTTAAAGATTGCTAAAATGAGTTTGGCTTGGTAATGATTTCAGGGCAAAATCTCTTCTGCTAATTTCTTCTCATTCAATACAGTCTGTGATCTCTTCTGTAGCCTGTTTAAAAGTTTTTCCATTTTTTTTATTTATGTAGAAAAACAACATGCTCACTGTCCTCAGTGTTCATTCCATACATTAGTACCTCTTGGACGAACACTCTTCTCCATTCCTATGAATAGAGCACTTTTTTAAACCTGCAACTATATATGCAAAATGATGTTTGTAATTATTGTTCTTACAAATTGGGAGTTTTTTCTTACTTCCACAACAATTCATATTATTCAGTAGTTTCTGAGTTAAAGGTTACCTTTCTTTTGCTATGTTGAGAAATGCAGATATAAAGATTGCTTCGCTCTTCCCTTTCAAAAGGGAAGAAACTGAACTTTACTTTTTAAATGCAATATTTTAACCAGAAATTGAATATATGCATTTCTAAATTTCTAGAGAGAGAAATACATGAGCTGCTAGTGTTTTCAGCATTAGAATCAAAATGTTATGAACTGGAAGAAATGGGAACTCTTCCATATAATCAGCTGAATGTTATCAGTAAGTACAGAATTAAGTCTTGAAACATGTACAATATTTCACGATGAAAGAAAAGTCCATTAGAAGATAACTTATATAGTCACAAGCTATTTAATGAAAAAATATTTATTTATTTAAGAAAATTGCTATTGTAAAAAAGTATCTTAAATACATTGTTTCTTTTATTGTAATCTAGAAAGGAAAGTGCACAAACTAAAAGAACAAAGAAAGAGTTCATTTGACAGACGTCATTTACTTTATCCCAAAGAGCAGCCAATAGAAAATATTCTTGAGAGTAAGTATGAAAAGTAGTATAATATTAAGATAGAGGTAGTCCTTGATTTACAACCACAACTGGCACAAAATTTCTGTTGCTAAGCAAGACAATTGTTAAGTGACTCTTGCTGCATTTTACGACTTTTCTTGCCACAGTTGTTAAGTGAATCCCTGCAGGTGTTAAGTTAGTAACATGATTGTTATGTGAATCTGTTTTCTCCATTGACTTTGCTTGTCAGAAGGTCGCAAAAAGTGATCACATGACTCCAGGGCACTGCAGCTGTCATAAATAGGAGCCAGTTGTCAAGTGTCCAGATTTTGATCAGTGACCATGGGGATTCTGCAATAGTCATAACTATGAAAAACAGTCATGAGTCACTTTTTCAGTGCCATTGTAATTTTGAACAATCACTAAATTGAACTGTTGTAAGTAAAGGAGTACCAGTATTTGAATTAATGTATAAAAATGAATCCAGTAGCCATCAAGTTCAATTTAGCAATCAACTTTCTGCTTTTTAGCATGCATCTATAGATTTAATATTGAATTAGTTTTGGACCATGTCCATAATTTGGAATTCTTTTTAGAACAACACCCCCCCCCCCCCAATAACACACTGATTTTGTATTGGTAACGTGATGAAATAATGGCTCATAGAAAATAGTTTTAGCTTTTTCATTCTGCTAATCCTGAAAAGATAATTTGGAGTATTATTAGGTGGTCTTTGTAGAATGTAAGCTCTGAAAATACGTCACTTTTTAACTTATGAAGGCTTTTCTCATATGGACATTTATTACTTTTGGGGCATATGTTATTTTTCATAAGAAGTGCTCACAAAATATACAACGGTTATCAATTATTTTTTAATAAGGGAAATTTCTAAGGTAAATATATGATGGAAATTACTGAAAACTTCCATGTGGAAAGACTGATCTTGATCACCCTCCCTTCATTAGAATTGGTTTATGGAAAAACAAAAATGGAAAAACAAGTTTGAAGAATGAGTTTGCTACATGAGAAGTAAATAAATACTTTTTTTTTAAATTTTAAATTTTTTATTGAATTAAAAAACACACACACACAGAACAGGAAAAAAAAACAAGAACAAAAACAAGTACAAAATAAAACAATACACAACATAGACAACATTTAAACATAATATCTTATTTCTTTAGAAAATACATTGGTAAATTGTATTTCTCAATATATATTCCCACATCTCACTTTATACAACGATATTTTTTGAGATTTTATTGTAATTCTATTGAATTTCCTTGGTACACGATTTGGTTCAAATCTTTTAGGATCATCTTTTTATTTGGTTTTTCTTTTCTCTAGCCATTGATATCACTTTTGCCAAACCAGATAGTATTCAGATTCTTCCTTTTCTTGGATTTCTTTAGTGAGTTTGTCCATCTCGGCACATTCCATTACTTTTGATATTATTTTATCTTGTGTTGGGATTTCTTCCGATTTCCAATTTTGTGCAAAGATGATTCTTGCTGCGGTCAGAATATGTGTAATCAAATATATTGTTTCTTTTTCGTAGTTATTTGTAAGTATACCCAGTAAATATGTTTCCGGTTTTAAAGGTATTTTTTGTGCTATTATTTCTTCCAGTTGGATTTTGATTTTATTCCAAAATTGTTTTGCTTTTGGGCATAACCACCACATGTGGTAGTATGTCCCTTTTTGTATTTTGCATTTCCAACAAAGTGGGGAAGTGTTGGGAAACATTTTTGAAATCCGTGCTGGGGGAAGATGCCATCTGTAAAACATCTTATAAGCATTTTCTTTTTATGATACTGATAATGTCAATTTACTGTTGACTTTCCATAGTTTTTCCCATTTGTTTAGTTCAATGCTATATCCAAAATTCTTCGCCCATGTGATCATATTTTCTTTTACTATTCCCTCTTCTAATTTGTATGCAAGTAAAAAATTGTAAATTTTAGTTATTAATTTCTCATTTGGGCCCAGTAATATTTTATCGAGTTCATTTGGTTCTTTTTGAATTCCATAATTCTCCATGTCTGTTTTGTATCTGGATTTTAATTGTAGGTATGGCCATCAGTCAATTTCCACCCCATGTTCTCTTAATTCTTCTCTTGTTTTTATTTTTCCTTCTTCATTTAAGAGTTCTTGATACGTTTTCATTTTATTTGTGTCCATCGTATTTGGGTATATTTGTGCTTCCATTGTTGAAAGCCACCGGGGGATTCTGTCGTAGTGATTCTTCCTAATTTCAATCCAAATCTTTAGCAATGTGTCTCTCACAATATGTCTTCGGAATTGTTCATGTTTTTGGGGTTTCTCTTCCCATAGATATGCATGCCATCCTTTCGTCAAATCAAAGCCTTCTAGTGTTAGTATGCGTTTGTTTTTGAGTTTGATTCACTCTTTAATCCATGTTAGTGCTGATGCTTTGTAGTAAGTTTGCCAACCTGGAAGCCCCATTCCTCCTTTTTCTCGTTTATCTTGTAAATGTTTTAGTTTCACTCTTGCCTTTTCCCCCTGCCAGATATACTTTAATATCATCTTATCTAAATCTTTGAAATAAGTTTTTCCTGGGTTTATTGGTATCACCTGGAATAGATACAGCATCCTTGGCAAAATATTCATTTTAATGGAGGCGATTTTACCTAGGAATGATAACTGTAATTTAGTCCAAAATTCTAAATCTTTTTCTATTTGTTTGGCCAATTTAGTATAATTATTTTTCTTGAGTGTTGATATTCTATTGGTGAGCCAGATTCCTAGGTATTTCACCTTTTTCACTGTTTGTATTCCTAGTATGTTTTCCAATTCTTTCTCTTGATTTTTGGTGAGGTTCTTCGTTAGCATTTTTGTTTTTTGTTTATTAATTTTCAGGCCCGCTACTTCCCCATATTATTCTATTTTTGTCAATACTTTGGGTCCCTGATTGTAATGGTTTTTCTAGAATGAGTACAATATCATCCGCAAATGCTTGCAGTTTATATTCCTGATTTTTTATGTTTAATCCCGTTATTTCTTTATCTTCCCTAATTTCTTTCAATAATATTTCCAATGTTATTATAAACAATATGGGGGATAGGGGGTATCCTTGCCTCACTCCTTTCTTTATATCAAATTGTTCTGTTGCCTCTCCATTAATCAATATTTTTGCTGTTTGGGTATTATATATCCTTTTGATCATGTTTAAGAATGGTCCTCCAAATTTCATCATTTCCAACTGTGTTATTAGGAATGTCCAATCAAGGTTATCAAACTCTTTTTGTGCGTCCAGGAAAATTAATGCTAGTTGCTTATCTGGTCGTTGTTCATAATATTCAAGGGTATCGATAATTGTTCTTATTATTTTTAATTTGTCGTCTGGGAATGAAGCCATTTTGGTCTGTATGTATATAATGATTAATGAAATTTTTCATTCTCTGTGTTATAATAGATATAAATAGTTTGTAGTCCACATTAAGAAGAGATATTGGGGTGTAATTCTTGATTTCAACCGGATCCGAATCTTGTTTTGGTATTAACGTAATTATTGTTTCATTCCATGATTGTGGAATTTCAGCTTCTAGAAGTGCATCATTAAATACTTGTATTGAAATGTCATCTAGTGATTGCTGGAATGTCTTATAAAATTCGGATGGTATGCCATCTGGATCCAGTGTTTTGTTGTTTTTTTGTTTCTTCTTTGCTTCTATTAGTTCTAACATGGAAATCGGTCTATTCAATAATTCGGTATGGTCTTCTTTAATTCCTGGATATTCATTTTGCTTAAATATTCTATAGTGTTTTCCTCGCAAATTTCTTCTTTTGCATATAGGTTTTGAAATAATTCCCTTGCGATTCGTTTTTTATCCTCATTGTTATGGTATATTTGTCCGTCTTCGTCTTTTAATTGCTGTATCATTTTCTTCTCTTTTTCTTTTTTCAGTTTTAAGCCAACCACCGGCCAGTTTTATTTGCATGTTTGAATTGGTTTTGTTTAACCATTTTAATTTTCCTTGCTATCTCCGTTGTTGTGATTAAGTTTATTTTATGTCTTGTGAGTTTAATTCTCTCTTTAATTTCTTGATTATGTGGCTCTTCCTGTAATTTTAATTCATATTGTTGCAAGTGCGTCAATAAGTTCTCTTTTGTTTGTTGTTTGTCTTTATTTATTTTTTTGCTATGTAGGCGATTGTTAGGCTTCTTATATAGGCTTTAGTTGTAGCCCATAAATTTTGAAGACCAGTATGTTCTTTTACATTAATTTGAAAAAATATTTTCAATTCTCTTTGGATCCTTTCCACATATTGTTTGTCCTTTATAATGTCTTTATCCATCATCCACCTTCTCCGTGTTTGATGACCCTTCCATGTTATTAAGATCGGACTATGATCTGCCCATGTATTTGTTGCAATTTCTATTTGTTTGATGTCTAACGTAAGGTCTGCTGTCATCCAGGCCATGTCAATTCTGGACCATGATTGGTGGGGAATCAAATAAAATGTGAATTGTTTTTTATTTTGATTGATTTCCCTCCAAGCGTCTTGTAGTTGAAATTCTTGTACCATATCCTGAAATGTATCCGGTAGTGTTTTTTTCCTGGATTTATTTTTGTACTACTTTGATAGTCCTTCTCTATATCTACGATTGCATTATAGTCTCCAATGAGATATATATTTTCATAGTCCAATTCTTTAATTATATTATGTATTTTTTTGAAATAATCAGTTTGGCTTCCATTCAGCGCATAGAGTGACACTAATAGTATGGTTTTTGTTCCTGTTTTTATCTCAATCATTGGGTCCTACCCTCCTCATCTGCAAATATTTGTTTTGCTTGTATATGATTTTTAATATATATTGCTATGCCTTTCTTTTTTTGTTCCGATAGTGTGGTATAGAGTGTTCCCAGTCGTTTTTTTTCTAGTAATTTTTGATGTTGTTTTTTGATGTGGACTTCCTGTAATGTTATGATATCTGTCTTCAATTTCTGTAAATTTTTGAATATATGGGTTCTCTTTGATGGGATATTTAAGCCATTTATGTTAATTGATAACAGTTTTAGTTCCTTCTCCATTCCAATTTTCTATTTCCTTGCTGTCCTAAGTCTTCTTGTGTTTTTTGCGATAATTTGTGTTTCTTCCCTTGCTCCCTCTCTTTCCATCTTCTCTTTCTCCTTTCTTGTTCTCCCTTCTCGTTCTCTCTGTACTTCATCTGGTGAGCCCTCCTTATTGATGAAGTCTTGTTGGACTTTGGTTTCTCGTTCCTCTTCTAATGCAAAATGCCAGTCAAAAAACTGTTTCTTTTTCTAAGGTGTCAATTCTGTGTTTTTTGTCTTCCATAAAACAAGGATTCCCTCGGGTGTCAACTACCGGAACATTATTTTATGTTTATTCAATTCTGTTGTTAGAAAGTTATAATTTTTCCTTGTTTCTCTTATTCTTCTCGGTATTTGTTTTAATGTTATTATTTCTTTATCTTTGTAAGTGATTACTTCCTCTCTCATTATTTTATATATTTCTTCTTTCACCAATTTCTTTGCAAATCTAATATGGATCTCTTTAGGTAATTTATTCCTTCGGGCATAATTTGTGTATACTCTATAGACCTCGTTTATTTCTTTACTAATTTCCTCCTTATCTTTTTGGGTCGCCTCTGCTAGAATCCCCACCATCAAATCTCTCAGATTCTCTTCTCTGGTCTCAGCGATATTTTGAAATCTTAGGTAGAAAGATGCCTTCTCCATTTCTAAGTATGAAATTGAATCTTCCAATTCTTTATTCCATGCTATTTGACCACTTTCCATATTATCCAATTTTTTTTCTGCTTGGTCCATTTTTGTTTCAATGTTTTGGATCCGTTGTTCATTTTTTGCAAAGTTTTGTTGTATCTTTTCCATCTTATCATCCATTTTTTTAAAATTGTCCTTTATCTCTCCTACATCTGATTTCAGTTCTTCATGATTCTTCCTGCTTTCCTTGTGGTTCTTAGCTATTGATTCTTGTGTTTTATTCATCCCCTCTTGTATCATCGCCAAAACTGAATGTATATTTTGAATATTGAATGTTGGGGGAGTTTTCTCTTTTTCTTTAGATAGCATTGTGTCTATTGTTTTTTGTTGTATCGGTGATGCAGTGGTCGATGTCTGGTTGGAAATTATCCTTTTACTTGTTTTAGTTGTCGGAGATGGACCTGTAGTTGTTATCTTAATTTTCTATTTCACCGCTTCCCAAATTTTCATACACAACCTACTTTATAAAGTAAATTCGTTGGAATTTCTTGTTGGTAAATTGTTTATATGAATTATGTTGATTGTGGGAACAGGATATAGTTGTTTAACTTTCAAATCGATTTTCAGGAGTTCACTTTTCAATATCATTATATAAGGATCAAAATATCATTAGAGGGGAGCAGGGAAAAAGTCAGATGTTTCAGCAAATCATGTGTCTATTCTATCTTAAATATACTATTAAGTTCTATTAAATTCTTGCTTATTTGTTAAATCTTATCAGTATTAAATGTCAATTCTTATCTTAAACAATAATATATATACACTCTATTTTGGTTTGTCAATATACTAATATATCAATGACTCAAGTTTATAATAAGTTATATCAAAAGAACAGGGGAAAGACGAGAAAAAAAGAAAAAAAGAAATTTGATTATAATATTGTTGTCTATTCAATTCCTAAAATATTATCAATAAATTACTACAATCAAATACTATTCTATCTTTCCTCCTTATATTTCTATAAGTAAATATGTACTGTTTTCTTATTCTCTGAAGAAGTAAATAAATACTTTTTATTTACTTGTGAAGCTTTTTTGAAAGTCACAATCACTTGCTTGTAAGACCCTATATTTTAAAAAAACTCTTTAAAAATCTTGAGGATTAATTTAAAAGGGAGTAGGAAAATAACATAATTTACATCTAAAAGTGCTTAGTTTTGCTGAAGAAGGTCCATACTGTGCAATAGAGGATGAGAAGTAGAATTAGTTGAGGGAGTTTTAGTTTTTTTTTTACTAAGAATAAAAAGCTGCTACATATGGCTCTTCTTATGGTACATGGTATTACTATCAATACATATCATATGAATTTAAGTAATAATTGTTCTTTCAGAGCAAAAAGAAGCACTAAAAGAATTTCTACAACAAAGAAAACATCTGTTTTCATATCTACGATCAAGTATTGAAAATCTGCAACAAAAAAGCATTGTTTGGCAAGATATGTCTGGTAAATTTAATGTTATTATTTCTGGTTATCATTTTTTGGATTTTTAAGACTTTCTTTTCAAGGTAAAACTTTCCATGGCACAGGTCTTGGCTACTTGATAAACCATCTTGTCTTGCTAGGATAAGCCTGTCCCATTCATGCTGGCAGGGAAAGCCTGCTGCGGATTCTGTTAGTCAGGGATTTCCAGTTGGCAGAATCCAGAAAAAGAACATTTTGCTGTAGTGCCTGCCCTTTAGGAACATCGTCCACCCCCCCCCCACTTCCAGTGAGGTCTGCCCCATCCTCCTGTCCTTCCATCAGAGCTTGAAGACTTAGCTGTGCCTATTGGCTTAGGGACCCAATGGGAAGTATCACATTGGAAATGACTGTTGGATTAATAGCAGATCTCACCTCTCCCAGGCAAGCTGCTGTTCCCTGACCAACTTTTAATCATATTATTATATTTTCACTATTTATTTTATTTTCATTGTTTTCCTATATTTATAATTTTTTGTAATTTAAAAATTTTACTTATAAGCCATTCAGTGTAGTCCCATTATAAGATGCGTGGCAAATATATTTAATAAATTTTAAAAAATGCTTCTGTTGTCTAGTGTTTATTCACGCAGGTTGCTGCAAATTTGCCCTACAGTTTGCCCTATACAATTTAGAGCTAGGCTCTAAAAGACAAGCTCCATCAGTCAATTCAGTCTTTGACTCTAGAGCACCGGTTTTCAACCTGGGAGTTGCGACCGCTTTGGGGGTCGAATGGCCATTTCACAGGGGTCGCCAAAGCCCTCTCTCGCCCCCCCCCACGCCTTCACTCACCCTCACCCTCTGCCTCTGTTGGATTGCTGTTCGCCATTCGCTTACCCCGCCCACTCCCAATCTATTGCTGCCTCCGGAGTCCCAGCTGATGGCTAGAGGGAAAAAAACTTTAAATTCTTGCCGCGGGGCTTCAAAGAGCTAGCTGTAAAGAGGTAAATTCTTGGAGCAAATTTTTTTCCCCCTAGCTGTGCTGAAAAAGCGAAATTGAAAGTAAGGAAGCAGAGTCTTTGCTGCAACGTGACAAAATGAGGCAGAGAGATTTCTTTTTCTTTTTCCTCACCAAAAAAGGTAGGTGCAAAACTGCAAACAATGGGAAATTTAGGGCAAAAGAGGAGGTTCAAGATTTTAAAACAAAAAGAAGAAAAGCTCTATTTAACTAGGGAATTGTAATAATTGAGATACTATTAATTGTATATTGTGTTGAAAGCAGAAATGGTTAAGTTGTGGTTTGGAGGAATATATGGGGGAAATTATTTGGTTTATTATTATTGGTAAATATAATTAATTGATTTGTAAGAAATTGGATTGCATGGAAATAATTGGAATATTCATATTCATATTGATTAATATACAAAAAAGATAGTTATATAACTAATTGATTTATATTAAAATGTTGAATTTGTATTAAACAACTGTATTACATAATTACATAATTAACCAATGTGAGGATGGATATAAAAATAGATGACAATGGGAAGGGGTATAATATAGAATAGAAGGGAAAAATTAAATTTGATTAGAGATGAGGATGAAGGGTAATATTGGTTTTTTTAAAAAATAGATGAGGAATAAATATGGTAAAAAGGAAAGATAGAAATTGTAAATTTAATTAAAATGACTAAACACTGTGTTGGAAGAAATATCCTTCTGGGTTCTGCTCCAAGTGGGGAAAAAGACACTGGAAACATGGAGACTGCTTGGAAAGATGGTTTAATGGTGGACAGGATCACATGGCTTGAGTTCCTGAACAGAAAAGGGGCAGATACAGTAAATCCTCGGGTTTTTATGCTCTCTCTGGCTTTGCATTTCTTGGGGCCCCAAAAGAGTACCCTGATTGGTTGGCAGACTCCCAGGGGGTGGGGGTCTTAGCTAGCCTTGCTGGCTGATGGTCACATGTGCTTCCCAGGTCACATGCTTCCCAGGTCACGTGTGGTGAGTTTCGGTTGCTAGATGGGGCCCATTTGTTACTTTCTGTTGCTATTGTGTTGCAAATGTCCTTTGACAAAGGATTGACTTTCTGCCTCTGGCCCATTAACAAAGGGTGGGGGGCAGGAAGGTGGGAACTGCTTTGTCTGTAAAATATGCTTCTCCATTTCTCATCCAGGGAAATATAATATTCTGCCTTTTTAATATTTCCCAAAATATTTCATTCTTCTAGGAAAGGGGTGGGTGCTAACCTCCTACAACTGTTTAAATTTGTGAACCGGCCAAATACTCTGTTCAAAGAAAATACGTTGTATGTTTGTATGTGTGTTTCTAATTATTCCTATTTATTCCTATTTGTTCTCTTTTATTCTTTAAAGTTTAACAATTCATTCTTTATCTTAATATCTTTATATTTGTTTGGGGTTGGCTTTCTTCCCTTTCATCTTTTTTTATTGTACAGCAATCTTTCTCCTCAAACCTACCACCTCTGTCTTTTCTTTCTTACTTACTTTCTCTTCCCCCCCTTTTTCTTCTCCCTACTTCCTCTTTCTCCTTCTCCTCCTCTCTTCCTCCCTCTCTTACCTTCACTCCTATTCTAATTTCCCTTCTCTTCCTTCATCCCTCTCTATTGCTGTATCCTTTTATGCATATGGACTACTCAGAGGGCTGAAAAAGTTATTTTTGACTGGTCCTCGCACTTTTGACCAGTCCTCGAACTTACGACTGTCCTCACAATTTATGTTTTTGCCCTATCTTGTCACCATGGTGAAGAGAAGCAGTTGTGAAATGAGTGACCTGGTTGTTAAGAATGGTACAATGGGCATAAATGATGACCAGTCATAACTGCGAAGACCGGTCAAAAGTGCGAGGACCTGTCAGAAATCACATTTTTCAGCCCTCTGGGTAGTCCTTTTGTGCACAGGGACTACTCAGAGGGCTGAAAAAGTTATTTTTGACTGGTCCTCGCACTTTTGATCAATCCTCGAATTTACGACTGTCCTCACATTTTACGTTTTTTGCCCTATCTTATCACCATGTTGAAGAGAAGCAGTTGTGAAATGAGTGACATGGTTGTTAAGAATGCTGCACGGGCATAAATGTGAGGATGGTCATAAGTGTGAGGAAAAGTCAAAAGTCCGAGGACCAGTCAGAAATGACTTTTTTCAGCCCTCTGAGTAGTCCCTATACACATAGCCATGGCCACCAGGTCACATGACCAGCTAGCCACGCCCACCCAGTCACATGACCTCTAAGCCACGCCCACAAAATAAGCCACGGCCACAGAACCGGTAGTAAAAAAATTTAGAACCGACCCCTGGTTGTGGGTCACCACAACATGAGGAACTGTATTAAAGGGTCGCGGCATTAGGAAGGTTGAGAACCACTGCTCTAGAGAGATTCCCAGTCCCAGTCCTGCTCTCTTTCTTGTTACAAGACTGGAAGAAACAAGATAATCTCAATGAACAAATACAGTAGCAAAAACTTCTAATTTGGATTTACTTTCAACTTATTTTTACCCATTTGGCCTCCATCAGTGTCCAGATAGACTAGACTGAACAAGCACTAGCAGCTCAGATACAATTGGGTATCATCAGTATACAGCTTATACCACTTGTATTGACCTCTAACTACCCTCCCATGACTATCTCAACAACTTTACCTAGAAAGGAAGATCAGAGACAGGGTAACAGTTTTCAAGTTTGCTTGGATTCAAAGATGGCATTTTTTTGTCTCATATAATCCCCATTAACTTTACAATTATCTATGTGTAATTTTCACAAATTTTGAAAAAAAAACTTTTGAAATATGTAGTTTTGTTAAATTTTGTTATATTTACATCTCCTTGATCTTTATAGATGAGAACATAGCAAAACAAAGATGTTTGGCTGCAAAACTAGAAGCAAATATGAGAGATATACAAGCTGCTTTTGAAAAAACACAGAAAATGGAAAAGTCCAGAGATGTTGGTAAGAACAATGCAAAAGCAATACAGCATAAAAGTGTTTTTATACAATTCATTAGATTTTCTTATAGTTTTTGAAAGCAAAGTAGTTGTTCTAATTTTGATTTTAGGTAGTCAAATTTTGCTTATCATACTGTAGAAAAGCACAGTTTCTTAATCCCAAATGATCTATGGCAAACTTCTTCCTTGTGTGCATATCCTTTTTCATACCTAGGAGGAGAAGTGCCTTTTAGTTTTCAATTAATTATCGTCTTCTGTGACATCTGCTTGTGAACTGTTTGGTTTAAAGTGCCCCCCTCCCCCAGCATGGCATTCCAAGATTGCATCAATGCTATAAGACTTCATTCTATTTGGAAACATTTTTGTCACAACAGAAAAATCAGTGACAAGAAAATGAAGGACAGACAATTCTTGCTTTAGCTTGGCAGTTTGGTGAGGAGAGCAATGTAAGAAAGAGAAGAAAATTTTGTGTATTGGCAGTTTTTGTGGCCTAAGACCAATAATAAAATATAGGGAACCATTTAATTAAGTTATAACAAAATTTAAAAAGTTAATATAAACAGAATCAGGGATAGAAAAACTAATAAAGGCAAAACAAGCTTAATTCAACAAGCAGAGGATTACATGACTTTATATCGAGAGGAGTCCAGAGTTGAGAAGATTAAGTTCATGAGTTTTGAAGACCTGGCAATAAACAATGGACCCTTAGTAACTCCTGAAAATAATGTTACTTAGAAAACTCTCTTACAGAATGATATTTAATTGGGGCAGTACCAGTAGTGGGTTGCTCCTGGTTCGCACCGGTTCTATAGAAATGGTAGTAAAACCAGTGGGAGGCTCCGCCCACTGACCCCGACATCATCAAAATGCTTCTGCGCATGCGCAGAATCTTTTACGCATGTGAAGAAGAGCGTGTGCTTGTGTGAGCGAAGCAAGTGTGTGCGCGTGGTCCCATTGTGAACCGGTAGTAAAGGTAAGTAGAACCCACCCCTGGGCAGTACCTTCTTGTAAAAAATTAAATATGAAAGAAATAAAAGAAATCATACGGTCAAAAGTACATCTTTAATATTCATATGTTCTTTTTTTAATACTTTGGTGAGCCAAAATGCAAATCAGAACATTCTTCTATGACTGTTTTCCAAGAATGATACAGTTATTATTCACATTTCTCTGAGGAAAATACTAATTTATATGTATTATAGAAGAATTATTTTTTCCCGATTTTTAAAATTATTTTGGTTTTTAAAATCTGGGATAACAGTAAAGGACAAAATACATATACAATATTTCAATCTTGCCTACTGCCCGAATGTTCTCTGATGCCATTCAGAAGATGTAGCAAATATATGGGTAGTATGCCTCAATTTATGACTGGTTGTTTAGCGACCAATCAAAGTTATATTAAACTCCCCAAAAGCTACTCAAGATCCAGTTTCAAATTTACAGTGGCTGCAACACCTTCACAGTCATTTGTCCTTAAGACGATTGCAGGGATGCTGCAGTAGTCACCCACCCACCCATTTCACACCACTGAGATCCTGCCCAAGGCAGATCAGGCTGCCTGTAAGCGGGTGTGAATTACCTGGCGCTTGCAAGCCTCCATCTTCCTTCTCATCCAGTAACCAAGGAGAGATCATGGTGGCTGCAGTTTGCACACCTCCAGTTTCCTTCCCATCCTAGGACTTACGGAACTCAGCCTGGTCCAGAGCCCAGCAACACCCAACTTATCATTCTGTTTTTTGCAGCTTCTGAGAGAAGGCATTCAGCCTGACACAGAATCAGCTTTCTTAAAGACCTAACCTCATGGCAAAGTATGTGTTATTCTTGCAAAGTTGTAACAGGCTCCCTTTTTTAAGGCAGCTGCATAAACTCCACAAACAAATGGGCCTTTCTTAAACAAATAGAACTTTCTTTTAAAAAACCCAGTGCTGAAATATAACAGGAATAGAACCTGTTGCAAAATAGCTTTAGTTTTCCATGAGGCTGAATCTTTAAGAAGCTGACCTGTACCTGGCTGGTTGCCTCTCTCAGAAGCTGCAAAAGAAGAAGAATAAGTTCGATATTGCTGGGCTCTGGGGCAGGCTAAATCCTGCAAATCCTTGGGTGGTATCTCCCTTTGTTTGTCCCCTTGTTTGCTAAGTGGGAAATAAGCTGCAGGACTGCGGAGACCCCAAAGGGCAACAAGCAGAGCATAGGGTGCCTCGAGGGGTAGGGGTAGCCTTGGGAGGCCTGGGGTAGGCAATGCTGATCCTGTGTAGTCTTCCCAGGGTGTCCCCCATCCCTGAGGCTCTCTGCACTTGTTTAATAGTCATTCCAGGAAGAGCATGGGGTGGAGTCATTAAGTGAGGATATTTCACTTAATGGTCATTGAGCTATGCACCCATAATGGGCAAGCTCCATTACGATTGTATTTCAAGGACTATAAATTCAATGGAAGTTACTTTAATTGTCTTTCCACATAAACATTTCTTGTCTTATGCTAGGTCTAGTAGCAGACTTTTAGTGAGTTGCAGCTTGTGCCTTTTAATAAATGTAATTGGAAAAGGGTGCTATTAGATTTCTGATATTTTGGCCACCATATAGTGACAAGGATCTCTTCCTACTTTGTCTTACATTTGATAGAAAAAGAGGGGGAGGAAAAGAGTAGCAGGAATTAATGAAAATTCATAATGAAATTATAATGGGACAGAAGATCATTGCAAGAAGGATTCCTACCCAATGAAATAGATAAACTATTATCTTCCTGCATGTATGCTGCCTACCAGATGTGAAATAACAGAAGTCAATTGGAAAAACACCAATATAATGTCTTCTGGGCAGTATAGGTCACTGTTGTGTATCTACACAACCTTTTTTAAATAAGCATTCTTATTACTCGGAGCAAAGTGAATTGGCAAATAATTGCTACCAAGTTTGTTGAATTATTTTATTTGAAAACATACTGAGATTTTTATTCTTTTCTTGGCATATATGAATAACAGAATCAAGGCAACAATTTCAACCTCTAATTAGTCAGAAGACTACTGTAACTCAACCGTCATATCACCAATTATTGATGACTAAAGTTTCATCTCTACAAATAACCAAAGCTCCTAGTAAGTACAAAATGTACATAATGTCTAGAAAATGCAAATATGACTAGAAGATGCACACTTACACTCATTAAAACTAGAATATATTAAATTATAGTTAATATAATTTTTGAAGGTTCAAATATAAGAAAATATATGTAACTCGAAGTTGAACTATGAACATTTCCTTATCCAGCTAGGGCATAATAATATTATCTAGTTGAATAATGAAATGTTTGCAAGCAAATAACCAAGCTCAGAAAGACACAGAACTCACAGTTACTAAAGGCTAATTTAAAGATCAGTTGTGTATTATATTAGATGCTTCAGTCATATGTAATAAGGAAAGTGTTAAGATTTTAATTTAATTTAATTTAATTTCCAATTTATATACCGCCCTTCTCCCTGAGGACTCAGGGCGGTGTACAGCCAAGATAAAAAACATAGAATACAAATATTAAAACATTTAAAAATATATATAAATTTCGGCCCGAAAGTTAAGATATCACAAACTAATTAAAAGAATCTAAAAATTTCTTCTAAGCCAACCCGGCTTGCTGAAAAAGATAGGTTGTATGTAATGCCCTTTTTTTAATTTTTATAAATTCATTTCTAGTAAGTCATATTTTTGAACTATTTCATTTTGAACTATTTCATTTTGAAGTTTACACAGCAAGTACTATTCTTGGTCATTTTCTCTCGCCTCCATACAATTAGGTTCTGATGCTCCGAGTATTAATTAGACATCTCTAGCTTACATTTTTCAAAAAGAACCCAATCTGATCTTCTTTGCTGTTGTGTTTTTGTGGCCATAATCAATAACACACTTTTTAGGTACAAATCCTCCAAAATCAGCACACTGTAATGAATAAAAGTTGTGAGTTGGGCACTAGTTACACACTTTCCTGGACCAACATTCCATTTTTACAGTCAACCATATTTTTATTTATTTATTTATTTCGTCAAGCATGTATCTTATGACAGATACAAGTGTAAACCTAATTATAAATACATGAAAAGGATACAAATAAAAGAAAACATTAGGATAGGGACGGTAGGCATGCTGGTGCGCTTATCGATGCCCCTTACAGACCTCTTAGGAATGGGGTGAGGTCTACAGTAGACAGTCTAAGGTTAAAGTTTTGGGGATTTGGTGAAGACACCACAGGGTCAGGTAGTGCATTCAGGCATTGACAACTCTGTTACTGAAGTCGTATTTTCTGCAGTGTAGTTTGGATCAGTTTACCATGAGTTTGTATCTATTGTGTGCTCTTGTATTGTTTTGGTCGAAGCTGAAGTATTCATTGGCTGGTAGATGATTTTATGTACTATGCTTAGGTCAGACCGAAGACGGTGAAGTTCTAAGTTGTCTAAGCCCAAAATTTCGAGTCTGGTGGCATATGGTATTTTGTTGCGAGCAAAGGAGTGCAGGACTCTTCTTGTGAAATATCTTTGGACTTGTTCGATTGTATTAATGTCCGATATGCAGTGTGGGTTCCAGACAGATGAGCTGTATTCAAGAATTGTTCTGGCAAAAGTTTTGTATGCCCTAGTTTGCAGTTCAATATTACCGAAGAAACTATGCAAGATTAAGTTAACAACTCTTAATGCTTTTTTAGTAATGCTGTTACAGTGAGCTCTGGTACTTAGATCATTTGAGATGAGTACTCCAAGTTCTTTGGCAGAGTAAGGATCATCTGTTAGGTCGTATCCGTCCAGCTTGTATTTTGTGCTCTGATTTTTTTTGCCAATATGTAAGACAGACCATTTGTTGGTTTGAGATTTGGAATTGCCAATTGTTTGACCATTCAGACACATAATTGAGGTCTTTTTGTAGAGTAGCAGCATTGTCAGTGGTGTTGAATAGTTTTACATCATCCGCAAAGAGAACACAGTTGCTTATAATATGATCACAAAGGTCATTTATATAAAGTATAAAGAGTTTGGGTCCTAAAACACTGCCTTGGGGGACACCGCTGTTAACAGGTGCAGGCTTAAACAAGATGTTCCCTATTTTGACTACTTGCTGCCTGTTTGATAGGAACGCAGGTATCCACTTATGCAGGAATCTGGAAATGCCATAAGATTTTAGTTTTAGAAGTAGCTTCTCATGTACCACTGAATCGTAGGCTTTACAGAAGTCTATATAAATTGCATCTATTGATTTACCCTGGTCGAGTTTTGAAGTCCATATTTATTTATTTATTTTATTTATTTGTTTCAATTTGTATACCGCCCTTTTCCAATAGGACTCAGGGCGGTGAACAGCCAAAATAAAAACAGAACATACAAAATTTAAAAGCAGTTTAAAATAATTAAATATTTTTGGCTGCAATTTAAAACAAACCCAATTTAAAATCAATTAAAATTTAACCCGAAACTGTGGGATCAAGCCAGCCTGGCTAGTTGAAATAAATAAGTTTTCAGGGCCCGACGAAAAATCCGGAGGTCTGATATTGTACGTATCTCTGGGGGGAGGTTGTTCCAGAGGACGGGCGCCGCCACAGAGAAGGCTCTCCCCCTGGGGGTCGCCAGCCAACACTGTCTGGTGGACGGCACCCTGAGGAGGCCCACTCTGTGCGAGCGTACTGGCCGGTGGGAGGCTATTGGTGGTAGAAGACGGCCTCGTAGATACCCCGGCCCTAAGCCATGGAGCGCTTTAAAGGTGGTCGCCAACATCTTGAAGCGCACTCGGAAGACCACCAGGAGCCAGTGCAGCTCGCGCAGGAGGGGTGTCACATGGGAGCGCCCCGTCGCTCCCATAATCCCCTGCGCGGCTGCATTCTGGACCATCTGGAGCCTCCGGGTGCACCCCAGGGGAGCCCCATGTAGAGAGCGTTGCAGTAGTCCAGGCGGGAGGTGACGAGTGCCTGAGTGACCGTGCGTAGGGAGTCCCGATCTAGAAAGGGGCGCAACTGGCGTATCAGGCGAACCTGATAAAAAGCCCCCCTGGCCACGGCCGTCAAATGGTCTTCTAAAGACAGCCGTGCATCCAGGAGGATGCCCAAGTTGCGAGCCCTCTCTGTGGGGGCGAGTAATTCGCCCCCAATAGCCAGTGATGGCACCAGCTGGCTATATCGGGACGCCGGAAGCCACAGCCACTCGGTCTTGGAAGGGTTGAGTCGGAGCCTGTTTCTCCCCATCCAGGCCCGTACGGCCTTCAAGCACTGAGACATCACTTCAAGGGCATCGTTGGGGTGGCCTGGGGTGGAGATGTACAGCTGGGTGTCGTTAGCGTACTGATGGAACTCCACCCCGAAGCCATGGATGGTCTCGCCCAGCGGCTTTACATAAATGTTGAACAGAAGGGGCAAGAGGACTGACCCTTGTGGCACCCCATAAGCAAGGTGCCTCGGGGTCGACCGCTGCCCCCCTGTCAACACAGATTGCGACCGGTCAGAGAGGTAGGAGGAGAACCACCGCAGAACGATGCCCCCCACCCCCAGCCCCTCCAACCGGTGCAACATGATACCATGGTCGATGGTATCAAAAGCCGCTGAGAGATCTAACAGGACCAGGATAGAGGAGCAACCCCTATCCCGAGCCCTCCAGAGATCATCCACCAACGCGACCAATGCGGTTTCCGTGCTGTGCCCAGGCCAGAAGCCGGACTGGAGCGGGTCTAGATAGACAGCTTCATCCAGGTACCGGGGAAGCTGCTGTGCCACCACACTCTCAACAACCTTCGCAACGAAGCGAAGGTTGGAGACTGGACGATAGTTAGCCAAAACAGCTGGATCCAGAGAGGGCTTCTTGAGGAGGGGCCTCACCACCGCTTCTTTCAAAGCGGCCGGCAGGACCCCCTCACTCAGAGAAGCGTTAACAATCCTCTGGAGCCAGCCTCGTGTAACCTCCTGGGAAGCCAGTACCAACCAGGAGGGACACGGGTCCAATAAACATGTGGTCGCGTTCAGCCGTCCCAGGATCCTGTCCATGTCCTCAGGAGCCACAGGATCGAACTCCTCCCAGATAACACTCTCAAGACCTGCCTCAGTTATCCTGTCCGGACATACCCAGTCAGAGGCCAGCCCTTCCCGAATCTGAGCGATTTTGTCATACAGATACTGCACAAAATCCTCGGCTCGACCCTGCAAGGGATCATCCCGCGCTTCCAGATGGAGGAGGGAACGGGTCACCCTAAACAGGGCGGCCGGGCGATTATCTGATGACGTGATAAGAGCGGCAAAATAACTAGATTTCGCCGCTTTTATCGCCACTAGGTAGGTCTTAATATGAGACCTCACCCGTGTTCGGTCGGATTCGGAGCGGCTGGTCCTCCAACTACTCTCCAGGCGTCTTTTCCGGCGCTTCATCTCCCTCAGCTCCTCGGAGAACCAAGGAGCTAAGTGAGTTCGGTGCCGGGTCAGAGGCCGCAAAGGCACGACACGGTCCAAGGCCCCGGCCGCCGCACTATCCCAGGCGGCCACCAGGTCTTCAGCCGAGTCATGAGCCAGAGTCTCAGGAAATGGCCCAAGCTCCATCTGAAACCTATCAGGATCCATCAGGCGCCTGGGGCGGAACCACCTGGTCGGTGCAGTGGTTAGAAAGTCCAGTCGAAGGAGCGAGTGGTCAGACCATGATAAGGGTTCGATGGCTATATCCCCTGTATCAAGGCCACTCAACCACTGACCAGAGACAAAAACTAAGTCCAGAGTGTGTCCACCTGTGTGAGTGGGGTCATGAATTAACTGAGTAAGGTCCATGGCCGTCATGGAAGCCATGAACTCTCGAGCCACCTCAGACGTTTCACCGATAGATGGCAGGTTGAAATCCCCCATGACAGCAAGTCTGGGGGTATCAACCGCCACCTCGGCTATGACGTTGAGCAGCTCAGGCAGGGCCGTTGCCACGTGGCAGGGAGCCAGGTACGTGACCAACAAGCCCATCTGTACTCCACGACCTCACTTCACAAGGAGGGACTCACATCTGGCTATCTGTGGAACAGTGCTCTCCCTTGGATCCAGACCTTCCTTTATAATAACTGCCACGCCCCCGCCCCTGCCCTGAGCCCTCGGCTGATGAAATGCATGGAAGCCTGGTGGGCATATATCCACGAGGGGAACTCCCCCCTCCTGGCCCAACCAGGTCTCCGTAATGCCCGCTAGGTCCGCTTCCCCCTCCTGAATAAGATCGTGGATGAGGGGGGCTTTATTAACAAAGGACCTGGCATTGCATAACATCAGTCGAAGGCTCTGGCCCTGAGAATCTGGACAGCCTGGGGAACGAGAGTGCGAGTGCGCAATCACTCTAAGATAGTGAGTGCGCATTCCCCGAACATGATGTGTTCCCCAGCTTCCGCCATATCTGCCCCTCCCACTCACTATACTGATGGAACAGCCCTCTTTAAGTCGAACTACCACCCCCTCCCCGAACTCCGGTTCCTCCCTAGTGTCGCAGCCCTCCGCTGAGGCTGGTCTTGAACCCGGTGGATTTCCCCCAAAACCCACCCTAATCCCCCCTGAATCCCTTAAAATTTTTGTTAAAAACCGACTAAAAACCCACTTAAAAAAACCCTCAAACTCTTCTTTGCCGCATGCCATCTCTCGGGGCTCCAAAGCCCGTCATCAAGATAGGCCCTCGATAACGAGGAGGACCAAACCTGCGAGAGAGGGGAATCTCGCAGAGCACGGAGTTCATTCGCCAAGTACATCTGGACATCAAGGGGAGGTAATAACCCATGGCCAATAACCAGGGGACAATTTGATGTTATCACAGTCAGAAGGAGTGAAATGCCGGACTTCAATAGAGCTCCAATGGAACACATGGGACCTCATTGCCCTCTCACGGCAATGGCGGGAGTAAAATGCTGTTTCGATCCGGTAAGGGGTGACCCAGCCCCCCTCTCATGGCGGCTGGTCAACCACGATCGTCCAAAAAGCCGGAATTGAGACAGCAGCTGTAAACCCACTCCACTAAGACTTGAATCCCCAGATGTAACCCTCCTTTCAATAGAGGGAAAGAATGGGATCAGGTCACATAGTCCAAAACAGGCTCAAACAGCAGAGATCATAACTCTGGGGAAGTCAAGATGACACCTAGACCAGGAGATGATTGTCCAGCAAGCATGCGCAGCATGACATTGCCAATAGGCTTGGTCCCTCAAAGAGCCTTAACAGGCATTCAGGGAAATGGGAGGTGAAAAAGAAGAGCAGAGACAACAAACGCCACAGGGGGAAAACCCCTCAGTCATAGTCCAGCTCTCCCCAGCCCCTCCCAGATCTTCCTTATGGCCATGCTGCTCGCCTCGCCCAGCCTTCATATATCCTCATGGAGGTCTCTGGGACCAAGGGGCCAAACAATGCCCCACGATCACCCAGGAGGTCCAACACAGCAAGCGAGCAGCTGCCACCAACATCTCCAAAGCTCCCACACACCGACTGCGGCGCCTGCTTCCTTGTCCCGGCAGCCGCCATTTGCACGCTGCCAGCATCGCTGCCGCCGCCGCCGCCAGCCTCCTCGTCCTCACCTCGCCCCCCCCCCGCCCCTATAGCACATGTCCAGGGCGGATTGGGCTGGCGAGGATCCCGACGAGGGTGCCACAGTGTAATAGTTTTTGCAGTGTAATAGTTGCAGATTGCAGGACAATTTTTTTCTAAAGCAAAATTGCTTGTTAGAGAGTAGGTTGTTAGTCTCTAAGTAGAGGGTAATGGATTGGTTTATGATTGATTCCATGACTTTGCAGGTGACACAACATAATGAGATTGGTCTGTAATTATCAACTAGGTTGGGGTCACCCTTTTTGAAGATAGGGATGACCATGGCTAGTGACCATAAATTAGGTAAAGAGCTGGTTCTGAAAAATATTTCATAGATTATGCTAAGTGGTTCTGCTATAGTGGTTGAGAGCTTCTTTAGGAAGTAGGCACATAATCCATCAGGGCCAATCGATAGAGATGGTTTAAGGTTGCGTAATACCTTTTCAACTGCATCTTCTGTGAAATCAACATGTAGTAGATTGTTGTTAGTGGTTGTGGTATGATTGGGAAATGAGGGGCATGAGCCATTGCTGTTTACAAAGACTGAACTGAAGATTGTATTGAAGTGGTTGGCCTTAAAGGTTTCATTATTACAGTCTTTCCCGTCTGGTCCTTTTAGTGGTGGGATGGATCTTGACTCTTTAAGCTTGTTGTTTATGAAATTGTAGAAGGCCCGGGTGGATTTGGTGCGTATTAGGTTTTCCTCTTGTTTGCTGTGATAATTGATGCATTCTGCCTTTATCTGTCGGCATACAGTTTTGTAGTGACTTTTGAAGTTAGCTACTTAGCCAGTTTTGTTTTTGCACCAAGGAGGGGTTTTTTTGGTCTGAAGTTCCTTATTGTTATGGGTAACTTATTTTTCCTGGTTTTGGGGGTTACTAGTGGTACGTATAGTCTGATGATTCTTTTGACTTCTTGGAAAAAAATGTTATAATGGTCTTCGGCAGTGATATGGCCAGTGAATAGAGTTTGCCAATCAAGAGGTGAGATATCCTTGTCATTATCTTCTTCAGATTTAGGAAGGGAAGGCATTTGAATTGTTTTCTAAAAACTACCTTCTTAGTCTGAACTTAAATTTTGTCTGTCTCATTGTTGCTTTAGTAACAGATCTTCCCTCTGGCTTTCAAATCCATCATTTATACTCAGTAGAGATTTTTATATATAGATGTTTTCATCGTTCTTTTTAGTGATTAGAAATATCAGATATGAAGAGACAAGCCTAGATAGTACAAAATCAGAGGAAAGACCCACCACTTCTCCCCTAGAGCAGCGGGGCAGAATTCTAGGTAAGTAATGACTTTCTAGATATACCTTTTTTTTGGACCTAACTGAATTTTCCTAGAATTAGTATGTAAGTCATCTGTAACTTGTTAGAGTGTTGATTTTCAAAATATGTTTGTATATACTGCAGAATATAAATTCAAAATTGCTTTGTGCCTATATATATAAAAATTTGTTTATAAATATTTATACAAATGATTCTTTAAATTCATGAAGAATATTTTGGTGTCCCTGCAATAATCTAATATAATGCTTTTCTTTCCAGGGAGGGAAGTAGATATGTCAAGTAGAAGCAAACTTATCCCACAGTCTTTGAATAACATATCTAGTCTTTTTCCATTTGATATCAGCAAGTTTTCTGGTAAGTACATAGATAAATATTTTGAAGAAAATTGGGGATGGATATAAAGAAAGGGTCCCGATTTAGACTTTGAATAAAGGAGCAAAAAGAATTTTGAGACTTGGGTATAAATGTTAAAGGAAATAAAAGTTTTAAGTTTTTTTTTAAAAAAAACCAAAGGTAGAGTTCTATTCTACTTGTAAAAGATTGACACCTTAATAGTTAACAGTTCTTTGGACGAAGACTGTCTATCTGCATTTCATTCCTAAATTAAGTTCTTGAGGATATAAAATCTTGCTGTAGCAAGGAAAACTCTAAATGAACAAGCAAAAATGTCTCCTTTTTTTTCCTTAACAAAAGATTATTCTTATTATAAACCATAGATGTAGAACAGAGATAAAAAATAAAGAATAAAAAGATGAAAAAACAAGGACGTGTAAAAATCAAAGCAAACTTTTAAAACATTTTTTACCCTGATAGTATATTGTTTCAGCAGTTCAATCAAGACAGATTTAAAATACTTTGGCAAACTGTAAAAGACACAGTTTGCCTAAGGTCTTATACCTAAAATTCTTCAGTTATATCAAAAATATGAGTGAATATATACTAGCAAATGCAGATTAATAATACAATAAGATAGATCAAACTGATAAGAATCATAGTTAAGCTTTGCCTGAAGCATCATAAATAATTATAGAATTATTTCTGCTTTAGTCTTCTGTTTCTAGGACAAAATGCTGAACTTATATTAATTCACACATTATAGGCAGAAGTTCACTATGAAAACAGAAATATTGCCAAATGCATCTAATCAAAGACACATATATCCTTTAACATTATCAAAAGGATAGAATCAAGCCAGAGCATTACAGTAGACAGATTTATTGAGAAAATGCAGGAATTTTGGTTGATTCTTTTTTAAACTTTAGTTCACCTTGTTGTTTTCAGCCGATATTGCATTGCACGAATTACTAGAATATAACAGGACTCTGCTTCCAGGCCATAAAGCAAATCTGCGGCATGCATGGCAACTTGCACAGCGAAAGATACTACAACAACAAGCTATTCTTGGTAGGTTATTTGGTTAATGATGTATACAAATACACATTCAGATTCATTATTACATGCCCAGGAAACCAAATGACTTTTTCTTTTCTATTATGAAAATCAGTTTAAAATGTAGCAAAGTACGAGTAGTTAGATATTTTGAATGGCCAACTATTTCTTTCACATTTTGAGTATATTTTAATTTATTTCTTAGTTGCAGGATCCAATCTGAGTCAGTCACCAGGATCAGAGGTTTTGTTTTCCGAGCTTTCAGAATCATGCTAGAGCCTTTCCTCAGGGTACTTCTAGAGGCTAAAGAGATATTCCCTGAAAATGGGCTCCAACAGGACTTGTTCTGGAGAACCGGTAGCAGAAATTTTGAGCAGTTCAGAGAACTGGCAGATACCATCTCTGGTTGGCCCCAGAGTGGGATGGGAATGGAGATTTTGCAATATCCTTTCCCCAGGAGTGGTGAGAGAATGGGGATTTTGTAGTATCCTTCCCCTGGAGTGGGGTGGGAATGGAGATTTTGCGGTATCCTTCCCCTGGCAAGTCCACCAAGCCACACCCACCAAGCTATGCCACAGAACCGGTAGTAAAAAAATTAGCATTTCACTACTGTTCTAAACCATTGAAAGACCAGGTGCATACCCTGACAGTTTATCTAACAAAGATTTAGATCAGTCATCCCAATAAGCAACTTTTACTCATCTCTTATTCTAGTCACCTCAAACTGTTGCAGAAGCCCAAGAAACCAGGAATGTTTATCAAAAGACAAAATAATCTAGAGACACTATGGAGTAAATCTTTTTCATGATCTCTTCACATTATACATATTGGTGGTCGGCATCGTTACTTGCAAAAGATAGGTTAGGTGTCTAATGAAGCACGGGAAGACAAAATCATTAAACCAAAAGAAGTGTTAGTCCTTTTTTTAAATTCTTGGCAATAATGGTACACAAACAGTGACTACTATAATCATGTCGTTATTCTATAATGATCCTGAAGAGAAATGCAATAAAAGAAAAGTAATAAAAATGATTATCAGGGCCATTGTCTGGTGGTGGTGGTCCTGTAATTTTATTTTGGAGAGATTTTGGATAGAAATAGGACCAGCAAAACTAACCAAATAAAGAAAATTGAAGAAGAGTATTATGCTCAGCATGAAAGACTGCTGTGAATACCTATGTATGAAGATAGTATGCTAAAGTAATGGGAGGTCCAGTAAGAAAGAAGCAAAATAATAGAAGATGCCAAGCAAAATTCCGTGAATGTTCTGTGCTCATGTACATTGTCCAGAGACAAAGAAGTACAATCAAATTTTAAAACCGTATGAGAAGCTTAAATCCTCTGTATGCTTTTAAATTTTTTGTAAAAAAATTCAAGTTACTTCAAATTTTATTCTCCAATACTCTGAGAGTATAATATTCTGATGTTAATTTGTTGAAAAAAAAAACCTAATTAATTGGAAGCCAATACTACACAAAACATTCCCTTTTCAACTTTGTTATTATATATTTACAACGATTTTGCCCATTATTTTGATTACTATTCTAGTTGGAGTCTGAAATTTTAATCAGAATATGCGAATGTGTATCTTACATTTTCTTATTTAAAAAATCTGATCTTGTTAGCCTTATTTTTTATTAGAATTACATTTTTCCATTCACATTGTAGTCTTAGAGATTGTGTTCTGTTTTAATTTGTAGCTGAAAAGTTCAGAGGCTTGTCAGTGTTTTTGCCCCAACCAGGTGGCACTACTAGGTTCCAAGATTATTCTGTCCATCCTTCAAGACCTGGTAATCCATACAGTTGACTTAGTGAAAATAATTCTGAAATTTATTTTCTTAAAAATGAATATTATATTCTAGATGGATGTATTAATTTTAAAGATAACTTTGGTTAATAGATGATTAATAAAAGAGAGTATGGATTTATTTTATGGCACATAAAGTCATTTCTAGCACTTAAGCAGATTTGTGTTCTTCAAGTAGCATTCCCTAGAATCCTCTGGCTTTGTCTCTTGATCAGGGGTTCTAAGTTTTTGTTTTTTTTGTTTTTAAAAAACCTAAAAAAAATGAAATTCCCTGAAATAGATTAACTTAATCTATTAGAACATAGAATAATAGAATTGGAAGGTACTGTGGAGGTCTTTTAGTCCAACCCCAGGTTCAACTAGAAGATCTCCAAAACTAAATTGTTAAATTTAATCTCTGGAATACCTCTGAGATTAAATCCTTAGATTTGAAGAATTTGTAAACTCCAACCCATATCCCAGTTCTTTAAAAAAATGTACATTGTATGTAATAACCCAACCAAAACCGACTAAATGCATAATTTAACAGTATGTATTGGGTTAGTAGTTTTTTTTTTTTTTTTTTTTTTTTTTTACAGTCTTTTAGCTTTTGAGCCAGTGTTGCTCTTAGAGATTACATGGAAAAATCCATGCAGCTTTCTGGGCAATATTTTTGAAAGTAGATTGACATAGTTTTCCTCCTAGGATTCAAGAGAGTAGATATTATTTTTAAAAAACCCACCTTTTTGTAATAATAGTTATATCTTAAATTTTGTGTCTGATTATATAGCATATACAAATCTGATTCTTTAAACACCTGAGTTGATTTGATTATTATAAGCATATAGATGCTCATAATTCAGTACATTATGATAGCAAATTGCACATTTTTAACTCATTTTGATTCAGACATGTACCAAGATAAATATTCTGAATGGATAAATAAGTTTTTTCAAACTTTAAATTTGTTAAGAATGGTATATTTTATATCTTCATTGTCTCTTTTATCCTTTGAATACCAAGAAATGTAAAGAATTACTACTACTTACTGAATGCTGAAAAATACTTCAGCATTTTTTAAAATTCAGAATAGAATCAAAATAATTTTAGATTGATCATCTGTATATATTTCCATGTAGCATGGGAAGCAAACCAGTTAAGCCAAAAGAGCTACCCCCAAAAGCTGTCTTTGTTAAAGAGAAGACTGTTGGGACCAGAAATAAAAAACAATATAAAAGGTAATAACTCAAATGTCAATTGTACCTTCTTCATAGATTTTGAGAGGGAAAATGTAAAAATGTACAGTATTCATGAGATTGTCTTTAAAAGATATTGGGAGAAAGCATGCTCCTCTTTGCTAGGTAGCATAATCAGAACAACACAATTTGTAAAAAAGGGCTGTTGCTGGCTTTCTGGATGTAGTATGCTGAATACTTTACCTCTAAATCTTAAAAGAAACCACCACCAAACTCTGAGGGAGATGTCACAGGTTTTCAAAAATGTGAAAAATAAATAAATCAATCAATCAATAAATAAATAATGAATGAATGAATGAAAGAGAAAAAGAAAAAAGAAAGAAAGAAATAAAAATATTTTAAATTAGTTGGTACTAGTGACTTTCTAAATAAATGCTTGCTATTTTTAATTTTTTCTTCAGTTTTTATGGTTGCTCATTCAACATAAAGCTTTGTGCAGTAATAACTAGCAGTTCTTCCAGGGGTCAATCCATTTGTTTATTTGAACCATCTTTTCCATTGACTTCTCATCTTCTGCTTCTTCTAATCTTGCCAAGTGGGCAGTTGATTTATGTCTTCAGAATAAAGTCTTTTCAAGTGCTCAACCATATAACCCCACCTAAAATATCATTCTTTACTCTCCTGTAGATAGGATCAAGATATGATGATATCAAAATTGCTGTCCCCAAATGATTCTTTTGCTACACCCAAGGAACAAGGCCTATAGAGTAACTCTCCTTACATAAGGATAGTACTCACCTTACGCTGCAGGTATCAGAAAGGTATCAGATAAAGAGGAGGTTGTGTGTGTGTGTGTTTGTGTGTGTGTGTTTGTGTGTGTGTGTGCATGCCTTCTTTGCTGCCTCACTCTTTCCCCTGAGTCATTATGAATTCTTTTTTTCCCCCTATTCCTTACCACTGTGGAAGACCATTTCCTTGAAATGAGAAATAAAGAAGAATAATGAGGCACCTCCCTGATTCCCTGGCAGCAGTAGCTTGGCAGTGGGGGAGATTTAGGAGAAAGCAATGATGATCACTGGTAGGAATAGCAACTTTCTGGGAATTTTCCACTAGATCTGTACTAGTAGGGCAAGAACAAACTTTGGTTGTCAGAGAGGTAACCAAAGCTAGTCAGGCAACCAAAACAAAAATAGCCTTGGAGTCAGAGAACCCCATATCTAGACTGCAAAAAAAAAAGGGGTGGTTGCAGTAGTTAATGATTGTCCTGTAGGTAGCTGTAGAAAGTAGAGAATATGTTCTTGATGTAAGTATGCAAGAATATGCAGATAGGTTGCTAATCGGGTGAAATGCTCCTGGTTCGGACCGGCTCGGGTGAGTAGATAGCGATAATGGCCGGTGGCTCGGAGAACCGGTAGCAATGGAAGCTGGAGGCTCCGCCCACCTGCCCCATTCCCCGACTCCTACTGCCCACCTTTCTCCCGCGACTGGCTGTCAGGGAAGGCAAGCGCCCGAAAGGTACTGGAGTATCTCACTCTCCTTCTCGAATGAGCCGCTCTGGTCCACGCGCTGGTTGCGCAAGCGCACATCCAATCTACCGCTGAATTAAATAAACAGTGTGCGCTTGCGCAGCAGGCACGTGGACCAGAGCGGCTCACTCAAGAAGGAGAGTGAGCGACTCTGGTACCTTTCGGACGCTTGCCTTCCCTGACAGCCAGCCACAGGAGAAAGGTGGGTAGTAGGAGTCGGGGAATGGTGCATTCCCCGACTCTGGGGAATGGGACGGGTGGGCGGAGCCACAGGAGAAAGATAAGGACATGCCGGCAGAATAGAAATTTAAAAAGTTTTCCTACCGGGTTCTGTGGGCGTGGCTTGGTGGGAGGGGGTCTTGTGACTGAGTGGACATGGCTGAGTGACTGAGTTGGCCACACCCACTCAGTCACAGGACATACCCTCCCACCAAGCCACGCCCACAGAACCGGTAGGGAAAAATTTTAGATTTCACCCCTGTTGCTAATTGATGCAAAGCATAGAGATCATATGATAATTGTACTTAAAGACCTACACTGGTTTCTAGTTGCTTACCAGGCACAACTAAATGGAAGTAATATCTAGCTATTATGAGCAATTAGACAGGAAAGCAAACACATACAGGACACAATAGTCTTCTCTTCCATATTGCAAACTATAGGTCAATACCAATGAGGAAATGGAGGATTTTAGAAGCAAATTGCTTCTAAAGGTATGGTGTCATTGAGAGAATTTAGGATTAGAATAGAATAACAGAGTTGGAAGGGACTTTGGAGGTCTTCTGGTCCAACTCCCTGCTTAGGCAGGAAGCCCTATACCATTTCAGACAAATGGTTATCCAATCTCTTCTTAAAAACTTCCAGTATTGGAGCATTCACAACTACTGAAGGTAAGTTGTTCCACTGATTAATTGTTCTGTCAGGAAACAGTTTTGTTTTCTACAGGATTTGTAGACTATGGTTTATGTTACCTTTAGGAAGGTCTTCTGCTGAGAGATAGACTGCACATTTTTAAGGATTGGGAAGAATGTGTTTGGAAACCACTGGCTAGTCTCATCTGAAGGGCTTTAAACTAAAAATGGAAGGGGAGGGTGACCAATCTTTAAGGCCAAAGTGAATCATAAACTTCAAGACAACAAATCAGGCATTGAGGAAGGAAATAGTGACAAGGAAGGGGAACTCAGGTATAAAATTGGAGACCTGGAAGCAAACACAGGATCAGCCATAAAAAGCTCAGAAACTCTTGAGAAATAAGATTATTAAAGTCCAAACACAATACTACAGAAAAAGAAAGAAAAAAAGAGACCCCAGGTGAAGTGCTCTCTGACAAACCGTGGTCTTCAGTAGAATAGTATTAAAATACCAAGTTCAATAGAACAGCATTAAAGTATCCATATTTTTTGTAATTAAATCTATCTCTGTTATAATTATAAAAATCTGTTCTCATTATTCATTGATTAGGTCAGATTTCCAATCTCAGGAACTCTCCTATTCACATACTTCAGTCTGGATTTATATCTTGTTTTTATGTCTGAATTTTCTTAGTGTTTTGAGCCCTGGGCAAAGTAGAAATGTGGTGATAAATCTGATAGATGATTTATCTAACTTGATTTACTAGGACAGTGGCTCAGTGACTAATACGCTGAGCTTGTCGATCGAAAGGTCGGCAGTTCGGCAGTTCAAATCTCTACTGCCCTGTAACATGGTGAGCTCCCGTTACTTGTCCCAGCTTCTGCCAATCTAGCAGTTTGAAAGCACATAAAAATTCAAGTAGAAAAATAGGGACTATCTTTGGTGGGAAGGTAACAGCGTTCCGTGCACTTTTGCCGTTTAGTCATGCCAGCCACATGACCACGGAGACGTCTTTGGACAGCACTGGCTCTTTGGCTTTGAAACAGAAATGACCATCGCCCCCTAGCATCGGGAATGACTAGGACATATGTGCAAGGGGAACCTTTACCTTTTTAAAATTTGGATACTGTGTTTCCCAACCTTGGCACTTGAACATATGTGGACTTCAACTCCCCAAATTCCCAAAGCCAACATAGCATAGCTGAAATCCACACACCTTCAAATGGCTAAAGTTGGAAAACATTGCTGTAAGTGTTGTCCTTTGTCAAAAATTCAGAAAGCCAAACTGAATCCAAATCCATTCTAGCTGCATGACAGAGAGAGAAGGGAGAGAGTAAGCAGAAGGTTTCATTTAGGCTTATGTGGGCATAGGTCTATATTAATGCTAAATTGAGCAATATGTGGAAACACATTGTAGTGAACTCATAAAAACCCTTGTTTTCAATATGAATTGAATGGCATTGCTGTACTACTAAAGCTTTATTGAAGGATATAATAATAGAGGGGGAAAGAAATAATAAAAACAAATAAGGCTTCATTGTAGTTTCAAAGCAATTTCTACAGAGTTTAATCTTCACTGCAATAGAGTTGCAGATTGCATTTTAGCATGCCTATTTACCTATCATAAAATATTTACTTTCATGTTAAAATTATAAAAAGTCAATACTATTAAGTTGACTAATATCTTGCCTAGCAAAAAAATACAATTAAATATCAGGTAGACTCTAAATTGTTATAATACAATAATGGACTTTTGTGTTTGTCATTAGGGGCCACTTATTCTTCAGCCTTTCAAGGACTAACCAATCAAGTTCAAGATGTAGTAAGTAACTATTGCTCACAAGTCGTAGAATACTTCTGTAGTAGATACATTGAAGGGACTACAGGTAATACTTGAGGTATGGAAGTCCATTTAATGAATGTTCGAAATTATCACACCCTCCAAAAACTATATATGACCTCATCCCATGGCCCTTATGACCCACCACGGGTGGCTGCAGTGCCCTCCATCTCTCCTCCATCCCACACTGGTGAAATCTTGCAGTACTTGGTTCTCTTCCTCACATGCCTATCACGCCACACACTTACCTTTTGAAGGCAGGCCATGAGTCCTCAGGCCATGCAACAGCGATCCAAATGCAGCCTTCAAATCAGAATCATGGAAATCTATTAAACCTTTAAACCACCTTTAAAGTTTTGATGTCTAATATGCTATTTCATGAATATTTCTTCTTTATAAATTGATAAATAGAAATAATGCTTATAGCCATGTAATTGTGCTGTCCACCCAAGACAGCAGATGTTGATTTTAAAAATACCATTACTACTTGCAAAGAGCGATTCACTGATTAAAAAAATAAACTCCATGTTTAATCATGTTCAAACAAGGTGAATTTATATAAAAGCAATGGGCTTCAAAATGATATTAAAGTAGTGATGCTTATAATTAGAGTTGCTTGTAAAATGGAAAATTTCTGTTTTACCATTTAAGCAATATACAGGTGAAACTCAAAAAATTAGAATATAGTGCAAAAGTTCATCAAAAGTATGCCAAATCAGGGCTTGAACTATCTCGCTTTGCATGTAATGAATCTATCTCATATATTAATTTCACCTTTTAAGTTGCATTACTGAAATAAATGAACTTTTGCACGATATTCTAATTTTTCGAGTTTCACCTGTAAGTTGGTTGTATTCCAAAAGAACAAAATATAAAATAACTCACGTTCCATGGTCTTTTAAAACACATTTAAAAGTTTTCAAGTGTTGCAGGAAACCACATATGAGAACAGAACCTTTGCACCTTTGTTTCTATGGCTCTAGGGTGGGAGATGTCCTTGACAGAAATTGGCAAGAACCCCTACATAAAAAAAAAAGACTTAATTCTTTTAAGTTTTGGGGAGCAAGATAGTATAATTGTTTAATGGCCATTTGAAGTAACCCCCTTCCCAAAGATATTTACGACTGATTTTGAGGCAACTCAAACATGTCTCTCATTGGGATATAAGAAGAAAAGCACATCTGGCTGGCAAGATTCTGTTACTAACATCTATCTGAATAAAGTGTAGGTTTAGTTTTCCAATGGAGTGCTTTTCTGATCTGATCTGATCTATCTATCAGGGCTAACAATGGCAAGGTCACAAGAACAGAACACAAGAACTGACAGTGCCATGTTCTGTACCCGACTTGCCAATTTCATTTTTCACCAGAAGTATTTTTAAAGTTTTCTTGTCATGCTTTATTTAATTTGGGAAATTGTTTTTATTTAAGTAGTTTGGACACTTTATTGCAAAAAGAAAAAAAAAGCTACTGGTCACCACCATACCAGATTCATGCTAAAATCTTATGCTAAGAACATCTGACTATATAAAGCACCATTTGGGATAATTTTCAAGCAAAAATGTTTTCTGGTATCAAGCTGTAGTGTATATATGAAGTTTCTAATTAATTGTCTATTGATTAACCAAATTTAACAATTGCAAAAGGAAATGAAGGGAATAATATATAATTCAAATAATAATCTGAAAAGTATTTTATAAAGTTGATTATTGAAATTGCATACAGAATATTTATGTTTGAATTATAGGATTCATTCATTATTTGCGGAAAGGGATGCAGTCCTCCGAGAAAAGATGGACCTTCTCCGGTTATAGGGCAAAATTCAAGAAGCCACTGATCTAACTTTGATTTTTTGGATAAATTCATTATGCAGCAACCTAGTAACTTTCAACTTTATAACTGTGATAAGAAAAAATTAAGGCATTCATGTATGAATCTCTTTTGAGACCTGTGAAAACTGTAATTTGCAGTGTAATGGCAGTTAAAATATACATAAGCTGAACTAACAAATCTCAAGAGTAATGCCTTTTACTGCATTTGATAAAAGTACATTTATGCCTCTGTGAAATGACTTTTTGGGGTGGAGTGTCTGGGATGGTATAGTCTAGAATTCAGATATTTTTTTTAAAAAAAGGACCTAACCAACCAGACCCTTAAAATTGCTTAATGCATTGTAAGCCGTCCTGAGTCTCTGGAGAAGGGCAGCATATATAAATAAATATAAATAAATATAAATAAAATTCACAGGGAACCAGCTAATACAATTGAGTAATCTTCACGTTAAGTCATAATATAGTTAATTTCTTTATAGAATTTCATGCTATTTGGTCTCCACCACTTAAAGCAGCTAGCAAATGTTGACTTATAAGCAAAGTGAAGGTTCTCCTTGTCTTGTTAGATGCAGAGATCATAATAGCAAGTTCAAAAAAATTTAGATGGATTTTTTTTGTACTATTCCAGCTAGGGAATCATGCTGATATGGATGGATATTGAATTCCTTCTAACTTCCAAGAACTGGGTACAAAGCAAATACATGGACATTTCTTTGAATCTAGCTACAGTTCTCATCCTTCCAAATACAAAATCTGTTCATGATTCTAATGTACAGTTGATTGAAATAGAACCCATAATTAGCATACTGACTGCATCATGCTCGTCTACACATAACAAAGGAGCAGTAATTTGTTCCTTTAGTAATATTTGTTCCTACAGAAAAAAATTGGGCAGACTTCAGTGCTACATAAAAAGGTGGTTATTGTTGAAGTAACCTAAATGGTAAGAGAACAGTATATAAAACTTCTGATATTTGATCCCTTAGCCTAAATGAAACGAACAAAATAAGATTGCATGCTGAGGTATCAAGTAACACAAGTTACTTGTGTACGGGTGGGACAGGGGTAGGAAACACAAATTATAAATGCTGAGTTTGATATCTTTTCACAGTTCTAATGAAACCAAAACATGTCTTACTACCCCTTAAATTCCAGTTAAAATGTTCAGAAAAATTGAAGTCTGCCATTGCTATTATATATATTTCCAGGGTTCCAAAACTTTTCCCTGGCATTAAAACTCATAAATATGCCTGATGGATGGAACCTGAGATTCGGAATTTCCTTTAGAACTATTCTTTCACCTTAAGAAAACCGAAAGAAATAATTAAAATTATTCTAGTACCAGTGTCCATCTAACTGCATTCTAGTACTAGTATCTATCTAACTCAGTACCTCCCTTGGAGATACTCCCAGGTCTCCCCTGAAAGTTTTTCCACACAAGAGGGTGGGATGGGGGAGGGAAGTATTTTGATGCTCAAAAAGGAGTGACACAGTTCATATCCATCTCTCTTCCTTCTCGCAACATCAGTCTGCAAGGTTTCACCAATCCTCAACTTGAGGGCCCCTAAACCCTGGGGGCCGTCCAGTCCTTTTCTGATGAAGCTGAAGGGGCTGTTGTGTCCCTCCTACATTTTAAGAATGTTCAGCTTTAGCAACACTTACAATAAAGAAAGAAATACCAATACAATTTTTAAAGGAATTTATTAAATTTAATAAATAATTTCCATGGTAACATTGTAAAAAGTGAGCATTTGTTAAAATAAAAGGCACTTAAAATATGAACGTGGCCAGTACTGAACAGATAACAGAATAGCCAGCAGCAAATATACAAGCCACAGTAACTCCTGATTCAGAATCATGCAATTTTAGCTATAGGATAAATTACAACCAAGATTGCAAATGTAAGCTGGTTTAACAGTTTAACAATTATCTTACACAGAAAAAATCAAATACATTAAAGATAAAGTTGCCAAAGCACCAGGCTTTAAACCAAGCAAGAAATTTAAAAAGAAACCTAAGGAATTAAGGCGCTAAGAACTTGCTACTATTCTGTGCCCTATATATGCTGGACTCTCAATTTCAAATAGGACCTGTTTTTTAAAAGTCCAGCACCTCAGGATGGCATCAGATAAGGGGAGCTGATTTAAAAAGGAGTTTTGGCAGTTTACTTGTCAGTACTAAAATTGGAAACTGAATTTATACACAGGACTTATTATTATCATCATCATACCTGTTTTAATAATATTAAAGCTCTTTATTATGGATCTATTTTTTCTTTTTATTCTTATACATACATAGTGACAATTTAAAATGTATGTCACATATGAAACTTGAAATTAAAGTTACATCATGGTTTCTACATTATTGAATACAGAAAGTTGGAAACTAAATCTCACATTATTCATAAACTAATTTTTATAGTTTATTAGTAAGTATTAGGTTTGCACTATTTGTGCAAGCCAAACCTTGATACATCTATAAGGCTAAAAACTGTTCTACTTTTAATACTTAATGGATAGGCGAATTGTTTATTAAGTGTTTCATTCCATACAAAAGACAAGGTAGATAAAAAAGCACCTCAAGTAAGCTATAATCTTATTGAGTAGGATATGCAATCTCAAGTAATCTGTGAATCTTGTGGCACTATTTGTTTGCAAAAACAAAGAAAAAACTTCAAAAATAAAAATACTGTACATTTAAAAAAATTGCATAGGAAACAACTGTGTAGGTAGGTAAGGAACTAGTAAATCCATAGCAATATTGCCAAAAGCTACATAATGAGTACAAAACTATTATATCACACCCAGTGCTGTGAAATCATAAAGCAGTTTTCATTTCCCCTCATACTTAGGATTCACTACAGTTGTTACGGCACTTTTGTATATAGGATTTTCACCCTAAAAGAAAAGAAAAAAGGATTATAGAATGAAAAAACTGTCAATTTATTGAAAAAGTACTTTCACACAGTGCCAAGCCAATTAGAGCTCCATGTGCATACAGGTCCCACAGCTCCTACATTGTATCAAGATTGAAACAAGCAAGAAAACTTTTTGGGGGGGAGTGGGAGGGAAATATTACAGATTATCTATTATCCAGCATTTTTAATTTTTACTACACATCATGCCTAGCACAAATTGTTCTTTTAAATATACAAGGAAAGAAACTGCAAATAATCTATTCATAGGAATCTCATAACACTTTAACGCACGATGATGATATGGGTGGCCATATAAGTAAACATTAAAAGAATTTTGGGAAAAAAATACTTCCTTTACATCGATTCTGTATTCCCTGTGTATACGTACTTTAATTGAATTGGAAACTTTGGATGCATTTCTGACAGTGCAAAATTAACACTGGCATTACTGTTTCAGGAAGACTCACAGCCAAGAGCTCCTTTATTACTGAAGTCTTTAACAATCTAAGTAAGATCAGCCATAAAATTAGTCTCAATGTGAACACAGCAAATCCATCCTTCAATATTGAGGAACAAAGCTCACAAACAGCAAACAGAAGAGAGGAGTTGCGACTCACACACAAACCCTGTATAATCAAGTTGTTTAAGCATGGATGAATTTGTTCCAAATTACATAAATGTTGACACAGCAAACTGATTTGCAACTAATACCCTATATTGAAATGCATGATATTATCTGACTTTAAAAAAGCAACATTATTCTGCACTCAAAAATTATGGACTTCAATTCAGAACACTATTTTTGAATTTTTGTTAACTATTCTTTTTAAAGCTTGGGGAAAATGTTTTGTCTTTTTTCAGGACTATCACTGGCAATTATATAACCAGATTCATATAGCATCAGTGTGTTCAGAAATAAAGAAATAACAACTGAATATAAAATAGCAAGAGATGGAACAGATATATAATAAAAGAATGGAGAAAAAGTAAGAAAAGGAGGACATATGTGTGAAGAATGCATCATATTTATGTATACTACCAATAATTTGGTTGTGCCGCAAATCCAGTTTGTATGTTTTATATAAACTATCAACTAAGTTCAGTCTAACTATATTCTACCTCATCACACTATTGTCGTGTTCAGTTAGAATAGAGATCAACATTCAAAAAGAATTATTTTATATGTTGCCAAGACTGTATTTGCAAATACAAATGCTCCATTTCCTGCCACGGATGCTTTTTTCTCTAAAGCATCTGTTTAGTTAGTGGCCATTGTCCCAAGAGTCATCTGGGGATAGTTTTTATTTTTTTTTTATTTTTTTTGAATTTGTATACCGCCCTTCTCCCTGAGGACTCAGGGCGGTGAACAGCCAAATAAAAACATCAAATACAAATATTAAAACACATTTAAAAAATATATATAGATTTGGCCCCATTAATTAAAACGATAAACAAAACAAGACAATTAAAAAACCCTTAAAAAGAAATTAAGCCAGCCCGGCTTGTTGAAAAAAGAAAGTTTTAAAGGCACGGCGGAAGGCACTGAGGTCATGGATTCTCCTTATCTCAGGGGGCAACTGATTCCAGAGGGTGGGTGCCCCCACAGAGAAGGCCCTCCCCCGGGGGTCACCAGCCTGCATTGTTTGGCTGATGGCACCCCGAGGAGGCCCTCTCTGTGGGAGCGCACGGGTCGGTGGGAGGTCGTCGGTGGCAGTAGGCGGTCTCGAAGATAGCTAGGCCCTATGCCATGGAGCGGTTTAAAGGTGATAACCAACACCTTGAAGTGCACCTGGAAGACCACCGGGAGCCAGTGCAGTTCACGCAGGAGCGGTGTTACATGGGAGCGCCACGCTGCTCCCATCACTACCCACGCTGCTGCATTCTGGACCAGTTGGAGCCTCCGGGTGCTCTTCAAGGGGAGCCCCATGTAGAGAACATTGCAGTAATCAAGGCGAGAGGTTACGAGGGCATGAGTGACTGTGCACAAGGAATCCCGATCAAGAAAGGGCCGCAACTGGCGGATCAGGCAAACCTGATAAAAGGTCCCCCTGGTTACAGCCGTCAGATGTTCCTCCAAGGACAGCTGCGTATCCAGGAGGACTCCCAGATTGCGAGCCCTCTCTGTGGGGGCCAAAGACTCGCCCCCAATAGTCAGTGATGGAGTCAACTGACCATATCGGGATGCCGGGAACCACAGCCACTCAGTCTTGGAAGGGTTGAGCTTGAGCCTGTTCCTCCCCATCCAGATCCGTACAGCCTCCAGGCACTGGGACATCACTTCAAGGGCATCATTGGGGTGGCCTGGGGTGGAG